TATATAATATACATATATATATAATATTCAAACAATATTAATAAGTAATTTATATGAAAAATAAAAGATCATTAATATAAGAATAATAGCCAGATCATGATATGATAAGGAGATAGAATGAAATAATATTGTAACCTGCAATTTAAGTGTATAAGATGTATACATAATTGCATACTGCTTCTTAAGCTGAATAAGTTGCTGATTCTTTGACAACAATAGAATTTATTTAGAAACAAAGTGATAAGAATATGAAGGTCAGAGATTTTGCAATGTATGCTGCTTAGTTTTTTAAATATGAACACTACAATTTTGGTCAAGCAATAATGAATTAAGGTGACTATGGAGATAGATTCTATATACTTTTAGGTGGTGAAGTTGGAGTTTATATAAAAAGATCAAGTGAGGATATTGATAAAGAATTGGATTTTTTAACTCAATAAAGTAGTGAAACAAATATTGGTGGTAGTTTATTAAAGAAGAAAAAAACAGTTCAATATCCTTAATTGAATAGATACGATTTGGCTTTAAAAATGTTAATAGATAATTGTATGTATTTTAATAATGGGGTTCCATTGTTTAAGAAAGTGTGGTAATATTATTCTGGATAATGTTTTGGAGATTAGGCATTAATTCATGATTAACCAAGATCTGCCAGTATTATTGTTGTATCTGATGAAGCACATTTGATATCTATGAATAAATAAGATTATAAATTGGTATGTGATAAATAGATTCAAGAATAAAATGTTAAGATAGAATATTTTATGAAATTATTTAATGGTGCATCTAAATTTACTGTTTCAAAATTCATTCAAAATCTAAGAAGTATACATTTTCCATCTTAAACTATATTATGGAAAGAGGGAGATGAACCTAAGTTTTATTTTCTTATATAAAAAGGAAGAGTAGAACTTTATAGAGTTATAACAGATGATTCTAATACAGAATAGTCTACAAAAAAGAAAAAAAAAATAGTATTAAGTTAATTATCAGATAATTCATTTGTTGGTTAAGAAGAGATAATTGAATCACTTCCTTAAAGATTGTATTCATGTTAAGTTCTAGATAATACTCTTGCCTATTATATAGAAGCAGCTGAATTCAACAATCTTAAAAAAAACTTTCCAGATATTGTTAAATTATTAAAAGACAAAAGTAATTTACTTTAAGAATATATGGTGAATAGACAAAGTAAAATAATTTCAATATTAAAATAACATGATAAAGCCTAAAACACATAACCTTAAATGTAAATCACAGAAAGAAAAACTATTCAAGAAATATTCAAAAATACAGAAGAAATACCTGATAAAAATGATATCAGATCATAAAAACCAAGAGTCTTATTATAATCTGAAATTGCAAATTAAAATATGATCTATCATTTAAAAAAAGTATCACATGATGCAAAATCTTAATTCCTTATGCTAGATAAAGAAATGATAGAATCAATTAGAGATAGAGTTTCTAGAAAAATATAAACTAATGCTGATAAGAAAACAAGAATTAAAACTACGTCACTTGATGATAATCAAATTTTAATTAACAGAGTTTAAAGTGCAGTAAGTACTAGATCTAAACGATTAAAAAGATTTGATAATCTTTAAACTGTTCTTCAAATTACTTCTTCAAAAAATAATCTTATTTCACCCAATTTTGCAACCTCTTCCACTACAACAATACCTTTTATTCAAAGAGTATGGAATCCTTAGACTAAATAATTAAAAGCAAGAATGCGTAAAACTATGAGTTGTTAGTTTAGTCGTAACACTCTTCCAACTAGATAAACTGAATCTGATGAAATATTTTCATAATTCACTTAACCTATTAGAATTCATACTGATAAATCTCATAGTCGAAAAATGTAATTATTTATTTATTATATAGAACTTCCTCTATCGGCTCACGTTAGAAAAGTGCTTAATATTACAGTTTTATTTGATTATTATATTTTAATTAACATGATGCACTCAACATTCAATATCAAAAACAGAGTTAAGACTGACCCAAATCAGAATTACATAATCAATTCCCTCTATGATTCTCTTATTTCAAATGTAAATCTTTAAATCTTAATCCTAGAATATCAATACAGATATTGCGTAAACATTCAACACTCTTCATTAAATCTATCATAATTCTCAAATTAATGTTAAATATTCGCATATTAAAATTGCATTAGCCACTTAATCAATCTTTAACTTAACATTAAAGTTTACATCAACAAAAATACTTTACCATAAATTAATTTTATTTCAAAACCTATCAAATTACCAAAGAATACCTAGGGTCAATAAATATGAATTTATAAACAATAGGCAGTTATAATTATTTCAAGGACTTAATAAATTAAAATTATATACTGTTTTAATTTAAAAAAAATAATTACTTAATCTAAGTCATCATTTATTAATTAAAAAGAAAATCAATAATTTATTTAATAGAATTGCTAAACAAATTTATTAAAATAAACTTATCGCTATATTCCAACTCTTCTATTACTCTAAAAAAGAAAAAAGTCTCTTAGAAAACTTGAACTACTATTATAGCAATAAATCAATAAAAGATTAAGAAAGAATGTCTATCAAATTTGCAAGCACGACATTATTTATACAATCAATTAATAATAAAAAGTTATAATATCAATCTGTTTTTTTTATTAAATTATGTGAACCAGCAAAATTATAACAATCAATCATTTCAAGTTCTTTAGAAGATATCTCAATTAATTATGATAATTCAAGAACAGAAGAACTTGAAATTGCAGAAAAAAAATTAAATGCAATTTGTATTTTTAATTAAGTAATAAAGAAGGTGGTAAAAAAATCCTTTTTATCATTAAAATTACATAATTTAAACAATTTTAATAGAGGCTAAAGTAATAATTCATCGATTTTAAATTCTCAATCTGGAATATTAAGAAAACTAATAAGATCTGGTGAAAGCATATTAGAATTGTATTAATCAACAAATAATACTGAATAAAGTAAAAAAGATTAAGAACAAGATGAGATCATATTAAAAAGGAAATAAATGATGTGTTAAACTCATCATCCTGAGCCAATAATAAAATAAAGAATTTCAATATGTAAAAATTAAATATTTATTATATTAGTTGTTTAAACATCACAAAAAATTGAGAAAACAAAAAGAGAATCATAAAAATTCTAGACAGTAATAATATCAAAAAAGAAATCGAAATTTTTATTGTTTCTTCTAATTAGTATTATATTTGGAATTTTTTTGATTTTGAGAATTGTTTAATGAATATATTTATGATGATATTGAGTTTTACTTTTAATAGTCATAAAATAAAATATAAAAATTCTTAAATGTATTTGATATTTGTGTTGGTCTTAACAAAAATAATAGCACATTAAGGATGTTAACATGAATAGCATAATCATAAAGAAGAATATAAAATAAATAACCTTATATATGCAGTAGCAATTTTATAACCTGATAATGGAAGTGGAGTTAATGGGATTGTAAAAATGATATCAGATGGATATACTACAACAATATAGGCTAAGATAACAGGACTTTCAGATGGATTACATGGATTTCACATTCATGAATTTGGAAATTTAATAAAAGGATGTATATCTGCAGGACCACATTATAATCCTCATGAAAAATTACATGGAGGTCCAAATGATTAAGAAAGACATGTTGGTGATTTAGGAAATGTTTATTCAGAAAATGGAATAGCTAATTTTAAAATAACAGATAATTTAGTTAAATTAAATGGTTAATATAGTGTAATAGGAAGATCTATGGTAGTTCATGCAAATGAAGATGATCTTGGAAAAAGTGATCATCCTGATAGTAAAAGTACTGGAAATGCAGGTGCTCGATTAGCTTGTGGTGTAATTGGAATTAGTGGTCCATTTGAATTGGATTGATTATTAATTTATTCTAAATGAAATCATATAATTCATTTCTGAAATTACTTCACATCTAATGGGAATAAATATGTTGTGATGATATTTCAGATATAGTCAGAGACAAACTAAAATAATCACTCTAAAATCAAACTAGCATAGAAACTAAATTTCTTTCATTATCTAAATCAAAGACAGAAAATCCATAAGAATATCAAAGTTTTTTCAATTAAGATAGAGACTCTCCTTTCTTTTCAACTTATTTACTCATATGTACTGTACTTAAAGAATATTATTCATAAACTGATAACATGTTAAGTGAGCTGTCACCAAGTAATTAAAGTTCTTGTTCATCATAACAATAAATTACTATAGAATGTATTATAGATTGTATGGATAATCTACTTTAAGAGTATGATAAGTTACCAGAAATCACTACTATTACCAAATAAGTCATTTTTGAAGTATTTTATTAAGTTGGAGGAAATTTCACTATTTTTGTTAAAAATATGATGCTTAACAATGATCAGCAAACAAATACATTAAAATATGTTAGAGCATTTCTTAATTTATAAAAACTACTTAAATTAAATATCTCTTTAAATTTCAAGGACAAACAAAAGATACTTTCTTTTATTTATTAAATGTTATTAGGAAATACACTTTATTTTGCATATTTAAAAGAAATAGCTTTCCAAGATTTTATTGAAATTTTTTCATTATTTTAATAAAGTTTTCTATAAAACTCTAAGTAGCTTTAAGAATTATGTGATATTGAATAATTTTAAGAAAAAACATTTATTTATGTTTATTCCTAATGTTTAAAATAGACTTTTCTATAATCCTAATATAAAGATCATTTAGAATTAACTTTATCTAAATGGGCTGATCAAATTTAAGAATTTGGTGATATACATTATTACTTAATTTTCATTTATCTAATTTAAGTATTTGAATTTGCTGATCTCATTGATTTCAATACAGATATTATTCAAAAAAGAAATTAATAAATTATAACTCTTGTAAGATAAAAGAATTAAAGAGTTGTTGGTCATTTATTGTATTAGATGTTGATTAATCCAAAACTATAATCCTATCAATAATTATTTGAAAATATTATTAAAAATGAAAATAATGAAACAAAATTATTTTATTATAAATTAATTGGAGAATAACTATAATAAATTAATAACCCTTAAATATTAAATTAATATCTTTGTATTCATATCAATGAATTAAAAGAGTTTGTAAATGATAATAATCTAAATACTCAATAACTTATACAATTTATAACATACCTATGTAAATATTATACAGTGTTTAATGAAGAATAAAAAATACTATTTGATTCATCTATTATTCAGTTTTATTCATAAGAAATCAAAGATCAACAATATTATAAAAAATTTGATCAAAAAATCTTATAATTAATTGAGAATGAATAAATTTATCAATCAATAATCGAAATTGCAATCAAAAATTCATCCAAAAGCGATTAACATAAATATGGTTTCATGATTTTCATCTAAGATGTAATTCTATTTTATAATTATTTTAGTCTATCTAATACAATTAAGAAAGTTTGCAACATATTCTTAAATATATTTAGATCTTAATGGGATCTTGTAAAAAAAATAAATAAATGAAGAATAAAAAAAAAATAAATTATAAAAAAGGTAGAGGGACAAAAATTCTTGATTATCTATTATTAAATATGAGAAATTTCATAACAATAGTTAAAACTATTTATGAGCTTATGATAAAAGAAAGTTCTAATATGACAATTTAAAAATCTTAAATTTTTATTGAAATTTATCATAGAATCAATTATATTATTTACATGATATATTGGTTAATTGAAGATAAAGAAATTTTAAGTTCAGAAGGCATTTAATAAACTAGCTTAGAATTATGTTAGATTCACTATAAATTAACTATAAACTTTATTTATATTCTTCAAAAAGCTAATAATCTAAAATCAAGTGTTCTTTATGAAATAATTAATAATATAAACGCAATAGCTTATGGATTTGATTATATCAATTCTATAAAAGATAGTTATTTTGATAAGAACGAAAATTTAGTAAATTCTTAGAATGTATTCGAATTACTATAAGAAAATAAAATTTAATTAAAATTAGTTTTTAATAAATATTATGAAACAAGTTTAAGTATTTTATTTGAAATACCAAATATTTCAATTGATAGAGAATTTTATTTGCAAATATTGAAATATCAACTAATTACATAAATATCACTTGTGCTTTCATTTACAGATTTCTGTCATAAATTTATTTTCTATTTTAGATTAGAAAGAGATCCAGAAATAATAAAATTAATGCAATAATGTGTAATTATTGTTGTAACTTTAAACTAAGAACCTCAAATAATAAAATAACTTTTTGAAACTCTAAGTTATCATTAGTCTACAATATTAATGAATGATTTAGATAATCTGCAATTAGATGCTAATGATTAAGATGAAATTTAATAAGCTTATAGATTGGCAAATTTATCTCCTTATAGAATTCCTTTGTTATAACAAAGCAATATTTTATTAAGATTGGTAGATGATAAAAATTATTACATTAAAGTTGTTAAAATCATTTTAGAGATATTTTTACAAGCTTACTCATAATGGTAATAAATGTTATATTCTTTGTAAAAATAATCAAATCTATTGTATTTTTAAGGAGGATCATCATCAATTCAGATAAATTTTAATTCAATTCAAGTTTAATAAATTGGAGTAAAAATGAAATTAAGATTAATTATGTAAGAAAATGAAAGTTATAGTCTTTAATACTTAGATAGGATGAGCTTTGGATCATTTTTAGTTAATTCAGAATATGTAGGAAAATTGATAGTATTTACTTTGCTTTTTAATAACAATTAAGAAATTTAAATTGCTCTCAATAAATAGAAATTTTTGATTATTTATAAATAAGATGAATTTTTCTAAGAATAAGATTATTCACCTAATTTGGATTTATCATAATGGTTTATTTTGAATTTTTAAATGAAAAATAATCAATAAATAATCCTTGAAATTAATGAAAATAAATATATTTTTTAGAAGAAATAATTATAAAATCAGTAACTTTAATTTTATCAATTTGTTTTGGGAGTTAACTTAAATTTTGATGTCTAATAATCAAAATAGTTAAATAAAAAATAAAAATTTTAAACTTAGTTCATTGATTCATTTATTTTTTTGAATTAATCATTTGATGGTTAAATATCTGAATTAAATTTGATAATAAATGAATAATAAATAAAATTTGAACAATCAAATAATACAAATCTATAAAAATAAGCCATAAACTTTATTAATTCAGGAGTCATGATTGAAGAGGAAATAGAATTTGATGATATTTTTTTAATTACTCCTTGTACTTAAATTCAACCAAAAATGTGTAGTTAAAATGTCTATATTTTGGATATGAAAAAAGGATTGGATTACATTTAAAAATCTGGAGGTTATAATGTCTTTTATATGATACTAGATGTGTTGTATAATGTATATGAAAATACAAATCCTAGTGATTCTGAAGAAATTATTATTTTGATTTTTAAATTAATTGAAGAAGACATCTAAAGATCAGTATCTTAAGTGTCAAGATTTGTTGATTAAAAAAATCTATAAATACTTGAAGAACATTGCAAATAATGGATTCAAATTAATTAATAAAACTCAGATTAATTTATTAATTAATTGCTTTCAATTTATAAGAAAATAGAAGATGAGAATGATGCCATCTAATATCTTATTACTGTTATAAAAATATTAGATAATAAATTTACAACTGTTGATTAAATAAAAAAAATATTTAAAATCATAGATTTTAAGCGCTTAATTACACCAAATTCTTTAAAAAAAATAATTAATGTTTAATTATATTATGAAAGTAGATAAGTATTTACTTAAGTAACCTTAATCAAAGCTTCACCTTACATCGATGTCGAGCCAAAAAATTTATTTTCACACTCCTTTACTAAATGTATTTAATATAAAGGAATTGTCCGCTCTGCAGATTTTAATCGACTTTCAGAATTTTTTAATTTGCTATTAAGTTAAGAATAATTTAATTTATTAACTTTAGACATATTGTAAATAATAGAAATCATGTTAGGAGATCTATTGTAATAAAAAAATAAATTAAGATCAGATGAAGAAAGTCTTTTGAATAATTTTAAAAAGAATATAGTTTAAATATTAGATAAGTAAAATAAATTCAATACTATTAATTAATACTTTATGTATGAATCAGAAGTCTTTGATAAATTGTATGAATTGACTTTTTAAATATATTTTTCAATAGTATAAAAATTGAGACTTGATTCAAAGAAAGATTAAGAATTAAATTCATTATAAATTTATTTTGATTATTTTTCACCATAAACATAAACAGAAGTTGGATAATTGTTTATTTAAAAGATATTAAATTTAATAAGTTTACATGAAAAGGATACTCCATTAATTCATTTATTTTTTAAACTTTTGAATTAATTGTATTTAAATTAGCAAATAAAAGACACAATGAAGGAAACCTTAACAAGTTATTTTTTAGATGTTTTTAAGAGTGTAATTTTAAAAAAGTAATAATCAGACATTTTAGTTATAAATCTAATGAAATTTTAGGATTTTGCTTAATTAATGAAAAACTTGATGCCACATTCAATAAATAGAAAGTAAAATTCTTCAGAATTATTCACATATTTTATTATATATTTAATAGAAGTGTATCCAAAGTGTACAAGTGAGATTTTATATAGAGTTCATATAGAGAGTAACTTATTTAATAAGGATAGTTTTAATTCGTATTTATAAGCTATATATCCAATAATAATATAATTTTATGCTTTAAAATAAGTTCAATAATTTTAAAGTTAAGAAGATGAAAGAAAATTAATAAGTATTATTACTGCATTTCTTCATATTGAATAATGTTTTGGAGAGATTTCAGATTTGGAATTTGTAAATTGGAATCTTTATTCTTAGATAATAGACAAAGGGATTGATCTATTTAATTATTTAGGTATAGTGTTTTATGATCGTAATTTTTATATGCCAGGTGTTGATGATAATTTTATATGGGAAGAGGTAAAATAGAATTTTGAGAAATAAAGAAAATAGAGTAATAGAGTTTTACCTAATGGAGGAATTAAAAGATTAATGAGATAATTGATTGCTCCATATATAAAGATTCCTTAAATGAAAAAACCAATTAAAAATTATTTGTCTATTAATAAAATGCATTCAGAAGATGGTAAGATTGATTAATAGAGTATTTTAAGAATAAAAAAATTATTAGATTAAGAATTCTCAGCTCCTTTATTATAAACTCATTAATTTGTGAAAAAAAATTATCATTAATTATTTTAAGATACTGGAATATAAATATAGGTTAAAAAAGAAAAAAAATAAAAGAAATCAAAAATGATAAATCATTCAAAATTTTATTAAATGTTGATTTATTATGCTCTATCCAAAGATAATTCACTTGATGAAACATAAATTAATAAGTAAGAATATATTTAATAATTTAGTCTTCAAGAAATATTTGGATAATATCAACTTAATAAATTAATTGATTGGAAAAATATAAATAACAGTTTTGTAGAATGTCTTATATATTAATAAGATGAAACTTAAGAATAGATTATATCAGCTTTTAATTCATTAAATAAACATAAGAAGATTAATATATTGAGTTAGAAATCATTATAAAATACTTTTGATTTATCTTAAATAGATTAAATTAGAGAAGAAACAGCCAATTCAATTCAATTAAGTATATTTATGGATTTTCAAATCTATTATCAATTTGTTCATAAACTTTGGTTGATGTTTCCAAAAATTATTGATCCTCATGACATTCCAAAAACTTAAAGTAATTTATCAGCACATCGACAATCATCTTTTTCTGAAATGAGTATACCTTAATTTAGAGATTCTTCTTAAAAAAAATATTGGGAAAGAGAAAGTCTAGATCTTAAATAAAGATAAGGATTATGGTTTTTTGTAGATGATTATCTATAAGTACTTTATTAAGAGTTAAATAATTTTATTTCTAATCAAGAATTTAAATTTGAAGTTTTAGAAAATATGTAATTGAAAATGCAAGTTTGTCATTTAGAAGATATTACAAGAAAAAGACCTCATTTAACTTAAATCAAAATGAAAAATATTTATAAACCTTATTTAAAGACTGGTAATCAAGCTAGAAAGAAATTAATGACTCTAGAAGAATCAAGTAGTATTGATAAGAGTAAATCAAATATAAATACATCGTTTACCATATTGTTATAAAAATCTAATAATATTGAAGAATCATTGAGTTAAAGTCTAATTAAGAGAGCTAAAAGAAGATCATCTATAAGATCAGAATAGGTGATTTCTAATTAAGTTAATTTAACAATTAGTAGTTTTAGAAAAGGATCAACAGATAGCAATTAATTAGTAACAGCAAAATATTGTTGTGAATTTATAACCTAAGAAGCAGCTTATTAAGGAATTTTAAGATTTAATGAAAAAAATTAAACTCTTATATTTAAATCTGAGAAATCTGAATAAAAGGAAATATTTAGTAGTCCTGAAGTTAAACATACAACTGAAGATATCTCTCTTGAAATTTTACTTAGTTCTATTATAAATGTACATCCAAAAAGGTTTTTATTAAAAGAAATTGCTATAGAGATTTTTATTCATAGATAGAATTTCTTCTTTAATTTGTTTAGAATTGAAAAATAATAAGAATTCATTTAAGAATTAAAAAGAAAGAAAGTTTAAGTAATAGATCCAATTGAAGAATTTAAAAGAAGAAATTATTAATAGAATTGGGTTGGAGGATAATTATCAAACTTTTAATATTTGATGATAGTAAATACTTTTTCAGGAAGAACTTATAATGATTTAAGTTAATACTTTATATTTCCTTGGGTCATTTCTAATTATAAATCATAATAAATTGATTTTAATTGGAAGAGTGGATCAAATTTATTAAGAGATCTTAAAAAACCAATGGGTGCAATTGAGAGAAATATTGAACAGATATTAAAAGATTATTAGGAGAGAGATTAAGAGAATATTGAAGAGAATTTTATGTATGGATCACATTATTCAAATGCAGCAATTGTTTTTAATTATTTAATAAGATTAGAACCTTTTAATGAATTACATTTTTCTTTATAAAAAAGTAATAGATTTATTTATTATAAGATAAATTTGATGTAGCAGATAGATTGTTTTCTCGAATAGATATTTTGTGGGAAAATAGTAAAAAATAAGACAATAAAGAATTGATTCCAGAATTTTATTATATGCCTGAATTTTTAAAGAATATGTAATATAAATAAATATATAGAAATTACTTTGATTTTGGGACATTACAAACTTAATCAAAAGTATCTGATGTAGAATTACCAAAGTGGGTAAAGACATAAACAGCAGAAGAATTTGTTTATAGAATGAGATAAGCATTAGAAAGTGATTCAGTATCAGTATAATTAAACCATTGGATTGATTTGATATTTGGAATCAATAATAATGGATAAAAAGCAGTAGAAAAAGCTAATGTCTTTCATTATTTAACATATGAATAAAATTTATAGATGGTATTAAATAAATATATTGATGATTATTCAACGATTCAATCATATTTAACATAAGTTTATTATTTTGGTTAAACACCTAAATAATTATTTCAAAAAGCACATTAAAAAAAGAAATATAGTTTATAGATTTTTACAAATTAGATCCCATTTTTTGGTGATAATCCAGATAAAGTTAATAAAGGATTTGTACTTTAATCTAAAATAGAACATAATAAGATTGATAGATCAGAAATTTTAGGATTCTATCCATATTCTAAGAAATGTATTTATATTCTGAAAACAGATGATGATAAATATAATTAATTAAGATTAATTGATGCAAAGAATTCTTAAGATGATGGATATATTTATTATCATTGTTAAATTAGATAATAATTGAAGCTACCTGAAATAAAAGTAGAGGGATGTAATCCTTAGAATTTATTTACTTTTATATATGAATAGGAGTTCAATTTTGGAGATGGATATGATTAATAATTACATAGTATTTATGAAGAAAAATAGAATTACAATTTATATCTTTGTTTAGCAGGATTTATAGATAAAAGCATAAAGATCTATGATTTAAGAAATAAATTAACAGAATTAAGAATAGATATTGCTTTTTAAAATTAAAAGAGATAAAAAAGAGCATCATGTGTTAGATATCATGCTTTAACTAAGATTTTAGCAGTAGGATCATTAGATGGTTTACTTTAATTATTTTAGCTTCAATTTGGATAATAAATGTAAGCAAAGGGAGTTCTCACAAAATAATTAAGAAATGGAATAGTTTGCGTCGATTTAACAGATTTAAATATTCTAACAGTAGATTAAAAGAATTTAGCAAGTCTATTTACTTTAGAAGGAGAGTAAGATATTAATAGTAAATATTATAGTTTATTACAAACAATATCATTAGAAATAACTGATAAAATTTGGTAATGTTGTATATAGATTAATTTTTTGGTATTTAAGAGTTTAAATTCCTAAATTTGTGTATACACTTTGAATGGAAAGCAATATCTTTAGACAGTTCCATTATTAGATAGAGTCTCTAAAAATATAGTATTTACAACTCCATTTTCATCTAAATTTGTATATAAAGATATTTATACTATAGTTAATATTTGGTTTGAATTAATATGGAGAAGAAAATTAGCCTCATTTTGATCCTGTCATTTATTGTTATGATATATTTGATTTGAAATTGTAGTATCAGTAATTAGGGGCTCTTAATTGTGATAAAATATCTATAAAAAAGGGAAATTAGAAGGGAAGTGGAATTTCAGCTCTTCATATAAGTTTTGATCGATGCCCCTTAATGGAAAAGAATGATATGAAACACATTTACTTGGTAGCTATTGATACTTAAATTCTATTTTATATGGATGAAAAATATGGTAATTATTTCATTTATAAAATATTGTAGATTAAAGACTGATTCTAAAACAAAATTTTAAAGAAGGAGGACTCTCTCCTTATTGAATAACAAAATTAGATTATCATTACTAAATAAATCATTTAAATTTATATAGTTAACTTATGGTTCTATCTCTAGGATTCTTAGCTAATTGTGGTAGTGAATGTTACGAACTCATTACTTTTGGTAACTTAGGTTTACCTTATTTCAAAGCTTCATTAGTAAGAGTTAATAATTACGAGAGATCTTTTTATTTTAAGAGTAACTTGGGTAAAGGGTATTAAACATCAATTTTTATTGGAGTTGGTTCTTCTGTTATTAACAATTCTTCAATGCTGATATTTCCATCTATTCGAATTGAACCCTCCTTAACAGTTGAGGAATTTACTATTGATGTATTTAGATTCACTCGAGATGGTTCTAGATCATTGATAGAAGTATCATGGATTAATTTTTATTATTTTACTCCTCCTTATTAAATTCCCTATACATATTATTAGTATTCATTTTTGGTTAATTTTAATCCCTCTTCCCATAATTATATATTCTAATTATTCGAGAATGAAGGTCCTTATTTTTAATTATAACCTTCTGTCAATGTAACACCTTTAGCTACTTCAATTTGATCAAATACATTTTACTACTATTTCTATTAGAAATTGATTTGACTTCCTAAAAATGGTTTATCTCCTTCAATTTTGACATGAGCAAATGATTTACCAAATTCAATAACTTTATTCTTTTCTTAAAACTATACCATTGAACTTACTCTTGGTCTAATAGGTGCTAATTATTCAACCTAAGGAATATTCTAAGGCATAAATTTCCCTTCATAATCAAATGTATATTTCTTATCTCCTGTAAATGAACTTACTAATAATCTAAGCTATCTCATTTATTCTTTCTTCTCTGCTATTCTTTATTATTCTGCCTACAACTTCTATTATCTTAAAAATTAATCTCTCTCTAATTACTATCTCAATCCTTAATCTAAAGGATCTTCTTCCACTTTTTAATACATATTCACAAATTCTGGCTCAAATGGTTCAAATTAAGTTTTTAATATTTACGAAGCTTTTTTTATTATTACAGAACTTCTTTAATAACCTGGATTAAATGAGAAATGAGATTTTGTGACACTATGACTAGTATGTGTTGTCTAATGAAACTTTAAATCAATATTTGCTATATAACTTCTCCAACAATCACTTATTTTTATTTCTGGTTCTGTCTCCAGAACTAAACCTTAATTTATTTTCTCTGTCATCATTTCATCAGGTTCATGTATGCCTAATGAAACAACATCCTCAGAAAATTATAGTGTCCATTTAGGCATCATTTAAGGTATTGCTTACTCAAGATGATTCTCTACTAAAACAACACTAGAACGTCTTAAAATCTCTCTTATTATAGAACGAACTGCTATCAAACTTTACGATAATTCTACTGCCATCTCTCTATAATCCTCTAATTAAACAGATTTTTATGAACTATAAGACATTTTATGTGATTATATTTTTTATTATACTTTTTTTTATTAATACTTTTATATAATACTCATTCAATTCTATAATCTTTTATTCAATTCATTATTCATATATACATTATCTCCTTCACTTTTCTCTGTTATAAAAACTATTTATAAACATTAATATTCTAAATTATTCTAATTTTATAATAGAAAAGATTTTTAATTTATTTAAGGTAATAAATTATTTAACGTAACCATTTTCTAAAATAAACTATCACAATTTTCATAAACAAAAACATTTAAATATTAATCAAGAAAACTTTTAGTAACTTAATAAACCTAAAAACTAAATACTTCAGAATTATATAATAATTTCCTACCAATTTAATTAAGTTATCTGTTTCATTCTCTATTATTCAAATTTTTTTAGATTTGACATAGATGTACATTAACATAATTAATAAAATATTAAAATCATTAAAAAAAAGAATAAAATCATGCTCTTTAATTGAATCTCTATAATAATTGTATCTTTTATAATCGAATAATTAAATAAAAATAGCATAATAAGTTAAATCTGGTATTCTGAATTCCAAGAATATTATTAAGAATAATAATTGAATATATGATAGAAACAATTTAGCAAGAGATAGCTCCTCTAAATACTAATAAACCTGAACCGTCTACTTCTAAAACATTACGAAGTAGAAAAGTTGTTGATTTAGTTTTCTAAAATATCACCTATCAAATAAGTAATTATTAAAGAATATATTTAGAGAGTAGAGTAATACTTAACAATATAAGTGGAATATGTCCTGGAGGGCATGTAACAGCAATAATGGGAAGTTCTGGAGCAGGAAAGACAACATTATTGAATGTATTAGCTTGTCGGATTTCTAATTCTAAAACAAATAAACTAACTGGACAATTATTGGCAAATAGTAGTCCTTATGATTACGAGAAGTTCTCAAAGTTTGCCTCATATGTTATGTAAAATGATGTTTTAATGGAAACTATGACTCCAAAAGAAGCACTTGAATTTGCAGCTAATTTAAAATATAGCGATAATCAAGTTAAAGAGTCTCGAGTTATTGAAACACTTAAATGTATGAGACTTGAAAGATGCCAGAATACATATATAGGAGGAATTAATATGAAAGGTATTTCTGGAGGTGAACGAAAAAGGACTTCTATTGGCTACGAATTAGTCTCCAATCCTAGTTGCATCCTACTTGATGAACCAACCTCAGGATTAGACTCTTTTACAGCTTTTTAAATTATGTAATTATTTTATTCTCATTAATTTATAGCCATTAATTAAGAAAATTATCAGATGAGTAAGATAGAACTATTATTTTCACTATACATTAACCAAGTTCAGATATATTCTTACTTTTTGACAGAATTATGCTTTTAGTTTAAGGCAAAATAGTATATTAAGGATCAAGAGAAAATATTATTAATCATTTTAGTAGTTTTGGATTTAAGTGTCCTGAACATTCCAATCCTATGGATTATTTTTTATCTATCACTCATTCTGAAGACAAGTAAAATGTTGAGAATTACAGTTTATATTTTGAGAATTATCAATAGAAATTACAAAAATATATTGAATCTGAAATTTCGAATTGTTGTAATTCAGATGTACCATTAAAAACTAATGAAACTACATTTACCTATTAAATTGGTGAAATATCTTCAAGAGGAGTTAAAAATATAATGAGAGATCATATGCAATTTAAAGCTAAAGTTATGTAAGCTATCTTCTTAGGACTACTCAAAGGAGGTGTATTTTGGGGATCTGGTCGAAACAGTGGTAAATTAGAAGATTTATTATCAATATCAGGAGGTATCAATATTATTTTAAAATTTTTTAGCTTTATTTTTTATCTGTGTAGATTTTACAATGAATGCCATAATGTCATGTATTTTAAGTTTTTCAGTAGAAAGAGAAGTTTTTTTGAGAGAAGAAAATTCAAAATTATACACAACATAATCTTATTTTTTAGCAAAATAATTAATTGAAATACCATTTTGTGTTATTTCACCTTTGATCTAATAGATTATAGCTTATTGGATGATAGGATTAAATGATTATTCTGGAGAAATTGTGTTAACACATCTATTGATGTCAGTTTTAGTTTTTGTATGTTCCAATTCAATGGGTAAGAATATTTATTTATTATTTTAAGGATTAATGGCTGGAGCTGCATTTAAAGATATTTAATTAGCCTTAAATATTGTACCAGCAATAGTGACTCCATTGATTATCTTTTCTGGATTTTATTCAAATCAAAAATCATTTTATCCTTGGATTGGATGGTTGTAATATTTAAGTCCAATGAAATATGGATTTGAAGCAATGTCTTACAATGAATATGAAGGGAAATTATATGATACAAATCCAGAAGAACTTTATGGTTTTGATATTGGATTGTGGTGGTGTGCTTTAATATTATTTGGTTATATAATAGTATATAGAGTGATGGCATTCCTATTCTTATATGGATTAAAATAAAAACTCTAATGATATTGAATGTATTAAGTGATTAGTGAATTAGATTAATGTATATAATATAAAATATAAAATGGAAATTCACGAATAACCAATAATAAATTTGTTGTCTTTTTTACATTTTCAAAATCCAATAGGAGATTATTGTAAGAATAAAAAGTGATTTAGTCTTATCTGCAAATGTTCCGGATACAATATTTTATGAGAATTCGATTCCAAAATAATGGTTTTTCAGTAAGAAAGCTTAGGTGAGAATGAAATCAAGAATGAAATTGGATGACAATTATATTCGCAGTTATTTTTAAGGATTAAATCAAGAGATAGTGGCAATTTGGAGAACTAAATAGGAATTATAAGTGTTTAATAAGGAGAGATTAACTAAGTTCTTTTAGGAAGAGGGTTAAAAAGATGGGATTTTATAAAGGTTTATATATCCAAAAGGTAATAAGAATTTTACTATAATAATTTAATGGAGTTAGAATTAAACATTATTTGAAAGGTTTGAGAGTAACTTTATGATTGATGATAAGTCAATAGATATTTATTAAAGAGCATTAACTCATGAAAGAGATGGAACTTTGGCTCAATAAATAAATAGTAAATTTTTAACAGAAAGACTTGAACATTTTAGTGCAACAATAGCATCTCATGGTAATGATTTAATGAAATGGAAATCTAAAATTATTAGAATGATATTAGAGGTTAAAATAGATAATACTGGTTAAATTTGGCTTACTAATTGTTTTCATATAAAATGGTCTACTTAAGAATAAGTTCATATGAAATCTTTAAGTCTTCCTTCTTTTATTGATTAAGAAAAGTTAATTCTTAAATAACACAAAAATATTCTTAAAGATACATAATGTGAAATGTGTGATACTCTATTTCATAAAAATGATTTAATGAAGACATATATTAAAAACATAATTGAAAGTTGGAATTTTGATCATATGGGTGATAATGATAAATTATTGGTAAAAAAGAAAAAACAAATTCTTCTTAGAAAGAAAACTATGGCTGAAAAATTAGATGTAAAATAAGATGTAGAATTAAGATAAGTGAATTAAAACTATTTAATACCTTCTTTAATTAGAAAGATATTTCCAAAATTAAAATATATTCAATATAAAGAATTATTAGGGAATCCAGGATTCTTAGAAATGGAATTTAATGTTTGTTATACATGTCATGTTTAAATTGATAAAGGAGTAAATGTTTCATAAGATCTTAGTAAATTAGCAAAATAAGAATTGTTATGTCCAGCTACATATAAAGGAATTCAAAAATTAAGACCTGAAATATTAAAGGAACGTTTAATTGTATTATTTTATTTAATAAAAGACTACAAGGAGAGAAATATTAAGAAAAATAGCTAATCATGGTCATCGAAATGAAAGAATAAATGAGTAAATTCCTCCAATTTCAACAAGAATGTTTAATTCAACAAATTCAAGTAGAATATTTGGTATATCACCTATAAAAAGTATGATTACTTAAATTTTGCCAAAATATTCTGTAATAAGTTTGGATACTAAGGTTAATAAGAATACTACAACAAGAACACATTCAAGAAGAGTTAGTGATTTAAAATGTTAGTGATTTGAAATGAAATTAAGTTGACAATCTCTTATATTAATTTAAATTAAAATATAATATTTTAATAATGGTGATTATTGTTCATATGAAAAGTTATTGAGAATGTGTATATTAATTTTATTGATCAATATTATGTAACAAATGTAACATCATTCTTATATTTCATTATTTTGATGTAATTTTTAAAACTCTTTCAAATCCTCTGCACTAAAGTAGACACCATTTGTAGATACTCCTGAAGTATTATTAGTGTCATATTTCCAGGTTCCTCTCTTACTACAATTTCTAATTTTTATTGGTTATGGAGTAAGAGGTCTGCCATTGTAATATTAGATACCAAAAAATTTGCCATTTCTTAATCCCTAATTTATTAATGTAATATCTTACTTTAAAATGTGCTTCAGTAATAATAATATACTTATTCTCTGGCCATGTTTTCCTCCATACTTTGAATCCTACACCATTATTTGGATATTAAGCAAGCATTTCAGGTAAACTTTTGTATGGGTGTCTACCTGTAACAATCAAATCATTAAATGTATAAGTTCGAATTGCTTTAGAAAGCATTTCTTCAGCTGCTGTCTTAAGAAGTCCCTACATTATATTTAATCAATTTATTTATTCTTATTTATAAACATAAATCTCATAATAATTTGATGAAATCAAACGATTTTTTCTGACTCCTATAAACTTTATATGAAAATCCTATTTTATTTCGTAAAAACATTCCCAAAAATTAGTTTATAATTGACTCCATATTTTGATTGTATTATCATGACTACAAGAATATAAAATCTTAGAATCATGATTAAATTATATTTAATACACCTTTCCTTAATGACCATACAAAACTTATATGCAATCATAAGTATCATCTGTCATTTAATCATACAATCTAATTGATTAATCCCAACTACATGAACCGNGACCTGAAATATTAAAGGAACGTTTAATTGTATTATTTTATTTAATAAAAGACTACAAGGAGAGAAATATTAAGAAAAATAGCTAATCATGGTCATCGAAATGAAAGAATAAATGAGTAAATTCCTCCAATTTCAACAAGAATGTTTAATTCAACAAATTCAAGTAGAATATTTGGTATATCACCTATAAAAAGTATGATTACTTAAATTTTGCCAAAATATTCTGTAATAAGTTTGGATACTAAGGTTAATAAGAATACTACAACAAGAACACATTCAAGAAGAGTTAGTGATTTAAAATGTTAGTGATTTGAAATGAAATTAAGTTGACAATCTCTTATATTAATTTAAATTAAAATATAATATTTTAATAATGGTGATTATTGTTCATATGAAAAGTTATTGAGAATGTGTATATTAATTTTATTGATCAATATTATGTAACAAATGTAACATCATTCTTATATTTCATTATTTTGATGTAATTTTTAAAACTCTTTCAAATCCTCTGCACTAAAGTAGACACCATTTGTAGATACTCCTGAAGTATTATTAGTGTCATATTTCCAGGTTCCTCTCTTACTACAATTTCTAATTTTTATTGGTTATGGAGTAAGAGGTCTGCCATTGTAATATTAGATACCAAAAAATTTGCCATTTCTTAATCCCTAATTTATTAATGTAATATCTTACTTTAAAATGTGCTTCAGTAATAATAATATACTTATTCTCTGGCCATGTTTTCCTCCATACTTTGAATCCTACACCATTATTTGGATATTAAGCAAGCATTTCAGGTAAACTTTTGTATGGGTGTCTACCTGTAACAATCAAATCATTAAATGTATAAGTTCGAATTGCTTTAGAAAGCATTTCTTCAGCTGCTGTCTTAAGAAGTCCCTACATTATATTTAATCAATTTATTTATTCTTATTTATAAACATAAATCTCATAATAATTTGATGAAATCAAACGATTTTTTCTGACTCCTATAAACTTTATATGAAAATCCTATTTTATTTCGTAAAAACATTCCCAAAAATTAGTTTATAATTGACTCCATATTTTGATTGTATTATCATGACTACAAGAATATAAAATCTTAGAATCATGATTAAATTATATTTAATACACCTTTCCTTAATGACCATACAAAACTTATATGCAATCATAAGTATCATCTGTCATTTAATCATACAATCTAATTGATTAATCCCAACTACATGAACCGAATACAGTATTATTAGAACATGCTATGGATTATACTTTATCTGAATGGTAATAAAATTACTACTTAAAATTCCATTATCCTTCCTTACTATCCCATAATCTTACAGTTTTATCATAACTCCCTGATATTAGATATTTCCAAGAACAAAGAAATCCTAATGAATAAATAGAATCACTATGTCCTTATAACTTCTAAACTTTTATATAATGATCTGACTTATATTGCCAAATCAATATTTCCTAATTACTTGCTGATGCAATTAATTAATCTTAATTCCCTATAGCTAATGCTGTTATCCAATCATCATGTCCTATTAAAATATCATGAATTATCCATTTCCCTTCACATTTCCAAACTTTTATTGTTCCCTCTCTTCCTCCTGTTATTAAACTATTGCTAAATCTACTGAATATTATTGCATTTATTATATCATCATGTCCTTTCAATACAGTTTTCTTCATTGTCTATAAATTCCAAATATCTACATCCTAATTCAAAGTCACTACTCCAACCATATCCTCATCCTTTGATAAATCTAATTGAGATATTTCCCTCTCATATTTTGGTAAACTTATATCCAATTTTACTAACTTCTCTTAATTTATATTTAACTCCTCTAACTCACCTAAAACTATTTACAATACTTCAACACATTCCTCTAAATCATTACTCTTAAAATCTATTTCCTTTATTGTTACTTAATCATCCTAAAATTCAACATCCTTTGATAACATCATTCCTAAATCTTCTACATCTTTTAAACTCAACATACCCCAGCCAAAATATTTCTCTTAAAAATCATTCAAAAATTCTTTCTCTGAAAACTCTTTTATCTTACTATCAAACATCTCCTTTATCTTTTCTAGTAGCCCCTAAATTTATTCATATTTTCTATTGAATTCAAACTATAATTTTTATATTAACTTTATAGCTTCCTTCCTTCTTTTCTCAAAATAATCCTAAACCACCTCATTAAGATAATTTCTATGTAATTATATATCATTGCATCTACACTATTTACATAGTGCTCTCTTATTTGTTCCATTCTAACCAATATTTACATATAATATCTCTAAACCATGTATACTGCAATTTAAATTAGCTAATTTTGCTTCAAAAGACTACATTTGTTTTCAATTAATTTTATAATCTCATTTCCTTTTATCACTGTACTAATTTTCATTTAGATTTAACTTATCTTTGCTATTTTGCTAGATCTTCTAGTAAATTCATTGTTTTATTACTCATTAAAATAAAAACCATACTACTAAATACTTTAAGAAATAATATCAAATATTTTATTTTCATTTATATATGGTCGATACAAAATCCAAAACAATATAGCATTCTCAATTCCAAGATGATTTACCACATTAAAATTACTTTTATATGCTAAATTATTTTAATGTAGCTGCATTTCTATTATCATTGTTAACTCAAACTTCTTAGACTATAAACTTTATCTTTATTTTATAATAATCGAACTTTTTAAATAAATATTCAATAGCCTCTCAATTTCATACCGAATTATATCAGAAATTACTCTATAAGACATGATTTACTTGATCAAATCCTCTACATAATATTTATTAATTTAACCNAATCTTAATTCCCTATAGCTAATGCTGTTATCCAATCATCATGTCCTATTAAAATATCATGAATTATCCATTTCCCTTCACATTTCCAAACTTTTATTGTTCCCTCTCTTCCTCCTGTTATTAAACTATTGCTAAATCTACTGAATATTATTGCATTTATTATATCATCATGTCCTTTCAATACAGTTTTCTTCATTGTCTATAAATTCCAAATATCTACATCCTAATTCAAAGTCACTACTCCAACCATATCCTCATCCTTTGATAAATCTAATTGAGATATTTCCCTCTCATATTTTGGTAAACTTATATCCAATTTTACTAACTTCTCTTAATTTATATTTAACTCCTCTAACTCACCTAAAACTATTTACAATACTTCAACACATTCCTCTAAATCATTACTCTTAAAATCTATTTCCTTTATTGTTACTTAATCATCCTAAAATTCAACATCCTTTGATAACATCATTCCTAAATCTTCTACATCTTTTAAACTCAACATACCCCAGCCAAAATATTTCTCTTAAAAATCATTCAAAAATTCTTTCTCTGAAAACTCTTTTATCTTACTATCAAACATCTCCTTTATCTTTTCTAGTAGCCCCTAAATTTATTCATATTTTCTATTGAATTCAAACTATAATTTTTATATTAACTTTATAGCTTCCTTCCTTCTTTTCTCAAAATAATCCTAAACCACCTCATTAAGATAATTTCTATGTAATTATATATCATTGCATCTACACTATTTACATAGTGCTCTCTTATTTGTTCCATTCTAACCAATATTTACATATAATATCTCTAAACCATGTATACTGCAATTTAAATTAGCTAATTTTGCTTCAAAAGACTACATTTGTTTTCAATTAATTTTATAATCTCATTTCCTTTTATCACTGTACTAATTTTCATTTAGATTTAACTTATCTTTGCTATTTTGCTAGATCTTCTAGTAAATTCATTGTTTTATTACTCATTAAAATAAAAACCATACTACTAAATACTTTAAGAAATAATATCAAATATTTTATTTTCATTTATATATGGTCGATACAAAATCCAAAACAATATAGCATTCTCAATTCCAAGATGATTTACCACATTAAAATTACTTTTATATGCTAAATTATTTTAATGTAGCTGCATTTCTATTATCATTGTTAACTCAAACTTCTTAGACTATAAACTTTATCTTTATTTTATAATAATCGAACTTTTTAAATAAATATTCAATAGCCTCTCAATTTCATACCGAATTATATCAGAAATTACTCTATAAGACATGATTTACTTGATCAAATCCTCTACATAATATTTATTAATTTAACCTATAACTTAAATTTTTTAATCTACACTTAATAGCTGACATAGTAAATAAACTTTCGAGAGTTCATTAACTTTATTAATAAAACCTATTTAAGTAATTGTTTCTTTTTCAATATTTTCGGATCAATCTTATAAAAAATAAATATCTAAAGATGAAATCTCATCATTTTAATAATACGTTATTATAAATTGATTTTTTATACATATACTTAATAATTTTGTTAAAATTAATTTATAAACTAGTAGTAGGAATATTTTTTTTATTTTTAATTGATTTTGGAATTAATCTATCTAAAAGAATCAACATAGTAAATTAATTAATCAGTTTTGAGCAAACATTTCTTTAGGCCAATTAATTCTAATTTATATAGCAATATTTATTTGCAAAATATTTTTCATTTTAAGGCTTAAACTGCTCATTATAAATTTTTTGCTATTAAAAAATTAAAGAAATTTATGAATATAAATAATTGTGATTTTTAATAATATTAATAGAGATTTTTATTTGATTTAAGATATTATTTCAATCACATTCTTGTACTAAATTAAAATTTCTAATCTAAAAAATAAAGATAATTAAATTTTTAGAACCTATAGCCATCTCCTTTATAAAATTTGCTCTAAAATTCTACCCAATGTAATCTTAAAGAATGTAAAAAACATTCTAAAGTGTCCATACACATCAAAACTCCAAAAGTTGCTAAGGCATAAATCATAAAAGTAAAACAAATCCCGAAAATTGATCCATTACACAATTATGGTTCTAGTGACATTTTGAAGAAGACCTAATATATTTATAGAATTAAAAAATACTTCAGATAGTTGAGAATGTGCCAAACTAAGTGCCCACAATCTCAAATATGAGGCTGTATTAGACACAGCTCCTAAAATAAATTCAATACATTAGATTAAACTTTCAATATAAATCTCTGAAAAATCGAAATGTTTATCCTCTATAATTTTTCTATTTTCTATTAATTAGCCAAATAGTTGATTTTTTTGTTGATTTTATTCTACTTAATGATTTTACTGTTCTATTAATTCATCATAAACAATTTATTAATTTCTTTAATTAAAATACGCCCTTTAGATACGAATAGCCTCAGGCTTAAGCAACATAATTATTGGAGAGCAGATGGCTACTTTAATTAAAATAGTTTAAACGTAAACTTAATGAGGATACATTTCAGGTCCATTAATACCGCCAAGTTTAAAGACCATATTTAGTAAAGTTGTAATAATTGATGGTGGTTCCATATTATTACTATAATCAGTAAGCCATTTAATAATTATTAAAAAAGACATATATCCAAAAGTTGAGAGCATAAATGCTAATTCAGGTAAGAAGCTAAAGAAAAAATCAACAAATCTTCTCTAATATAAGCAATTCTAACCTTTCAGTAAGATTCCAAAAACCATTTAAGTAACTCCAACGATTATTGCAGTTTTCATTTTGAAAGAATTCATTACTGTTAGATGGAATTCAGACATACTCCATTTTCCATCAAAACCTAATTAAAACTTTTCTAATTTGTATTCTAAAGATATCGAAAAAAAGTCATTATATATAAAACCACAATAAGTAGCAAAAAGACCCATTAATATTATCAAATATCTGCATTGATATAAACTCTAAAAGTCTGAATAAGCAAGATATTCACTGCTGTTTTATAATTTAATTCTTTTTATGATTCTTTAACCAAAGATCAATAAATAGAAACCAAAAAGTGTTAAGAGTATCTTTATATAGACAATATTTTACTCCATGTCCAATATCCCCAAACATCATACCAAATAAAAATGGAAATGAAATTATTGTGAAAAGTCCAGGGTTTATTTCATCATATCTTGGAATCCCATAAGTGTTTACTAATTCTTAAAAGATATAAGTAAATTAATTTGTTTTTAATAAACTAGGTGGTTCATACATATTTTCATTGATATCTCGCATAATTTCAATTTGAAACCCAAATTATTTTAATTCTTCTATATCACTTTACTAACACCATATTTAACCAATCAAAAATTGAGATTTTCCTTCAAAAAATGTTAGATGATAATAAGTGGTACTAATCATATCTAAAATAATTTTTAACTGGCAAATGTATGAACAGTAACCAAAATCATATACCTAATCCAACTCCAATGGGATTCTAGCTTAAATGTCAGAAAAATAATCCAACTGTTAATCTATTTCATACTTCGTTTTTTAGATAACAATCTCTAGATTAAGTAATTTATTCTGTAATTCAGAGATTTCATTTTCTAAATTAATTTCTTCAGGTAATTAATATACAGATACATTAAAAGCCTAAATCAATTAATTTATTAATACTTCACATATTTTTAGTAATTTGTTTTTCAAATTTTCATACTTACCTACAGCAAATACCAACGTAAAAATAGTCCTTGAATTATTATTTAAATTCTTAAATTTTATAATTCCATTTTCCTTTGTTACTCTAAAAACTATACGATTAAATTTCAAAGAATCAATAGAATTAATGCATCCAACAATATATCCTAATTAAATTCCTGAGAATTTGTATATGAAGTCTTTGCAATATTATATTACTGCACTTAAATTAAATATTATATTTACATCTTTTCTTCACATATATTTCTTTATTCAATAATCTATTGCAAATTTGTCTATTGACTTGAAATAAATTGCAATTTATGTGCTAGTTCTTATTCAATTTTGATCGCTTAATCTTCAGTAATTGTAATATATTATATGAATTGTTCATAATTAGGACAATAATTTATCTATTTATTATATAACTGCAAGAGATTTTTTATCTCACTAATTTTATTATAAATATCATCGCATATTTTTAATTGCTTGTAATAGTCATGCTCATGAAATGCACTATTTGAACAATTGACTAAATTAACACATTTCATATGCCCAATTTTAGTGAGAAGTTGAAAAGCTTATTCTCTTGAAACATATAATTTATAAAGATGTATTTCGGTTGCTCTAAACATTTTAATTAAAATAAACTTTATTAATTCATTTGTTGATTCTAGTTTAATATTACCAACTCAACTATTTAAATATAAATTATTATTTATTTTTAAGTTTTGTATTATATAAAGATAGAAATAGGTACTAATTATTAGTCTTAAATACTATAAAAGACAAATACATTATCATAGCAAAGCAAATCCCTTTTCACAAGCTATTTAATTGGTTCGATTAATTCAATTTCGGTTAAAATCAAATTTTATTAATTAAGTTAATTTTATCTAGCCAATTTACTGCTACAGCTTTTTCTCTTATTTCATTAGCTACATTATTCCAGCCTCTATACTTTTATATTCCAGAACAATACTAAAAGACTTTTTATTTTATTCATGCATTTCAATTTAATTTTACTAATTGTTTCTTCAAGTTTCTGAGCAAATTTAAGTTCAGACAATTTTTTGAAAGTTTCTTTGTTTATTGAAAGTTGATTATTTTTTTTTTCATTAATAGTTATCAATCTTTGAGATTTTATTAAATCTTAGCTTAATTACCAATAAAATTATTAAAAATTTATAATTGTCTTCTAAAGTTACAAATATTAATTAATTTTTATACTAAACCTACAAGGCTATTTAGCAGAGGCAAATTATTTTATAAGTTTAGGTTGGAATATTTTAAATTATAAATCTATTTATTTAATGATTTCAAGATTTAAAATTCAAGAAATGACTGACTATATTTTATTTTACTTCCTCTTTATTCCAAAAATAAAAGAATTGCATCAAAATCTCCTTAAAGTAGATATTAGCTTTAAAATCATAAGTAACAATGTTTGAAGCAGACATTTATTATGAATATTAGAAATTAATATACAAGAACTTTGTCTTATTGAAATAAAAAATTATCTTATTGAGATTTTTGAAGAATACACTGAATAAACAATTCCATTAAGAATAGTTCAGAATCTGAAACTTTTTAAAAGTATTTAGATTATCAGGTTGATGGGCATAAAATGAAAAATAAAATAAAAATTCAATATCAATTTAATATATAAAAATTTATCAACAAACAAGTTTTCTCCCAATTATTTTATCATTACTTATTGCTTTAATCAAATGATCTTTAAATTAATACATATTGAATACCAAAAGTTCTAAAATCTGATTCAGGCCTCATGAAATGTGTTATAATTAATCTTAGATTGGCACCATAAAAGTCTTCTTAAAACTCTCCATAAAGATAAACTTCAATAGTTAGAGGTGTATCTAAAAAATAAGGATTATATCCAATTGATAAAACCCCACCATATTTTACATTATCAAGATAAGTTATACCTGTATATACTCCTGGTAGTAAATTTTTAGTTAAGTTTAAAATTTCCTCATTTATTTATAAATTTGCTTATACTATTATCATAAATTATTACCTGTAGGTATTCCAAGCATTGTTCCTCCTCTATTTCTTCCATGAATTATTTAACTTGTGAATTCTATTGGGTTTAACTTTAAAAATGTATTCCAATATTAGGTTGCTGCATTTTCACATTCATTTACTTTATACTATTCTACTGAGAAAATCGGTTTAGTCTGAAATTTAAAATCTTACCAGGGAAAACTTTCCCAAGATTCAACAAAGGGAATTTTTTTATTTTATAATAATTAATTCCAATAATCTTTGTCTTTAAGTTTATGATTCTTGAACAAAACTACTTTCAGATCTTTTTGAAATAACTATTCACAATAATCTAATTTTGGATCTATAAATAGGGCACCTTAATCTTAATCTGTAGATTCTTGCCATTTCAGATATGGAAAGTATTATTACAGTTATTCTGAATATTCAGAATAAATTATGGGTTCAATATTTTAGGATTATAAAAACTATACTAAACAAATTCTATAAGATTCTTACATGTTTCTATAGCTCCTATCTGTGGCTTTATAATACTTAAATTTTAAACTAGCAATTCTTGAGTTTCTAAATATTTTTTTGGATTCTCTTAAACATCATTCTAACCTATGATTGCTATAATTAGATAACTTTACTTAAATTTAAATCAGGATTTTACTTTTTCAGTATCGAAAAAAGTAGACTATTGAAATCAAGAATGATTTCGCAATTTATATAGCATTTGCTGATCATATATATTAAAAAAAATATACCATAAATAAAATTATAAAATGAATTTTGGAAAACCAAGAAGTGCATCTTCCGGATCAACATGGGAAAAACTTAAAAAGTCAATTTACCCTACTAATAAAGCAGAAAGAGAGAAGAGGAAGAAGCAAATTCTAGATGTTGCAATTTTTGTTGCTTCAATTGCAATTGTTAGTGTCTTTGAAAAAAGAATTCAAGCTCTTCTTAAAGTTGATAAATCAGAATTAACTTAATTCAGCAACATGTAACAATCAATGCATGCAGCCTATTGATTAATAAAAATAAATAATATATATGGTTCATAAAATTATGACATCTCTAAAATAATTTCGAAGAGTTTTTGAGGCTCAAAAACTTGGTAGACAATTTTTTGGACTAATCAACATGGGAATCTATATTATAAATATTTGGATTAAAATGGAAATTCTAATTGTAGAATGAGTGAAAGAATTGATGAAATGGCATCATTTTTAGATCCATTATAGAATAAATGGATTTAAAATCGAAGTGATAAACCATAATTATGAAGAAGAAAAAGAAGAATTAGAAAAATAATAACAAGCATATTAAAACTAAAATCAATATGAAAAATAGGGTGTGGAAATGATGAATTAGTTTAAAAAATCAATCAAGCATAGAATGCAAATAAAAAATGAAATTTAACATTGAATAAGCATACATATCTATAATTCTTGATTCTCTTAATAAAAGACAACACCCATTCTTGATTTTTATATTCAATTATCATAATCTTCTCTAAATATTTTATTATATTTTATATTATTTAATATAAAGAATAAAGATAAATTAGCTTCTTAAATTATTAAGCTTGTTGATTACTGAGGATAAATTTTTGAGAGATTAAAATTCGAAATGAAATTTCATCAAAAATATAGTATATTGCAAAGAATACTTTATAATGATAATAGATTGCGTAATTAAAAAATATAAATATGAATTATTGTCATTATCTTTATATTTTCAATAAAATAAAACAACATTTGATTTATTATGACTTTGGTTTGAACTCAAGCTTTCTAAGGCTTTTTATAATTTAGTTTACAGTTCCTTTAGAATCTTGTGAAATAAGAGAAGCTTTTTTTGACAAAGTATGAACTATTGTTTGATATCCAAGATTATTTAAAAGAGCAATAATAAAGACATAAGAATTATAGAACACCAGCCTAAAATATCACAATAGAATAGCATATCTTTATGAGTATCATGCATAAGTATTATCAAAGTTATAAAAAGTGATAATAACAAAACACAAAACTCACTAATAAATTGTTTTCTATATTCTACTGTTGAAATGAGAGGCTTATAATTAAATAAATAAATGACTTAAATGAAACTTAAACATGAAATTGATAAACTTTAACAGTAAGGGAAGGACGAACAAAATGTTATCAAAAGCATAAAAAGTGTCTTTTTAATTGTTGTAAATAATTTATAAAAGTGAGTACAAGTAGTTGTACCTATTTTTAAACCATCATATAATGTGCCATATTTTCTAATATATTCTTTTTACTCTAACAAATATGTATGTTTAGCAAGCAGAGAGTAGTATACAAATAATAATGAGAAGTGAAGAATATTTAAAAAGATGGCTATGTATAAGTTAATTGCAATAAAGTTATTCTTTGTAGTAAGTAACAATTTTATGTCAAATAGATTTAAAAATGAAAAAAATAGAATGTCATAAGTTAAAATCATATGAGCTGAGATGAACCCTGAGAAGTATAATTTGTTCATTACATATTGACAGGATGTTTGAAGGTATAATTTTAGGTGTAATAAAATTAGTTTTATTTTTAATAGGGTTGTGTCATCATCATCTTCTTTAATTCCTATTTTAAATCTGTGTAATTATGAAAAACATAATTTAGCCAAAGGATACAAAAAAATTGCAAAAACAATCAAGATAATTAAAAAAGGATAATTCAACATGCAATAAGAGTAGTAACCATCCTTTTTAATTTTTACAGGTAAATAATTATATTGATCTAATTCTTTTTGTGATAAAAACTATAATGCTATTTATTCGTTAAGATTTGAGAAGTATTACAGTTATGCAAATTTAAAAAGGTCAAAATATTTTTATAAATTGAAAGGTAAATTTACGTTAATATATTTTAAGTATGAAAACATTTAAATTAGATCTACAGCATTATACACAATTTCAATAGTTCCAGTTAAAAATGTAACTATGCAAATAAAACCAAAAATATAGAATAAGGTTTAATTGAATGATATAACTATTTCATTAAAGACTACTTTCCATTATTCAATGAATAATATGTCAAATATTTAAAATGTGATTTAAGATAAAACGATATTTTTGTTACTTCTTTTGTTTTTAGATTTCTGAACTATACTAACTTCCATTTTATCTTTTACACAACTATTTTAGAATTCGATGTTAATATCAATGATTCTATGCTGTAAGTTGTCTACTTGAGTTATTTTCTATTTCACTACTATAAGAGATTAATTAACTTAACAATTTAAAAATGAAACTATAGGTACTATTTCTGAATCTTAATTTGAAATATGGTTTGTAAATTAAATAATAAACTATTTAGAAAGAGATTGAAGATTATTATTTAATTAAGAGGATTTAATTTCTCCTTAAATAATAGTATCACAATGACCATTTGTACAATAATACCCATCTTCGATTTAACAATTAGAAGAACATCCATCTCCATTAAAATCGTTTCCATCATCACATTATTCAAATGCTGTAGCGATATAATCACCACATTTTGAGAAGCATAAATTATTTTCAAAATCAGTATAATATCCAAGGTTACTTTCACATAGTTCGCATTATTAATAATTTTGATTATTGATTTTACATTACAAACAGTTATTAGGATAATAAAGGCAAGTTTGGCATTCAATATTACATTACTAACATTAATTTTTTGAATTTAAAAAATACCCATCTTTACACTTTTTACAAATGTTATCAATATCACATAAAATGCAATTTTCTATACATCTTGAACATTTAGATGGTTATCCATAAATGTTAATGCAAAAATATCCCATTTATAAAATGCAATTAATACAACCAAATGAATTACCATTATCACATTGCTCTCCATAAGTCCATATTCCATCTTGACAATCTGCATAATTACAAATATTAAGAAATTTATTTATAGGATTCAAACAATTAATACATTCTTTGATAAACAATTAGGATTATTATTCACATTCATAACATCTAAATTAATCACATTTTGAACAATTAATTGGACATTAATTACAAGTCTCATTTGATAAATAATATCCATTTGCACAACTGGTGCATTTTTATTCACTTAAGCAAGTTAAACAAGATAACTAACATAAAATACAATTTTAATCTTTAAGAAAGTATTGCTATTAACATTAAATGCATATATTATAACTTAGACAATTTTCACAAGAAGCTTAACATTCAACACAACTGTTAGTTTCAGTTAGATAGTAACCCTTTTCACATATAATGCAATGTAAATTATCAGAACAATCTATACAATTTTAAGGACAATATTTTCTGCATTTACCATTATTAAGTTAATAGTCTTCTGAAACACAACTAAAACAAAAGTCTTAATTTTAACATGTTAAACATGGGTCTTGGCATTTTAAACACTGAAATTAATCAATGTAATATGAATTATCCTCACAAGTTAAACATTGTAATTAATCCAAACATGTTAAACATGGAGTATTACATTATGTACAAATACCAGATATGAGATAAAATTATTATGACACACATGTTACACAATTTTGTTAAGAATTGCATTATAAACAAGGATATTAACATTTTAAGCAATCTCCATTATCTAAATAATAATAATTCGTAACACAACTCTCACAATTTGATTCTGATGTACAAGTTTAACAATGTTCTGGACAATCGACACAATTTTAAGATAAATCAACAAATTATTTCTATAAGATGCATCCTAAACATGATGAGTTGACATCACATCCAATGCATCCAGGGTTAGTAAAACAGGTTTAATTAGGTTCATATCCATCACAATAAGGAGCTTAATAGAAATAACAACGACATATATGAGAAGAACCTTGACAAATACAAATCTCTGTTTGGCATTCTTAACTTGTAAGAATTTTTTCTATATAGGATTTTATGTTTACAAGTTAAGTAATAAGCATGAAATACAACAATAAGAAGCATAATTGAATTGTTCAACAAAATATATAATATTAATTTTATATTATGAATGAAACTTTAATGATTGCACAATTAAAACAAAGATTCTCTCAACCTAATTAATTGCAAAGAGGTTATGATGAATTATTAGCATATATTAAAACTAATGATATTTCATTTGAATTAATGCTAATGAAAATGAAATTTGAGGAAAAACTTAAAAAAAATGAATAAGCCTTAAAAACATGGTAATTTTTCTTAATTATAATCAGCAATTTTTTATTATTCTTGTAGCCATATTCTTAGGAAATACATATTAGAAAATTGAACATTCTCAAATAACTACAATATTTCAAAGAAATTTCAGATGAATTATTGATCATTAAATAACTATTTCCTTAAGTAAATTTAATGCAGATATGATTGAATGATACAACTATGTATTTATTTAACTTTGATAAATGCTTTAAAAGTTAGTTGATAAAAGAATTAGTTATTATTTTGACTCTTCTAACTTTCAATAAGCATTTCATAAATTTTATAATTAATCGATATTTCTGAATCTTATTATGATATGATTAATTCAATAAAATAATTAATCATATTTGATAATATGTAAACATTTCGTCATGTGGACAAAAATGTCATATTTGTGCTTAAGGATAAGGAGTAAAATAAAGAAATGAAAAGACAAAGTATAGAATTAAAAAAAAATAGTCCGCAAAATAAATAAAGAGAAGCTTAAAATAATCTTATAAATAAGTGGATGTAAAGCATCTCATTCATATCATTTATGTGAGAAAATATTTGTTTAAATACTCAGTACATTTTCGGGTACAAAAAGTCAATACTTTTAGATAATATTGAGAAATAAAAGAATGCCCTACTCTTGGATGAAATTTCTAATGAGAAATATAAATAAATAACTATAAATGAGAGAGAGTTTAAAGAGCATGTATTCAGTTCACTGCTTGAAAAAAAATATATTTAAGTTAAAGGAGAACTGTATAAAGAGGATTTCGAAATAGCATGGAGTTTGACAGAAAAGAAATAGCCATTAATTATTTTGTTAGGTGGAACCTCAGGTACAGGTAAAAGCACAGCAAGCAGCATATTAGCATCAAGGTTTGGGATTTCTATAGTGTTGAGGTAAAAAATGGTTTATTAGAAAAATAGCACAGATTCTATAAGACATATAATGAGGAACTTTATATCAAAAGATGACAATCCTGTACTATTTGCGAGCACTTATGAAGCTGGTAAGACTTTACCAGACTTGAACATTAGTGATCAAAGGAGGACAATCAAAGGATATAAAGCATAATGTCAATTAGTATAATAAAGATTGGAATATGTTATTGAGAATTTTAATTAAAAAATGGAATCAATCATAATAGAAGGAGTACATTTGACACCAATTTTTATGATGAAAATTATGAAAAAATATTAATTGGTGTTACCATTTGCAATTTGTATAAAGAAGGAATCAAAACACAAAGAGAGATTTGCAGTTAGATCAAAATATATGACATTAGATTCAAGACATAATAAATATATCGAAAATTTCTAGAATATAAGATTGATTTAGAAGTGGTTTCTTGAAAAAGCAGATGAATTTCTAATTCCTAAGGTTGATAATGTAAATGTAGATAAAAGTATAGATACTATTCACAGAACAATAATCTAATATATTAAGCATTCTTCTACAGAAGTTTAAATAAATGATTTAAAGAATGCACTACCAATTTATGAAGAATTTAATAAAATTATCAATAGTGTAATCAGTGATGCTAAGAATTCAAAAGAAGTTAAGGATTATATTCATAGTAAAGTTAATAAATCAGAGATAGTTGAATAATTTATTCAACAAATGAACGAATATTAAGTGGACACAAATACTCCTATGATTCAAGAAAGTGATAAATCTAATCCAAAAGTGCTTATTTAATAGTCAGTATAGAAGTTCAATGAAATTAATTTGAAAAATGAAAAAGCAGATAATTAAAATAATCTTACAAACAAAACGGAAGTAAATTACATTGTTGATGATTAAAACGAGAAGAAAGATAATATTAATCATATCAGTGATTAAGAAGACGAAACATAAGAAAGAAGAAGAAGAAATTAAGATAAGAATACGATAGAAAAATTGAAGAAGACAAAATCATTAGAAAATATGGTAACGATGGCAAATGAAGAATAAACCCAAAAAGAACCAGCTAAAGAATTAACTATTAAAAAGAATCTTAGAGTTGTCTTCCAAGAACTAGAATATGAAAAAGAGGAATAAGAGTTAAATGAATAACGACCTCATAAGACAAATTACAAAGGAATTCTACAACATTTAACCAAACATAAACGAATATTTATTAGTAAGAAAATACAATCATCTAATCTTATCTTTATTAAGAAAATGATATCTAATTATAATAAAAACTATTAAAGTCATGATAGAATTAAGTTACTATAAAACAATGATGGAAGCTATTGCTTATTTAAAATTAATGTACAAAAAATTCAAAGAAAAACTGCATCTAGAGAAGAATCATCTAGTGAACCTGATGATAAGTAATATCTTTATAATTTATTCATTAGTGATTAATCTGTTGCTTAATAAGGTAAATCTTTTATGACTCCTTCTAATTTTCCATTTAGTGAGAGGAGAGATTAATCAGATGGAGACTCTGTTAGATTTAGGAATGATGGAAATAGTGATGAGGAAGAAATTGAAAATGATAATGATAATGAAAATTCTGTTGAGGGTATTATCTACTTCATTTCTAGAAGCATCTAGTTCCGAAGAAGAAGGAGCTTTAGAAAATTTGAAATCTAAAATTAATGATGATGAGGAAGACTTCTTTGAATTATAAAATATTATTGAAGAAGATGAGTTTTAGGAAGACATGGATCCTCTTATTTAAAACGATTTAATAGAATAATAAGTTGTCTGAATATTGATTTTATAAATATTTTCTCAATTTCATTTTTCATTAGAATTTATTTATATGTGAGCATATCAAATTTTACTTTGAAAACTTATTTATAAATCATAGTACAAGACTTTCCAAAATGATTATTAAATATTAGAGAGAGGACATTTTCGCAAAATAGAAATTATTACAAGAAATAATTTAGTTCAAAATTTTAAGATTGATAATTAAATCCATATTATAGCAATATATGAACTTTAGAATTTTGGTAGTACTTGGTGAATTTGATTGCCATCATTTTAATTTTATATTTATGGCTTCAATGTTTCTGTATTTATTTAATGGAAAGTAATAATAATATAAATACTCATATCTTTATTAAATTTTTTTCACTTTTTGTAATTGTTTCTACAAAACATCAATTTTATCATATACATCACATTTTGAAGCCTAAGTCAAATTAAATAAAAATTCTTTCTGGGTTATTAGGATGATTTATTATCATAATATCCAGGAAAACTTTATTATAGAAATAAAAAAGATGAAAAATAGAATAAAGCAGAATACAAATTAAAGAATTGTAAAATTGAAGAATTGATCAGCTCTATAAATTTTTCTTGAAAATGCCATTCTTAAAATCATTACAAAGTCTGATTCAGATCATAAAAAATTACCATAATCTTAATACTTATTTTTAAGAATATAATCTCTTAAATCATTTTAACAATTTTTGGTATAAGATTAATTTTGTAAATTTAAAACATCTTACTAAACAATTTAAAATCTTTATTTCTACTATAAAAGAAATAAAAAAAACAGCAAATTCCTTTTATATACTAAATTGTCTAAATTATTATTATTTTAATGTATATTAATTAAAGATTATTTTTATTCTTCTAAAAGTTATAGAACTTTTTATTGAAATCAATAAATTATTAATTATTAATTAATTTTTTTTTAAGTAATTTACAAATTACAAATATCAATAAAATCACTAAACTAAACCTTTTTTATTGATTAAAACTCTAATTTTTCCTTAGGATAGTTTTTAGCAAGATTTTATTGAAACTGATATAGGATTGGTAATAGAAAAATATTATCCATCAATTTAGAAGTAAGTTTTTAAAGGCTCGTTCTTTCTGAAAGTTAATTAAATAGGTCCTTTAGTCTAGCTTAATCTAGTTGCTTGACCAGGTAAAAGTCTTTCAGATCCAATACCTAAAATAGAATTAAAAGATAAAAATTCTAAGACACCATCAGAAAAAGAAGGAGGATGTAAATCATACTTTTTATAACCATCTTTGTATTGGGCATTCATCCAAATATTTTTTAATCCTCCTGCATAAGAATTGATATTTAAACATAATAAGTTAATAGGATTTCCTGGAATTGTGATAGAATCTCTTTATCCAGTATTTTCTGTAGTTTTGAATAATAATTTGTTCTACATATTATCTAGCTCTTCCAAATATTCAAGTGTCTCAATAGATTAATTGATTTTTGGTGTTTTTAAAAACATTTTCTTGAAGCCTTCCCAACAATAAACAACTTTATTGCAGCACTAATTATCTGTTCTATTTTTATCAAATCCATATCCAATTCTTGCATCGACTCCTATACTAAAATAGTTAATCATAGGTTTATAGAACTTAGAATCCTAGAGTAGTATTTTTAGTTCTCCTACACTATTAGAATGCCTTTTAATTTCACTAATAAATCCATCCTATATTTTAAGAAAAGAAAATACCTCCTTAAGAGTAATATCAACATCCCAAACATCAAAAAATGATTCAGCCCCACTAAGCCATTATTCCACATAACTTTGCAATACCTTATTATTTTTTCCAATTAGATCAGCTGGCACAGTGGTTCCCCAACCTAAAGTATTTGCAAAGTCATTTCCAGTTCCTAGAGGCAAAGGGATAATTATGCATCTATTTAGATCAATCTAGTGTTCTAATAAAAATCCAACAATCCACATTATGGAACCATCTCCCCCGCCTATAACAATATGAATGTCATTTTATGAATGCTGTTTGACTTATTCCATTCCTTTATTTCTGGAAGATGCTTCATTGATATTAAAAAATTTGACCTTAGTATGTTTTGGATTTGTCTCGAATAGCAACTCTTGTTACTAAATCATTAAAATTATTTACATCAAATTTCTAAAACTACAATCCTCTATTACCTCCACTAACTGAATTGTAGAAAAGATAGAATACTTGTTCAAAACCTTAATGTTACATTTAATTAAATTAAATTAAATCACATCATAAAGTATAAGCTTCTTATATTTTTCTGCTTTGCTAATTCTATAAACTTTCACTGTATTGAAGATAGGTATAATAATCTAGTTTTTTTCAAAATTATTCAAGAATTAGTTTTAATAAATCTTTTTAGAATATTAGCTTTAAAGAGGTGCAATATCTTTAGTAGATTTATAAATATGCGATCTCAATCTATATTTTTTTATTACATACATCACATGAAATAATTTACGATTGATTGAGTTACTTTACATTATATAGTATGTTTATTGNTTATCTAGCTCTTCCAAATATTCAAGTGTCTCAATAGATTAATTGATTTTTGGTGTTTTTAAAAACATTTTCTTGAAGCCTTCCCAACAATAAACAACTTTATTGCAGCACTAATTATCTGTTCTATTTTTATCAAATCCATATCCAATTCTTGCATCGACTCCTATACTAAAATAGTTAATCATAGGTTTATAGAACTTAGAATCCTAGAGTAGTATTTTTAGTTCTCCTACACTATTAGAATGCCTTTTAATTTCACTAATAAATCCATCCTATATTTTAAGAAAAGAAAATACCTCCTTAAGAGTAATATCAACATCCCAAACATCAAAAAATGATTCAGCCCCACTAAGCCATTATTCCACATAACTTTGCAATACCTTATTATTTTTTCCAATTAGATCAGCTGGCACAGTGGTTCCCCAACCTAAAGTATTTGCAAAGTCATTTCCAGTTCCTAGAGGCAAAGGGATAATTATGCATCTATTTAGATCAATCTAGTGTTCTAATAAAAATCCAACAATCCACATTATGGAACCATCTCCCCCGCCTATAACAATATGAATGTCATTTTATGAATGCTGTTTGACTTATTCCATTCCTTTATTTCTGGAAGATGCTTCATTGATATTAAAAAATTTGACCTTAGTATGTTTTGGATTTGTCTCGAATAGCAACTCTTGTTACTAAATCATTAAAATTATTTACATCAAATTTCTAAAACTACAATCCTCTATTACCTCCACTAACTGAATTGTAGAAAAGATAGAATACTTGTTCAAAACCTTAATGTTACATTTAATTAAATTAAATTAAATCACATCATAAAGTATAAGCTTCTTATATTTTTCTGCTTTGCTAATTCTATAAACTTTCACTGTATTGAAGATAGGTATAATAATCTAGTTTTTTTCAAAATTATTCAAGAATTAGTTTTAATAAATCTTTTTAGAATATTAGCTTTAAAGAGGTGCAATATCTTTAGTAGATTTATAAATATGCGATCTCAATCTATATTTTTTTATTACATACATCACATGAAATAATTTACGATTGATTGAGTTACTTTACATTATATAGTATGTTTATTGATACCAACCCAAACTTAATTATCAAGATAAAATAAAACTAAATTTTTTAAATAAAAAATTCTTAAATCGTAAAATTCTTGCAATTATAAATCATTATCAATAAAAAGATTACTTTGCAAAACTACTTTAAATTAAATTTGGATGAATTATTGGAAATACAAGTTCTCTATCTTTTATATAGCAGGCCTTAACATTATCAAAATTATATCTATAGTTGAAATATCTTATAAACTAAAAGATCTCATAAAAATAAGTATTTCTTTATTTCGCATATCTAATACTGTCCACAGAAAAAATAAATGGTTAAAATTTAATGTTATTTATTCATCATTCTTCTCTGCTGTTTTTTTTTTCATGTAAAAATTGTAGCTTGCTTTGCTGTGATTTATTCTAATAATAGATTAAATTACAAATAAAACAAGACCGTATATAGTTCATCATTTATAAAAAAAGCTAATCATCAAATAATTTAAAAAAAGCATAATGTTTAATGCAAATAACATAAACTAACTTTAGAATGTCATTACATGATCATGGCGAAATTAGAAATAAATGTACAAATTTTTAAATAAAAGGTTGGCATAAATATTATAATAGATCAAAACAAGATATATAAAATGATAAATTATTATGATCATAATGAGATGTTCTAGATTTCAATTTTATAATAAAAAATTTTAATACAAAAATATCAATCAAATCGATGTATGACAGAATATATAGAGCTTAAGATGATCCACTATATTAAGAAAAAGATGTAAATACCTATCGTTTACAAATACCTGAAAATGAGTTGAAATCTCAAAAATCAAGTAGATTGACTTCATAAAGTCAATTAATGAAGATCGTGACAAATACAACGAAGACTCAATAATATTAACAGATAACTAGTAATGCAGCATTAGCTTCAGAAAAATTACTTATTGATTTATAAATTGTACAAGAAGAAAACGTAAAATTGATTAGCTAACTCCAAGTGTTGTAAATGAATAATAAATAATACCAAAAAGATATATAGGAATTTGACGAGAAATAAAAATAGTTAGAAAGTAAATTTAAGGATTAAATTTTGCGTATTTAATTGGAAAAGGATATAATCTTTAAGAAAGTTGAATAAGAAAATGTAAAATTGTTAAGCTAAGTTGAAGTTTATCAAAAGAAATAATCACAACATGAAATTTTGATTGACGATTATTTAGCTTAAATAGATAAATTAAATGCTATAAATAATTCATTATAGTAGTAATTGATCTTAGTATAGAAGGATAGTTCTCTCTTTTATAAAGATCAAGATAAATAGATATAAAAATTGAGTGAAATGAACTAATAGCTCTTAACCTAAATAGCCTAGTTAAATAATTAAAAAAGTACAGACTCATTACAGATAAAAGATTTAAGTATAATAAGGTAAACACTGTAAGAGTAAGTGAACAAACATTAAGAAGAAATCCTTTTAATTAATGAAAGATCGAATGAACTTTAGGATTAGAATTCTTAATTGAGTTAAATGAATACAGAGTATTTGAATTAAATAACAATGCTTTAAACTTAATTATCAGAAGTATAAAGCAAATTATAGTTAAATGTTTATGAAAGAGAGACAAAAATAAAGTTGAGTGAATAGTAACCCAGATAATCAAGTTCCAATAACGGTAGATAGATTGAAGAGTTAAATGCCAAGATTTTAAACCTTAATAATTAATTAAATTAAACAAACCAACAAAAATCATAATTATAACAAGAATTGTATTAAATAAAAAGATAGTTATAATAAGAGTAAGAGGATAAGTTATCTATTTAGTCTAGATAAACAAATTCAAATCAACAATAAAAATTAATAGTAGAATTGGAAGAGAGAATTAGATAGCTTTAGAAACAATTAGAGAATGAATAGTTGAGTAAGTCAGTTAATAATGGTGATTTAGATATTAAGAATAAACAGATATTGGTGTTAGAATAAAAGAATTAGAAATTATAATAGTAATTGGACTAATTAAGTATTTAGATGGAGGAAGAGAAAAGTTTATTATATAAAGAAATAGATCAATTATCTGATTAAAATAGAAGAGTTTAGCAATTGAAAAACACTGAGTATGATTTGGAGTATAAGAATTCTGTAAAGTAAAAGGAAGCTTTACAATAAGAACTGAATAAAGCTAATTAGAGTATTCAAAAGTTTCAGAAATAAATTAAGACATTGGAAGATTAAATTATGCAATAGGCAAATGAAAACTCAAAAATAGAAAAATAGAATAGATTAATAGAAGATTTAGAAGAATAGCTAAAATAATGTAAAAGAAAATATGAATAAGAAATAAAGGATTATAGATTTGAAAATTAATAAATGAATTAATAATTGGAGAAGGTTCAATCTGAATTATAATAAATAAAATAAAAATATTCAAGGGAAATAGAAGATGTGGAATCAAGATTGTAAAGAGAAAATTAAAGAGTTTCTTTATAATTAAATGATAAAGTTTCTGATTTAAGTTAATTAGAATTAAAAAATAAATAATTGAAAGAAGAATTGACAAACTTAGAATAAAGATATGAAAAATAATTAAGAGAAGCGAATAAAAAAATAAAAGATGTTACAGATGATTTAGATATAATGATTGAAAATTATAAAAAGGAGAAATAAGTAAATTTTAATAATTATATTATTTAATAGTTAAGTTAGAAATGGGAAAACTAAAATGAAGATTTAAGAAGATAATTATAAATTTAAGTAGAAGATGTTAAAATAAAGACAGAAAGATTAAGTGTAGAGAAATATGAAAGATTATCAATAGAGTCACGTAAATAATATGAGTAGGTTTAACAGAAATTTAATAATGAAATTAATTAATTATAGGGAGAACTTAGATAGAAAAACGAATAAATAAATTAACAAAAGTAATTGAACTAATAGTAAGAATAAAAAATCAACAAGTTTGAAAAATATATACGTGATTTAGAAGATTAATTGTAATAATTATCTAGGAAAGAAGATTAACTTAATTAATCAAGAAATTAATCTTTGGCAGATTCTTTGAATGTGAAAATTATGCAATTAGAAAATAATTTAATCAAGGCTTAAAAGAAAGAAGATTAACTTATTTAACGTATTCGATAATTGGAGCAATAATAGAATTCATTTAGAAATGCATCAGAGCAAAGAGATTTAGAATAAAAAAATAATTAAATGTTCGAAGAAATACAAATACTAGTATAAACAATTAAAAGTTAAGACTTTGAAATTTAGAATCTAAAGAACGAATTAATTTCTTATTAAAGGGAAGTATCATTCATGAAAGAAGTTGTAAAGGAGGATACAAGTAGATTGGAAACATCTTTATTAGATGATAAAAATAGAAGAATTGTTGAATTAGAAAATAAATGCGCATTGCTGGCTAATGAAAATACTAGATTAAATTAATTAAAAGTATATTTATTAATTTTAAATAGGCTAAATTAGCTGATGATTGGAAGAAAAAATATGATTAATTATAATCCGAATTAGAAAGAAGTTTAAATCTTAGAGGATAAAATGAAAAGAACAAAAATATTATAATGTCTAGTAATTTTGGATAAATTTCAAATGCAAAATGAATTATTTAGTATCATAAAATTAATTAATTTTCTGATTATCTCTTTTTATATTTGACATAGCAACCAAATAACAACATTCCCAAAAGAAATACTAATACAATTCCAAAAACAAGCCAAATTATAAATTATAAACTTTTGTTATCATCAATGTCACTATTTTGATTAATTTCAATGGTATCATTTTTTTCATGAAAATTGTTTTTTAGAGTAATTTAAATTTATTCTGATCTCAAATGATCATAAATACAAAATTTTGTAGTGTTATGTATTTCGAAAAGTGCAAATAATTCCTTATTGATTGCATTTGTTAATAAATAAATTTAGGATTCTTGTGTAAAAAAAGCTTATTATGAGACTGAAACATTTTAATATTAGATAGCTCCTGAAAATAATGTAGAAGAATTAGTTGGATGTACATAACTTAATTATAAACTGTAAACAGCACTTATATATGTAGTAGTTTAATAGTAATTCATAAATAAATATTAGTCTTTATATATTCTAACCTAACTAGAAGGCCATGTACCATATCCTTAAAGTATTTACAAAATTTTATAATTATTAATAGCACATTAATAGAGGTTTTGTGTTATCTTGCAAATTGATTATATTTATAGGATATAGTGTGAATGTTTATATGATTAGCAGAATAATTCAGCAGTAAACAATTATTACTAAGCTTTGCTTTTTTTTATTAAAACTCTATAAAATAAAGTTTTGGGATCTATGTAAAAGCCTGTTTATTAGATGACAACTAATAAATCAATTTCAGCTTATTATATTAAAAGGAATTGGTTTTCTTTGAGTTGATACATAGAAATTGTGATTTTATTAGATTGTTTAGAGAAAATTTAAAAATAATTTTATTCAGGGGAAATTATTGCTTGAAAATATCCTTGTTGAGAATAATTAAAATTATGAATATAGGATATTCTATCATCTTTAAAGGAGTAAACATCTATTGATATATCTGAAATAATAAAGTATAAATTGTATAAAACTTAAATAGTTTTAGGATCAGCATTTTAATTAAGACAATCATATTTTTTAAGGCATTTGAAATCCTTGTCACATTAGATTATTTAAATCAAATAGGAAAATTTAGGAGTAATTGTATAGGAAGAAATGAAAATAAGTTCTTCATAAATTGATATGATTTTAATATATGTAATATTAGTATCTAAGAAATAGATTTACTAAAGTTTAGTAGTCATATTTAATTTGACAATTTTATCATCATGTAATATAAGTACAGAATCTGAAATATACTCTTTAATATCTAATCCTGAAGAACAAACTTCCTTTTCTAATAGATGCATGGATTTTCTTAATTTCAGTTATGCACTTTTCAAAGTGATATCCACAACTTATCCTGTGTACCAGGAATATTTACTTTGACAATAACCAATAGGTCTACCTTAAGTAAGTAATTCTTCAAGATTCAACTATGTTTTATTAACTGTAATAGTTGTATATGGATTAACAAGAGTTGAATTAACTAAATATTTATATTGATCTTTGTTATCATAACTTGAAACTGTTAAGAATGTATTAACTTTGATTAAATAATTTGGATTATCTATATCTTGATAATAAATGGAATATTTTATTAACTTTGGTACTTCAAAGTAATGATTGATATCAGCTATGATAAATAAATTTGAAACTGGATATAATAATTTATATTTGGTTTAGAAAGTTGTCAACAAAGCATTATGACTACTGCATTCCATACAATATACATAGATAGAGCCTAAACTATCTTGGCTATTTTGAAAATAGACATATGAGGCTTATTAATTATGATAAAACTTATTAGGAATGACGTTATATAAGGAAATAGTACTTTGATATTGGATATATGTTAAGGAAGTTATTTTGAATGATTCAATGATAGTAGTATCCTTATAATAGATCCAAATAATATCTTAAAAAGAAAAAATTGTTATAGATTTGTTATAATTAAGGGTAATTATATTGATTGGATATATATCTTTTTCTTACATTGAGATGAGCAACAACTAGATACCAGTTTAAACATATAATAGTTTATGATAATCATTCGTCTATATATAAGTGGGATTCCATGAGATATTAAAATTTGACATATATTCTGTAGTGAAGGTTTAAGACTTTTAACATTAATCAACAATTTTGTATATAACTACTAATTGATTAGAGTAGAGCACTGCTAGAAACTGATTGATATATTAAAATTGTATAATCTAATGATCTTAATCAGGATAGATTGTACATTAATAAATAAGAGATTCAGATACTTTCCAAACATCTAATTATTGATTATTTTTAACTACAATAAACACAATGTAGCCATAAATAAAAAACTCATGCTAAACTTATGACAAATTGAATTCAAGGAATATTTGACTTGCATATGTACAAATCATATCTGTAACACAATAGTAAAATTGTACATACAAATTTGAAGATTAAACAAAATACAAGTAAGTAGTTGCAACATTTATTATTTTAATATATTGGGGAGATGTTTCAGATATAATACCACTTATGGTCTTTTGTTACAATTATTCAAAATTAATACTGAATTAAACTTAATTCACATTAAATTTATTGATATTATAAAATGTAATGTTTGGACCATCTATAAATCTTTGAACTTCATATGATTCTATTTAGCTATTCAATATTGTATTAAATTGATTCATTACTGTAGGAATAGCTTCAGTAGAGTTCAATGCTATAGTCATATATCTGATTTTAAGAGTGCAAGATTCGGACGAATTTATTGACTATATTAAACTAGCTTATCTAACTTATTAATATAAGTAATTAGACTTGAAATATAATTATCTATTCATTCTAATTATAATTCTTCGACTCTCCTATTCATTAAATATTATTATTTCATCTTATGTTTAATCCATAATTAATTTAGAATTACTATCTATCTGAATTATTTCTAGATTTTTCAAATTAAATTACAATAAGTTTAATTCTTCTTTATTTTATAAAATTAGGCTTTTTTCTGTAAAATAAATCTTAGATTACTCTTCTTTATTTTTAATATTCTCTTAAGTTTCAAAATCTCCATTCACAATATAAATTTTTTATTATGTTAGAAAAGCAAAATACTAATATTAAATGTGATATGCTAAAAATACTACTGGTAATTCCAAATTTATTTTAAAATACTGTTCTATTAGAATTAATGGGAATTCTTAAGCATTTATCAATATCACCCATTGATTCTTATTCAATATTGTTATAATTTACTATTCTACTTACACTTATACTATTTATAATTCAATCATGACTTTAGTATCATTTAATCTTTCATTAATATATTTATCATCTATTTCAAAAATACTTTAAATTGTTTCACCTATCTATATAAATTAAATAGATGACTATTTATAATCTTCATCATAATAAAATACACGAATCAGTATTTTATCTTAAAAAGCAAATATCTTTCTTTTTATTTTAAAATCTTAAGTAGAATTTTAGGTAAAATATTAGATTTTACTTGTCTCGTTTTAAAGAATGAAAACATTACTACTTTCATTAAAACAATCTACTATTATCGTCTATCTATTCATTATTTCAATATCATAACATGTTTGATTACTTATCACAAAATTTAATTTGAATACTGGTAAACGCTAATTGTACTCAATTTAATAACTATTTGTGTGTATTTCATATTAATCATTAAATTTATTCAATAATACATATTGATTTACTGCACTGTAGTCTCTATAAGATCTCAAATACTTCACACTCACTATATTGTTAAAAGAATATTTCTGATTCGAATGAGTATACAAATATTATTAAATATTAATGTCGCTATCATTTCCTACTAACACTATTTAAAATTGCTCTTATTTAATGAATAATTATTAAACATCCATACTTTAAGTTTCATTAATTTTATTCACTAGGACTAATTCGTTGTTTGCTAATTAAGTACAACCTTTTGCAATTCTAATATAAAACAACAACAATATGGATTATAATAAGGCAACCATTGTTATTAATTAAATATATAAATTTTCATTCATTACAATTATATTCATATTGAAATCTAAATCTAAATAAACTCAAAAATAACTATCTGTTTACACTCTTTGCTAATTTAAACATAAATTAAATTTAATAAAAATATCATTTATTTCAGTCAACTTATAAATAAGGCCATTATTCTTGCTAATAATGACTTTTTCTGAATCCATTCTCATTAATAATAATTATTGGCAGATAGATTAATAATTCTTTCTCATCATCCTTTCATACTTGATTGTCATTTTCTCAATTACAAATTCTTTCTTGAATTTAATTTCTAATAAAAACATAACTTTAATTTAAAAGCTATATTTAAAGTACATTATTTAAAATGAAAACTAATTTTAATGCATACCATGAATAAATCTAAATATTTTTACGCATCTTTGCATAATTATTAATATCTAATTGCTTTCAATACTATTAATACTATTTTTATTTTTGTAAACATATAGATTTAAACCATATTATCAAAATTTTATTGATTTATTTAGAGATTTTAAAATAATATCATTAATTAAACCTGTCTTATCATCTAATTTAATTGATTTGATGTCTATTCGTTACATATATTATAATTCTCAAATTTTATTAAATAAAATACCCACTTAGAAAATCTAAAATTAAAATATTGCTCTACTTTTAAACGTATTTTGAAAAATGACTTGCATATCTGAAATTTATGCTGTTAGAAAATAATCCACACATATATTTTTTAATTTTCTGTACCCAATAACATTTTCTTATTTATATATTCATGTCTTTATTGGTCTTCTATTTATTTTCTCAGGTTATTCATTTTATTTTGAATCGATTCAAATTCCTATTCATTATTTACTAAACTATTATTTACTTAATCACTTATTCAATTTTCTTACTTATATTCTCTTAAATATATCTAATTAATTAAAAACTCCCCTTTAATTTCTTATTTCGCAATTGATTTTATTTATATGTAAATGCTATATCAATGCTATTTAAGGTTTTTATGTAGAANGTTGTTTGCTAATTAAGTACAACCTTTTGCAATTCTAATATAAAACAACAACAATATGGATTATAATAAGGCAACCATTGTTATTAATTAAATATATAAATTTTCATTCATTACAATTATATTCATATTGAAATCTAAATCTAAATAAACTCAAAAATAACTATCTGTTTACACTCTTTGCTAATTTAAACATAAATTAAATTTAATAAAAATATCATTTATTTCAGTCAACTTATAAATAAGGCCATTATTCTTGCTAATAATGACTTTTTCTGAATCCATTCTCATTAATAATAATTATTGGCAGATAGATTAATAATTCTTTCTCATCATCCTTTCATACTTGATTGTCATTTTCTCAATTACAAATTCTTTCTTGAATTTAATTTCTAATAAAAACATAACTTTAATTTAAAAGCTATATTTAAAGTACATTATTTAAAATGAAAACTAATTTTAATGCATACCATGAATAAATCTAAATATTTTTACGCATCTTTGCATAATTATTAATATCTAATTGCTTTCAATACTATTAATACTATTTTTATTTTTGTAAACATATAGATTTAAACCATATTATCAAAATTTTATTGATTTATTTAGAGATTTTAAAATAATATCATTAATTAAACCTGTCTTATCATCTAATTTAATTGATTTGATGTCTATTCGTTACATATATTATAATTCTCAAATTTTATTAAATAAAATACCCACTTAGAAAATCTAAAATTAAAATATTGCTCTACTTTTAAACGTATTTTGAAAAATGACTTGCATATCTGAAATTTATGCTGTTAGAAAATAATCCACACATATATTTTTTAATTTTCTGTACCCAATAACATTTTCTTATTTATATATTCATGTCTTTATTGGTCTTCTATTTATTTTCTCAGGTTATTCATTTTATTTTGAATCGATTCAAATTCCTATTCATTATTTACTAAACTATTATTTACTTAATCACTTATTCAATTTTCTTACTTATATTCTCTTAAATATATCTAATTAATTAAAAACTCCCCTTTAATTTCTTATTTCGCAATTGATTTTATTTATATGTAAATGCTATATCAATGCTATTTAAGGTTTTTATGTAGAATACTTTGAAGTTCTTTATTTTATACTTCCTAAATATTTTAATAATTCTAATGAAACTTTAAATATCCTCTTGATAGAGGAGCATTTTTTTAATTAAGATTAGTATTATTTTTTAGAATGCAGTCTCGATGATTAAATTTCTTGAATATATTTGATGAATAATTATTAATTTCTTGTTATTTAGAGAGATTTTATTAAAGAAAAATTACAATTTTTTATCAAAGTAATCTCTATGATTTCATGGATTAAGACTGAAATCTTACCTCCTTATTCATTTTTCTCTTATAATGATTAAATTCTGTTTAAATATAGGTATGAACTATGTATTGCCATCAATAATTCTGATTTTTTATGATTAATGATTTAATTAAAAACTTTTCAAAATTAATTTATATGATGAAACTATGAAACCAAAAGATTAATAGCTTCATCATTTTATTGTTTTTAAGATTTTAACTATTTTTTAATCCTTTTCCTTCAATTTTTAGATGTTTGTATAATTTTATTAGGTATGCTTTTCTTGAAGATTTCGCTTGTTAAAATGAGTCTTACTTCTTTTTGATTTATGATTGTAATTTCAAGATAATTTTTTCTTATTTTTCTTATTGTTTAATAGTTTCAATTAATTTCAACTTGGACATTCTGTTAGAATTAATAAATTATAATTAAATGTAAGAAGAAAATCCAAATTTCGGTGATGTCTAAGATGATGAAGATGCTTCATTCAATAATAGTAGAATTCGTGATGAAGTTAATGAAGAGTTTCGAAAAGTCTCTGAAAATAAATTATAAGTAACAAAAGTGAATGAAGAAAATAATATTTGTACAATAAAATTATCAAGGACTAAAAGTGCTGAAAAATAATAGGATTATATGATTCTATTATTATCATTACAAGAAAAAGAATTATATATAAAATAAGTGAATTTTAAAGTTGATAGCTGGAAAGTCTATGCAGAAAGTGAGAAATTAACATAATTAGTTAAACAAAGTTAACATAATACTTTATTGGAATTAATAAAAAGCATTGTACCAGAGGTCTGCAATATTATATTATCTTTTGATATACCTAAAAATAGCGGAAAGAAATCAGATAAATAGGAATTTGGTAGAGCACATATTCATTCTCAACCTATTCCTTATTCAGGATTTTCTTTATGTTGTTGGTCTCCTTAAGGTCATCTCATAACAGTTCATAATACTGCTACTAATCATTAAAAATAAGCTAAAGATTAAAAGTCTTAGTATATTACTTAATAAGAATTAAATTCATTTGTATTTTCGCAACCTAAAACAAAACAATCGAATTAACAACAAAGACATGTTGTAGAAATCAGAGAAGATGAAGAAAATCTATAACCTTTCTTTTAAACTGGTATATAATTGATTTCAGAAAAAGAAGACGATGTCTACGATTATTTAAATTTCTAATTCTACTATCATTATTTTCCTCAATTTCATTAATAGGAAGTACCTAAAGAACAAAAAGTAGAAAAATTAGCATTTTATAAAGATTACGAAATTTATGATTTAAATAATAATCTTGATGTCCTTATTTTAGGAGAACAATTTAAAAATTTATCTAAAAAGGTTTATGAATAATAAGATAAAAAAACAGTAATCAATTAAAATGTTGAAATTAGTGTAAACATTATTCATTTAATTTAGATATATGATTTTGGTAGTTATTCTTTCCATGTTGATAATATATCACAATTGCATGAATATTTTATTAGTCATATGAAAAAGAAAAATAATAATGCTAATATTAATAATCCATTAAAAATCTTATATCAACCATTAGAAGAATATTTCAAATTATATGATTCAAGCATTTCCAGTTTTATTCTAACTAGTGGTGTAACATGTAATTAAATAATTAATTTAATTTAGTGGATCTGTAAGAATATAATATGAAAATTTTAAAAATATTATCTGATTGTATTTATCAACAATAATAAAAGAAAGTTTTATCTCAAGAAATGAATCTAATCAAAGACTTTTAAGAATATTTCAAAAAATTATGGAATTCCTAATATCAGATTTATAAATTGTATGATCAGATAGCTTATTCAATAAAAAAAAGTAATTTAAGAAATACAAAAAAATTATTAGAGTGTGTTTATTAATTGAAATTGGAATCAAATATTGAAATGAACGATTAAATAAAAGATCTTATAAAAGATGAAATCAATAAATACAATAATAATTAATCAAATCCAAAATTATTTGTTCAAGGAACATAAAGTGTTTCAACATATGATAATTTTTAGAAGATATTAAACGAATAACGTATTTATATAATATGGAATGAACTCAATAATTTTCCGCTAATAGTAAGTGATAAGGTAGAGTTTAGCAAATTGAATGTTCTTAAGACAGCATTAAGAGCTTAGAGTCCTATAAACTTTTGCATTTATAAGAAATTAAAATCATCTAGTTATTAGGTTGCTAATTTTCGAGATAAGCTAAATAATGAAATTTATAATTAGGGACCCTTATAATTAGGAAATGTTAAGTAAAATTAAAATAAGGCAATTTGTTCTATCTGTCAATAAGTTATTACAAGTCATGGATTATTTTGTAGTTCATGTTAACATGGTGGCCACTATGAACATATGTTATAATGGAAATAGACATGTCCAGTTTGTGATTGTGATTGTAGAAAATGATAATAATACATATTAATAAATTATTTCCTGCCTTTAATTTGATTCACTATTTTAAATAACATGAAATGTTCTAATCGAAAGAACAATAACAATTAAGGTACTCTTGAATATCTAATATTGTAGCTATCTATGAAGTATAATTTATTTATGGGAAAAAACTATTTAAAAACAATTATCATTATGCTGTTAAATGGTCAGGATGGCCAATCTCTTAAATGTCTTGGGAACCATTAACTAGTTTTACAGAAGATTCATGTTATTTAATAAGGTATTATATTCAATTTTTAAATAGACGCTTTGAAACTAGAATTTGTTATTTATTTTATAATAAAAAGATATCTCCATCTTAAAATGGCATCAGAATTCATGTAAAAAAAAGATTTTGTTAAGTTTATATTCCTTAAATCATTAATAAAAATAAGTCAATTATTGATCAAAAATGGAAATTATAAAATATTTCAAATTAACTTATTTAAACTCAATCTATTATAACTTAAAATATTAAGGATGTATCATTAGTTGCTTAAGATTCTAAATTAGAATCTAAAGGTATTATAGTCTAATTTAATCAATTACCACCTTTTTTAGGAGAACGATAAATCAAACAAAATATAGTTTCAATCTAATCAATGAATAATTTTAATTAAATTCTTAAAAAAGATAGAGAAATAGAAAAAGATATTAAATATTTAATTTCACTAGAAAAAGCTTAAAAAAACAAGATTAAGGAATAATAATAATAAGTTATACAATATTGTGATGTTTAAAATGAATAATAAGATTAAGGAGGTTAAAAAATTAATCAAAATCAATCTTTTAACTAAACATATAATAATAATAAACTTTCAAAAAAAAACACTAAATAATCAAATTCAAATGAAAAGAAAAATGAAAATACAAGATAACAAAGGCAAAAAATTAAAAAAAAATCAGAACCTTTCAATAATAGAATTACAAAAAAATTTTTAAGTCGTTCCTTTGATTAAGAAAAAAAGAGGAAGTAAGATTAATCATATGGTGAAATTATTACTATTGAAGATGACTGTGAGTCTTTTTAAGTTGATATTTAAAGTTAAGAGGAAGTAGATCTAAATGAAAAAAAAGAAGTTTTTCATATAAATGTCAAAAAATAAAAATAACTTTAAAAAAGTACTTCCTTAATTTTAGAATAATCTTTAATAATTGCTAAAGATCAATAACAAAAAAGAGAAAAAGGTAGGGCAGTGAAAACAGCAAATTTCAAAACATTTCAAAATTTAATTAATTAAGAATCCTAAATATAATAAGAAGAAAATAAGAATGATGACGATATAAATGATAATTAGATTAATATGATATAATTCGATGATTACTTAAATAATTCTAATGAAAATTCTCATAATACTATGAGTAATAATAATGAAAATAATAATAATAATGACAACAATAATATTAATAATAATAATAATAACAATATTAACAAACAAAAATTTATCATAAAAAGTGATAAGTCATAATATTTCTAAAGTAATGTAATAAAAGATTAAGTAAATTAAAATAAGATATAAAAAAATGTGGAGAAAGATGATTTATAAGATTAAATTTAAAATTAAAAAAAGAAAGAAAATGAAAATTTAGTAGATATTATATTCAAAGAACCAAAGTAATAAAGCCAAATAAAAACAAGTCAGTAAATTTAATAAGAAATATAAAAACTTCATTTAGATAGGATGGCTTAAAATAAACCAAGTAGATGCAGTGTACCAATTATTCCAAGAATAAAAGATGTTTAAATTTAAGTTTATATAATTGAAATTGATTAATAAGAGATGATACAATATGATTCAGAATTAAATAAAGTGATAATTCCAAAATTGATGATTTCCACAATTAACTCACATTAGTTAATGAATGAGTAGTTATTTTTTTAATGTCTGTATGAAAATGGTAAAGAATATTATTTATAATATGATGAATTGAAAGCCTAGAACCCTTAAGAACTGTTAGATTATATGATATTAAATTCTATGTTAATTTGAATTATTTATTTTTTATTAATTTAAATTTAAGTCTTTAACGCTTTTTGTTTAAAATATACTTTCTGTAGTATTCTATTTAGAATTATCATTGATTAAAATGAAATAAATAATAAAATCAAAATTAAATTAGAATAGCACTCATATTATCATAGCCATTTTCTTAATTAATATTTTTTGCTATTAATTAATTGAATAATTTTCCTAATGAATTATTTTCCATAAGATTTTTGCTGATTTCTAAAATAAGTATGATAAAATTACATTAATTATCTGCACATTCCCATATACCATCTGAAGCTAATAGGATATATTTATTTTATGGTCTATCAATCATAAAAATATCTGGTTTTGATGAAATTATAGAACATCTTGACGATTTCAAGAAAAAATCACCGAATGCTCTTGCGACAGTCAATGAACCTAGAAATTATGATAAATAGTTACCATTAATTCTATCATCCCTTATATAACCACCATTAGCTATTATTCTATCATATTCCATTTCAATGTTATGATCATATGAAAGTTATTAAAGAGATTCATTTGAAAATAAAATAGCTCGACTATCTCCTAAGTTAGCTATGTACACCTTCTCTTTGGTAACCAAAACAATAATAGCAGTACTTCCAACTTTTGAACTAGCAATTTGATGAGCAAGTATCGTATCCAAAGTTTCAAAAGTTGATTCTAATACTACGTAATAATTTTCTGGATTTTTGTTTAGTTCCATCTCAAATATTTCATAGAAATGTTCAGACAAAAATTCTGAAACTTCTTAGCCTCCATGTCCATCAAAAACTCCATAAAGTTAAAACTCTTCCTGCTCTTTAATTAAAATAAAGTCTTCCATATATTCTCTCCATCCTTACATTTAACAAGAGGAACAAGTAATCCCTTTTGAGTGAGTACGAGTAGTCTTCTGAGATAAATTTGGTTTAGACCCTTTTATACCCATAAATTTTAATAAATAATGCGTATTATCTAAGTAATTAAACCATTTATATGAATATTTCATCATTTCATTATGATAACCATTTAATCTAACACACTATAGTTTATAATAACTATATTATATAAAAAGATTTGTGATATTCTTATTGATGATCATATATAATACGTATTTATTATTTTTTGAATGAAAATGTATTTTTATTATTGGTTACCTAATAATCATGAAAGAATGATTAAATTATTGAAGGAAAACATGATTATTAAAAAATAATTAGCTTAATAAATAAGGATATTTATTAGCAAGAAATCAAGTAAATTTACATATGTATAATTGATAAAGTATTATATTTATTGAATTTTAAAATCTTGATGGTAACAAAGTTAATTTATAGAAGTTCATACTATAAAATATTGAATTTAATTAAAACTAAAATTAATATATAAAATCGGATTGATATTATATTTAACCAATATTATGAGAATTTATATATATTATAAATTTTTATTATAATTAAATTTTTAGGAATTGAAGAATTATTTTTGTTTCTAAGTTTATTTTTACTTGTATGCATAATCTTTAAAATAAGTAAAGGATTAAAAATGATTATTGAGATACTAAGAGTAATAAACTTTTAGTGAATTTTGGTTATTTTCTTGAATAGAATTTGGTAGTAGTCGAATAAATTTTAGGTGAAAGATTATGAAAAAGAGGATTATTAATCTTAATGGTTTTCATTTAATCTAATTTTTGAAATTATAATTTTTTAATATTGATAAATTCTAAATGCATATTGGAATCACAGAATTCCAAATTACTATTTTTATACAGCTTTAATTAAAATTCTTAGCAATAATTAATGTAAGAAACAGAAATATAACCATAAATAGAAGCTGGAAGACTTAATGACACAGTTTAGAGTGCTAAAAGTTTAAGATGTAGAAGAGTTGTAGATATTGCATTTTAGAATATTGAATATTAAGTGGTCGATTAAAAAGGATGTAAGATTTATATCTAAGATTCTTAGAAAGAAGAGAAATTTTACGTAATTTAGATGGATATTGTCCGGGAGGTGAAGTAACCGCTATTTTGGGAGCATCTGGTGCTGGTAAAACTTCATTACTGAACATTCTTGCTGCTCGTGTTTAAAGTTCTAAAAGTGTGAAACTAAAGGGAAAAGTATTAGCAAACTAAATGGAATATGATTGTGAGACTTTTTCAAATTTTGCAGCTTATGTAATGTAAAATGATGTTCTTTTTGAAACTTTAACTCCAAGAGAAGCATTACAATTTGTTGCAGATTTAAAATATACAGATCCTGAGTTAAAGTTATCAAGAGTAGAGGATACAATAAAAACAATGAAATTAGAAAGATGTTAAAATGCAATCATTGGAGGTCCAGCATTAAAAGGAATATCAGGAGGAGAAAGGAAAAGAACATCTATTGGATTTGAACTTGTTACTAATCCTTCGTGTATATTATTAGATGAACCAACTTCAGGATTAGATTCATTTACTGCTTTTTAAATTATGTATTATTTTTAGTTTAAAAAGATAGATATGAACTTTAATTATTAGCACATGATTAAGATAGAACTATTATATTTACTATTCATTAGCCATCATCAGATATCTATTTACTTTTCGATAGAATTATGCTACTTGTTTAAGGAAAATTTATATACTAAGGACCTAGAACTAAATTAGTTGGATATTTCAAAGGAATTGGGTTTCCTTGCCCAGATCATAGTAATCCTATGGATTATATGATGAGTATAATGCATCAAGAAAGTTAATTAAATATAGATAATTTTCCTATCTATTTTGATCAGTATGAAAAATAATTGCATTAACCAGTCTTAGATGAAATTAAAGACTCTTCAAAAACTGACTTAATTTATAAATAAGTAGAAACATCTACAGCATTTTAAATTAGCTTAATTTCAAAGAGAGCCATTAAAGGCTTTTTGAGAGACAAAATGATTATTAAGTAAAGAGTAGGTATGGCAATTTTCATGGGATTATTACTTGGATATTCATATTATGGTATAGGAGATGGTTCAGGGACATTTGCAGATTACACAAGTATGTCTGGATGTATGTTTTTCCTTTGTATAAATCTTACTATGAGTTCATTATTTCCTGTTGTATTGTAATTTGCTACAGAGAGAGATGTATTTTTGAGGGAAGAGAATTCTAAATTATATACTACCTTTTCATACTTTATGGGAAAATCATTTGTTGAAATACCTTTTTGTTTAATTACTCCAGTCATTTAAGAATTAATACTTTATTGGATGATTGGTCTTAATGCATAAGATGGAGGAGTTGTTATTGCACATCTTTTTATTACAGTTCTTACATGTTTAAATGGCAATAGTATGGGATTAATGGCTGGGTGTGCATTCAATGATATTAAAGTGGCAACAAGTATTGTTCCATTAATATTGTTGCCTTTAATAATCTTTTCTGGATTCTTTGCAAATTCAAAATAATTTTTTGTATGGATTGGTTGGATATAATATATAAGTCCAGTTAAATATTCATTTGAAGCACTGGCTACAAATGAATTTGAAGGAAGAAGTTATGAATTTGGAGATCCAATTGAAACTCTCGGATTTGAAGTTGGATTGTGGGAATCAGTAGCAATTCTTATCGCATTTGTTGTAGCAATTAGATTTGGAGCATATATGTTTCTTAAAATCTTAAGATAAAAATAATAATGATTGTTCTATAATATTTTATTTCTTAATAATAAATCATATTTCAAATATCAATTAATATTTATAAGATTATATGTATAGTTCCAACAATGTGTATGGATTTTATAATTCTAAAAGTAAAACCTCATTAATTAATTGATATTAAGATACAATAATTAATTCATGTGAATAATAAAGTTTTGAAATTGGAATTTATTTATATATATATATACATGTATAAAGTTATTAACATTTTTGCAAGTCATTTAAAATTTAAAGTAATGATAATAATAATCAAAAATTGATTAGAATATTCTATCATTTATTAAAGATATATTATGATTAGTTTATGAATAGTTTAATTTACGTATCACTTTTTAATAAAATTTGGTTTGGTTTATAAATTAGGAAAATGATTATAATGATATGAATTATAATTTATTATATATTAATGATTGATGATTCACAATAAATTATAAAGGAAATGATCTAAAGTAATTCGATACAACAATTAATGGATTTTATGAACAAAGTGAAACCAAACATTTTGAATTTAGATTGTGGAAAGAAACAAACAAGTATTAGTTTAAAAAATGAGATAAGTTCTACATATAGCTGTTTAGAGAAATGATTACCCATTTCTAAGATATCTTGAATAATATTCAAATGATAATTATAAAGGAAGTGAGATTAAAAAATTAGTTAATACATATAATATTGAAATCTTCACAGCTCTTCATATAGCATCTTACAATGGAAATTTGGTAAGTTTAATTGCATTTATATAAGGAAGCTGTGAAGATTCTATTAAATATGGGTGCTGATTGTATTTTGAAAAGTGGTTCTGGTTTATTGGCTATACATGCAGCAGCATAAGGTGATTAACCTTATATGGTGGTATAATGATCTTTATAATATAAAAGTGGTATTGGTTACAAAAAGGAATTCCAATCAATGTTTAAGATGATGCTGGAAATACTTGTTTACATTGGGCAGCATATTAAAAGTAATCTCTAATTTAGTATGCATTTAGTTGTGAATTAACTGTAAGCTATTTAATTTCATTTGGTTGCAATATCGATTTTAAAAATAATGCATAATAAACAGCATTACATATTGCAGCATCTTATGGACAATCAAGAATTGTAAAGAAATTACTAATAAAAGGTGCTCAAAGAAATATTTAAGTAATTTTATTTATTTATTTTCTATTAAGGATGAACATGGATAATTACCCATCAATTTGACAGAATCTATTTAAATAAAAAAGATGCTTAAAGACAAAACTGACTTGGCATTAATTTATAACTTAAAATAGCCATATCATCCAATTTAAAGAAATAGAAAATCTATTTTTATTTATTACTTTGTAATAATCACATCACAAAGTTGTATTGGTTATATCTTATGGGAAATGTAGGGAATATTGTTGTATATTTTTATGCTTTTTTTGGCTATCCTACTAATAGCATCAATATTAGCATAATGTTGTAATCCAGGAATCATTACATTACTTCTTTCTGTTGAAGAGGCTATAGCATAACAAATAGATCCAAATAATATCTGTCCAGATTGCTGGGTAATTAAACCTTAAAGATCAAAACATTGCGAATTTTGTTAAAAATGTGTTATTTTTTATGATCATCATTGTCCATGGATAAATAATTGTGTTGGAGCCAAGTAAATATTGTATAAATCTAACTAGAAATTTACTTTACTTCTATCTTTACCTTATTTCTTTATTGCTAATCTAAATTTATTCAGCAGTTATCATTGTTTATTGTAATTTATTTATTCATCATAGACTTTTTTATATCTGATAGTCTATCTTTATTTAAATATCTAATTATGCTATATCCTATTTTAAACATTTTGATTTTCATTACTCCGATTTTGTAAGACTTCAAACTAATTTTTATAGTCTTCTATGTATATACTAAACAAAGAATTTATATTATGGAATCACTACTTATGAAAGAATAACTGGATAAAAAGTTAGCATCAAATCCAGCTTATTAGCTCCATAAGTAAGAATCAATTATTTATATTCTTTAAGGAAAATATTCAAGATTCATAATCTGAGGAATCACAAATAGAACCATCAATCAATAATTGTTTTAATTAGTGCTTTAGAAATAAAAACCGATTTAAAAAGTATACATAAAGTTGATTAAATTACTAATTTTTATCATAATTTCACATTTCTTTTAATTTTAAAAGCCCTTTATACTTTTTATTATTACTATTATTAAATTTATTATTATTATTTTGTTTCAGATCTATTCCTTGTTTTGCTTTAACTTTAAGTTCTCAATTATCTAGAATCTAAATCGACTTCAGTAAATGGATATTATTTAACAGGAACTTATTCATATTAAGATTTTCTAAATTATTATTATTATTTTTATTATTATTATTATTTTTATTATTATTATTATTTTTATTATTATTATTATTATTAAGGTAATTTATTTTTTTCTTTTTTAATTTCTTAAGCTTTTTCATTTCTTGTTTATGTTTTTTATACTAGAATATCTTAATTGCCTTCTAAATTATCTTTTATTTATCCTTATGATATATATTAATAAAAAGCCTTTACTACCCTATTTAATTATTCTTTGTTATTTATAAACCTGAAAATGGATTAAATTAATACTTCAAAACCTTCCTTAAATATGGTTCAAATCTATAATGCATAGTTCTCATAATATTATATGCTAAGGATGTTCTCATATTAGCCAGTGTTTTAAATGGAGAAGCTGATAATCTACTCATAGGGTTTATAAGATTAAAATCTAGAAAGGCATTAACAATACCAACTCCTACTTATTCGTAATCTTAGATAGTAAAAAAATATGATTTTGGATTAGATGTTTAAAAAGATCCAAGGATGATATTTTCATCTAATTAATCATCAGTATAAGAATTATCTAGAATAAGATTCGAATTTTACTTGAACTCTCTTAATACATGATATTGGTAATTCTTCCTGTATTATAATTACATTCTAAAGTATAACTATGGATGATTCCACAAATTTTATAAAATGCAACTCTTCCAGAACCTTCTTTACTTAATCCATCTCCTTTATCAGCAGCATACATATTTTTTTCAGTAAAATTACATGCATCATAATCAAATATTTCTGAATACAAACTAATTAATCTAGGTATTATGCAATTTGATGTATGTTAACTTAATGATGGTAATTAATTACCATAAATGAAAACTCCTTTATGACCAGCATGTGCATGTAAATCAATATATCCATAAAATCTATCTGTATTTTAAAGTCTTAATATATATTCTTTAATAGCATATATCGTTGGATGATCATCCTTTTATGGTGATAAATAATATCGATTTAAATTTTAACATAAAGAATCAGTTCTATAATGTCCTCTATATACTCCATCAGGATTAATTATTGGAATAATACTCCAAACAAATTTCTCTCTTGCTACTTATGCTGCAGGATCATAAACATTCAACAAATATTTCATCAATCCATTATTTACAAATGATCCTGGCACTTCTCCTGGATGCACTCTAGCAGAAATAAAAATATGTGGTTTCTTAAAATATTAAGGTCTACTTTAAGGAAATAAGCCATTTATTGGTTCCTCCTTAATTAAAGATTATCCATGTGTTATTGTTATTAAATTTATTGGCCTACCTTCCTTTGAGTAAGCCAGTATTGAATTATCATAATATATATCTGGAACTTAAAGTGACATTCCCTAACATTATTAGAGAAAATTCTATAACTATTTCATTTCTATACATCATTATCTTCACAACTCCATGGATAAAAAAATGCAAAATAAACTGTTGAATCATTACTAAAATAATGTTTAAAAGTTATTTCAAAATGACCTTCTGGAACTAACCTATATTAACATGGCTACTTTAATCTTTCCCATTAAGATTAATGATAATTCCTGTAAACTGGTTACATACCATCTTTAAAAAGTCCCATCTAGACATTCTGTTATTATTTACTTGATTTTACAGATTGGCAATCACAAATGTAAGTTCACCATCATTTACTCCAGATACTGAAAAATAAAACCATGTTCTATAATTTGTTGTCTTACCATTTATTCCACAATCACTTTATATGTAAAGGATGTACTTAATTATATTAAAATTTATATACTCTTCCGTTGTTCTCTTTACGAACACTCTTTAGATTACCAGAATCAAATGCACTTGAAAAAGTTATTCCTTAAATTGTCTCAGTTATTTGAGATGGGTATTCGGTAGTATTATTCATCATTCAAATTAATATTTATAACAAGTGACAGTTTATAAAGTTTAATAATACATTATAATTTTCTTACAATCAAAACAAATTTAAACAATAATATCATCCTTATCTACATACTACTTATTAAATCAATTAATTTAATACTTAATCAAAAAAGAAACATTATAATAAATGTAATTTATTTATTCAGGGTTCTTATTCCTAAATTTAAATATACATTTCTATTTTATAATCATTAATAAAGAATTCTATTGAAATATTTTAGAAATCATTCTTTAATAAATAAACTTACTAAAATACTTTTAAGGTCATCAAATAAATTCTAAATTATAGATTTAAACAAATAAATGTATTTACAACATATTTTAAATTTATTATTAATAATTATAATTATTTTTAACTTACTTCTATAAGCATAAACATAATTTATTTTGTTTGTTACAAAAGTATCGATTTCAAATTTATTCACAAAAATTTTTAATAACAAGCTGATATAATTTGAAGTTTCCATTATTGAATATATAAATTTATATTATTTTAGCTTTAATGATAATAAAAATTTATTAAATTACTATTTAATGTTGGGAATTTATATGAATATTATTTTTAGAGATATTTTTATTTATAAAATGACTAAAAGAGTAGGTGGTAATGAACTTGGAGTTATTCTAGGTTAAGGTGAAAATGGAATGTAATATTCTTGTTTTATAATATTAATCAAGTGCGACTAATGTCAAAACTAAATAAGAATTTGCTATTAAGATTATTGATAAAGAAAAAATCAAGAGAGAAGAATTAATTGAAAGTCTTAAAAAAGAAATTCATATACTAATGATCATTAATCATCCTAACATCATAAAATTAATAGAAGTACATTTATATATCAAAATTAGGTACTTTCAAGCAAAACGAAGATTTATCTAGTATTGGAATGAATAAAAGGTGGAGAATTTATGATAAGAAATAATAAATATATTCTAGAACTATAAATGTGAAAATATTTTAGATAAATTATAAGAGCTATCCGATACTGTTAATCTAAATCTATAGAGATCTCAATCCAGAGAACATTTTCATTTGCAACCAAACAGATTAAATAAAAATCAACGATTTTGAACTTAGCTCTCTTTTTCAAGATCCAAGTAATCTTAATAATGAATTATACACTACATGTGGTACTATACATTATTTAGCTCCAGAAGAGATTTAATCTTCTGGGTATGATGGACATAAAGCAGATATTTGGTGACTTGGTGTAATTCTCTATTTTTCTTTTGCTGGATGTTATTTTATATTATTAAATTAGATTTGCCATTTGAAGATGATAATATTGCAATTCTTCTAGACAATATAATAACAGCATAATATTTTCCATTTCCAAAATACTTCTCTACAGAACTAAAAGATTTACTTTCAAAATTACTCACTACACATCTAAATAAAAGAATAACTATTGACAATATTATTTAGCATTCATGGTTTTAAACTGGTATCTCTACAGAAGAATAATAATGGTTTTTACAAGATGATTTTCCTATTTAACCATAACAATTTTCTCATCATTTATTGACCTGAATAAATTATTAAAAATGTTTTACAATATTTCTTACTTAAAAAACCAATTAGTATAAAATAATTAGAAATTAAAGATACATTTAATTTTTTAATTATATTTAGATTCAAATCTGATATCTAAATGTCTTTTGAAATCTTATGGATAATAAACAATAAATTTTTATTAAATTCGTAATTATTAGAGGTAATATTTTATTTTTCTGTTAGGGTCCCTCTGATATTTATAATATATAGTTTGAAATAAATTAATTTACATATGAATTTATCTACTTTAAAACGACAATATTTCTCAAATAAACTGTTTATTAATTAAGTAATCTTGGATGTTGAAATATAAAATATTCTTTTAAAATTAAAACATTATAAATTCAATAAATTATTTATTTACTAATAAATAATTTTATATAACCTCATTTCTTTTTTTTTTAATTATTTAGATTAATCTCAAAAATAATTTTGAAATTCTTTATTTAAATAAATTTGTTGGTTTTCTAAAATTCTTTTTAATCAAATTAAAATACATTTAGGAAAATAATTTAAACATATATATTCCAAAAAAACTATATATTTTTTCTTTGTTACTTTAAAATAAAGTAATTCATTTCATCAAATTTATTTCAAGTTAAAAGCAGTCAGATCAATATTTACATTCCTTTTCTTTTAAATTTATATAAAATTAGTCTTTCTTTAATTGCAATAAATTCTATATTAGATTATTTAAATTAAATAAGAATCTTTTAAACTTATCTTTACTTTACGTTTTAAGTTATAATTCTAATTAAACTATACCTTAAATTTGATAAAAATAAATTCAAATTAGAAAGTATAAAGTGGGTTTATTATTATTACTAATTGATATTAAATATAAAATAATCAAAAATATTATCATTCTCCTAGATTAATTGCTTTAATTTCATCCCACTCATAAAATTTTCGGTATTATTTGTTATACTAGAAATAAAATAAAATTCATACAGCTTTGTGATAGGATCTGAGACCAATTAATTTCTGCTAACAATTTTTCGTTTAATCTTATTCAATAACTTTTTTATTAGCCTGACTTTATGATAAGGCATTTTAATTTCCAGAATTATTTTATTAAACCTAATTGTTTCGAATAACTTATGATTATTTAACTTAACTCTAAGCTAAAGGTAATTATTCTATTCGAATATCATGATTCATAATGGGAGCAGCATTATTGATTCCTATAGGTATTTATAATTCTGCTTATAATTTGAGATATTTTTCCTCATAAACAGTAGGAGCTAGCATCATTTAAAATTAAGTAAATTTTAGATCATCAACTAATTATTCTCTTTTTAAAACTTATAAAATAGAGATAAAAAACTTACATTTTAAGAAAGGTCTTTATTCTTATTAATCCAATCCAACAGAAGTATTTTTTAAAATTTTATCATTGCAACAAGCGAAACATTTTGAAAACAATCCAACTATTGGTTTATAACAAAAGAAAAATAAAAATATTATAAATAAAAGTGAAGCAAGGATGCCAAGTAAAACTATATTTGGAATTTAACTCCAAGATCTATCCCACCATTCCACAACTACATTTTATGATCCATAAACATCTTATAATTATTCAATCACCAATTTTGCCTCAATAGTTTCATAAAATAAATTAGAACTTCCGTAAATATAAGTTGCAAAACCTAAATGAATAATAATAGCAATCCATAAATATTTTCTAACAGAATTACTAATTACTGAATCTATCACAACTGGTTTGCGATAAGTTTTGAATACTAATAATATTATTTAAAATATATTACTAGATATTTTATCTACAATATAAAGGAACCATATTGTTAACATTGTAATACAAAATAGGAATGGTAATGCAGGACTATACATAAAACAAATATAAAGAGCTGTTAAAATTTAAGCATATCTTAATTCAACTCTAAATTACTCTCCTTTATATAAATCTTTGAAATCTTAATAATTTTTTTGACGAGTTTTATTTTCATTTAAACAACAAGAACTTTAATCAAAAACTTATTTTAAATATCTAACGAATATTTCCAAAAAAAGCATTAAAGGTTATGTTAGAATATTAATTAATAAGGTTAATAACTATTTTATCAATTAAAATGTTATACCAAAACAATTCCTATATTTTGACACCATTTAGAATCAATATCTCCATATTTTCCTCCAAAAAGAAATCTAATAGCCTCAGGAGCATCATTTCTTGTAGAATTACCAAAATCAACATTAGTTATTAGGAGAATCAATCCAGTATTTAAAAATTAACCTAAAAATATTTTTAGAATTCTGCTTGAGTATTCTTCAGAAATCATCAAATGCTTCTCCCATTACGATAAAACTAAAAATTAGATATTTTTTACAAATAAATAAATATTAAATTAAAACATTTACTACTATTAATCCTACTACAATAATCCAAGGTAATGATTATTAAAATGTATACTATGTGCTCCAATCTTAACATATGTCATAATTTCCTTGTAGAATTTCACCAAATTTTGGTTTACAGTAACATTCAACATAACCTTTAATTGTGCTATTACCATTAATTTCTATCTACACTTATTCTAAAGTAATTGTGTTATATATTTTATTATTGCAATTTATAGATGGATATTTTTATTAAAAATCTGCCTTTTAAAGATTTACCCAACTTACTAATACCCATGAACCTCCCAAGAGAATTAATGTTAGAAATAAACTACAAAACTATCTCAATATTCTTTGCTTCATAGAATAATTAAGATTATTCCAATTTATATTTTCAGGAATAGGTGCATCCTTAATTTAAAGTTTAAATTTTTCAAGTAAACTAAATAATTTTTAATAAATACAATTTATCTTTCTTTTGATTTTTATCAAAACAACAAAAACAACAATAAAAATACAACCAATCTTTAGGTAAGCTTTATAATTTCTCTTAAACTTTTTATTTTTATTTAATTGTATCAAAAGTAATCCATATATATTTAGAATCCCCTTCTTATTATACTTAATCAATCTTTTTAGATAATTCATCTATATCATTCCAATACTTTTGAATATTTTGATCAATATCATTCAATTATTTTTCAGCATCTGGATTTTCACATAACTATTTCAAAATTTCATAAAATTTTTAATATGATTCTTTTGTCATTATTTAGTCTTCAAAATGTTTTTATGCTTCTAAATATTATTATATTCTATTTGCTTTCAATTCATCTAATTACTATTATATTTTTTATTTTTTATTTTTTAATTCTGCTTATAATTATAATATTTTTTCTTTTTCTGAAACTTGAATGTCATAAATTTTTAAATCTTAATTTTTTAAAACAGATCTCAATTAATAATCAATGAATTTTTTCACTTCCAAAAGCAATAATTATTTATATTACTAATTTTCTTAAACTTACAAAGTTTTAATTAATTATTAACTATTTGGTAGACTTGATATCTAAATTGAAAAATGTTATAATGTTGGAGTTTCTTTTTGTGAAATTCGATTGTATTTATTTTCACTGGCAGTTAAAGTAAGTAAAAAAAAAATGAATAACAAAACTATTGCTGCATCACAAGATGCAAATATAACAGGCACTATTTTTTATTAAATTTCTACTTATCCAAAATTTATCATAGCTTCTTTACATGAAGCTCCAGCATATATTCTTTTACCTTTTGGATCTTCATTATTAAAATCAGATTATGTTAAAGTAAATGAAAATTATTCTTATGAATCAATTTATTATCTTAATTAGTTCAATCTTTCTTAATTTGTTGTATTTAAATTTAATTCTGATTGACTCAAATAAATGCAATCTTATTCATTTGAATTAATAATGCCAAAAGAAAATGATGATCCAGCAAGATTACCTGAATCACATACCAAATTAAATTCTACTGAAAAATCAAATGTATCAAAATATTAAATTTAACAATCTTTATTATTTAAACTTGTTGAACCAATTGTAGTTGCCATTAAAAAATCAAAATAATTAGAAGAATCTCGAGATTTACTTCCTACATAAGCTATTATAAGATATTAAATTTACATAATATACTAAAAAGCAATTATGGAATTGATAAAAATGTAAAAATCATAAAGTAATACCCAATCTTTTTTAAAAACCTAAAATATAGATTTATGCCAACTCCAAACTGAATAAAGTCTTATTCTGTTTTTTCTGAACTACAACAAAAAGTATGAGAACCAATTAGAAGGCAACATATCTCACAACATTTTTTACTATGCTTTTCTTTTGAATGAATCTCATAAATAGTAGACTTTATTACTTTTTAGAAAAATGATTAAGCTGAGTCAACTTGTCTTTCAGCAGAAACAAAATAAATACTTTTTCTAAAATCTGCTTGACTTTTCTTACTTGCACTCTAATTAGAATTATTATTTGTTCTTTGATTAAGGTTTATTTAATTTTAAATTAGTGGACTTTCTTCCCTTATGTTATGAATAAAACTATTTACTACTATCCATTTTGTTCTATTTAAGTGTTATTAGGTTGAATTTCTTTTTTATCATCTTCTTATTCTTTATTCTAATTGACCAATTATACCTCAACCTAATTAGCTTCAGATTTCAATGGCGAATTTCTATTATTTTAATTTAACTATCCTTAGTTTTCACTCATTTTAATATCAGTATTGCAAAAATTATCAGATAGAAAATATTATTTATAATTTTATCGAACACAAGTGTTGAATTAATAGAATACTTTTTATTGATCTAATATACAAATCTATTCATTTGATATTAATACCATAATTTCTATTGATTTTATTTTCTTTTATTTGTAAAAATGGTCTTCCTGAAATATATTAAATTTATATAAAAGAAATTGAAATAGATTTCATTCTAAAAGTAAGAATGGATTTCTAATATTAAATTACCCAAAAAAAATATTATTATGCTTTCTTCAGAGGAAGTTATTGTTATTTTTAAGTTTTATCAAGAGTTTTTATTTATAAAAATATGAACTTATAAATTTTATTTATTTATTTTTGTTCAATTTATTTATATATATAAATCCCTATTTTAAAAAAATTTGTATCTATTTGAAAAATAAAAAATCCTTAAATTTATACACTAAAGGTTATAATTCTAAATTATTAAGGTTTTATCAATATATTTCAATTATTATAATTCTAATTATTTCAATCTTAACGAAAATATAAATGTAAGAAAAAAGTTATATATAATCTTGTCAAATTTTCAGAATATAAACTATAACAAATATAAATAGTCAAGCATATCTATCATAGACGATACTATAAGGAGAGCTGAAACTTTGAATATTTTTCTCATTTTCTATACTATCTAAACTTATTGCTTTAAGTTCTAATATATAGACTTTTTCTTTTGCTTCTCTAGATGTAATTTATCCTTCAAATAATTATTTAATAAGACTGCTTTTTTTAAAAGTACCTACCCACCATTTATAAAAAGAAAGTCTTACAAAATTTTATGATTTTTCTTTTAAAAAAATCTAATTATCCTTTTCAATAAATTTATATGTAGATTAATTTTTAGTTTATAATTAGACTTAACGAATCAATTTAGGTTTTGAGATATTATAATAAAATTAAAATTTTTGTAAATGTTTTCTTAAAACTAAAAGCTTTGAGTAAATTTTGCAAGAATTTCCATTCAAAATAAATAGTTAATGAACTTTATTTGGTCTGATTTAAAAAAAATGAAGCATTCCTTCATCAAATTCAAAGATTATTATGGAATTAAATAGATTCATATCTACAATACTAGGAAATAAAGTCAATTCTATTTAGTTAATTAGATCAAATGTCTAGGTATTTCTTATTTCAAAAGTATGTTAAGAGTACAAGAGAATGATAAAATTGGTTGTCTTTTAAGAGCACATCTCTTCTAAATAATCCATTTTAATCTAAAATATTTTCTCATTTTCTGTTTTTAATTCAATTCGTAAAATTTATCCAAGCTATTAACACAAAAAAAAGTAAAGAACTTTACCACAAAAACTATAAAGTAATTTCTATATGTGAACAGATGATCTTGATTAATTAGCTTACAAATTAGAATTGTTTTCGTTTTCAGAATCATTGTCATATTATATTTCATATTCTTTTTCATCTTCTGTTAAGTATTAAAAACTTGTATCAAATATAAATACATTATCTTCTAAATATGTTAAATAATAATATTCATTCCCTTCATGAACTATTCCAATTCTATTTTAAAATTTACTTAAATAATAACCAGTTTACCCACATTCCATCATGACATTTGTCAATTTGGATAGTTTAAAATATTAGCCATATTTAGAATTCATAAACAAAATTTATTATTTGATTATGAATTATCATAATGAAAAATAATAGTAGTATCTTGATTTATTTGCTAAATTATTTTATCTATAGAAATAGCATTTAAATATTGTCATATCAAATAGATTTAAATAAATAATAAGAATTAAAAATATAAATTTAGATTTTGGATATATCTTTATGGAAATCATATTGTGAAATATTAAAATAATTTTATTATTATTATATTTATTTATTTTAATCACACTAAACTTAAGTTACTAACAGATGCTGTATCCCAACTTGTGTGTTTGTCAGTTCTTTTAAGGCTAATTAATTTTCTCAAACAAGCCTTATAAACAAACCTTTCTTCTTCACATTCCCATAAATAATGCTTAATTTTTTTAGTTAATGGACGCATACTAATATTATAAATTAAATAAATACTATGTATAATGAGTAGAACTATCTTAATGCATAGGAGTGTGTCCAAAGTCCTAAAGATTATAAATATAGTATTTACAATAGACTTTCCATCAGTTAACATTCTAGGCCACATTGAAGGCCAGCTTGGGTGAATAATTTCCATTTATTTAGTATTTGATCTATTTGAATGATTAATATTTGTTTTACTCGAAAGCACAGTCTTCATAATCATGCATCTACTTTAAACATGGAGTTGTATCTACATTATAAATATCTTATACCAAACACAGGAGGTACTGAAGATGGCAATGTACCAAAATATAGATAGCTCATGAAATAAATATAAAATAATAATAATATCTAATTCTGTTTTTAATTTAATGGATTTATTTTTTGATTTCTTTTAAGAAATATGAATCTCCACACTACAATCATTATTAAAAGTGAATAGTTTATAAAAAATTAAACTCAAAATTATTAGTAATATAATTAGTTATAAATATAACTTATGTAAATTCCTAATTAACATGGTACAAATCCAGAAGATCTTAAAATTACAAGAGATGTATTTGATAAAATGAATTTAGGAATTCAAAAAAATAGAGAAGGCAATGAAAAGACCTGAATTCGCAGAGTTAATGGGTGATTACATGAAAGAGATTTCAGATCCAAAAAATAGGGAAGAATATGATTAATATCTAAAATAATTGGAAAAAGAATCAGAGTTACCAAAGGGAATGAAATTAATCAAACCTGAACCTCATTTTTGTGTAAAGACTACAATTTGGAATAAGTAAAATAGAAAGCATGAATAAAAAGTATGTATTCATTCTTATTTTAAGTTTTTTATAAATATATGTTCAACTGGTGTTTTAGATAAGCCATAATCAGAAACAATAACATAAAATGGATAAACTGGTTAAAATTGGAAAATCCCATATTCAATTGGTAAAATCAGATATGATCAAGATAAAAGTAATAAAAATAATTAATTTAGAACAAAATATATGTAATACAGTTGATGTAGCCTTTCATCCAAATACTATTGGATTATGTTACAAAATGCCTAATTTTTAAAATTTAGTTTGTTCTACAGCACTTGAAGCATCAGGTAAATAGCTTGGAGAAAGAAATGAAGAAATAAGCAAAGATTTTAAAGTACTTAAACATACAAAATGTAAAGGAGGTGAACCTGCACTTTTGCCTGTTAGAATAGATAAAAAGGGAAAACTTACTAATGAATTAGATAGTAGATAAGGAGGTTAAGCTAATGCATAAACTAAATTATAAAAAGATATAAACTAGATGAAAGAAGAAAATGAAAAGACTAAGGAAGAAGAAAAATTAAAATAATAATAATAAAAAGAAGAATTAGCCGAAGATGATGAGGATATTAAAAAAGAATCAAATGAAATAGAATCTACTGCAGTTTCTAGACCAAAATTTAGATTTATTTATTCTTATCCAGTTGAATATAGTGATTTTTTAGATTCTAGAGCTAATATGTCTATTAAATTACCAAATTAATTAGCATGTGAACTTAAAATGTTTAAAGTTGAGGCAATGAAAGAAATTTAACTTGATTTAAGCAATTAAGCACTTGTTTTAGATGTCCCGAATAAATATTTTTTAGATATCAAATTACCATATCCTATTGAATCTAATGAAGCATCTGCTAAATTTGATGCTAAAGCTAAGACATTGAAGATTAGAGCTCCTATATCAAAAGAATATTTAAAAATCAAATATTAAGAAGAACTTGATAGAATTAAACAAGAATAAATTTCAATCTAAAATGATGATGAAAATCAGGAATCTGAAATTAAATAAGAAATTTAAATTAAGTTTATCCCATAAGAACCTGAAGATTTAAAAATTGATGATTAAAAGGTTCTCGTAGAAGAGCTTGCTTCATCTGAAATTAAAGATCAATTAAATTAAGAAATCGAAGTATAAGAATAAAAATAGTAAATTATTATTTTATAATTATAAGAGAAAACTTTTTATCATTAACCTTCAATCAAAGATAAGATGGAAAATTGTTGTTTCTAATAATTCGTATTAAAGGTTATACAAAAGAAGAACTTTAAATAGAATATGATGAAAATGATCTTTGCATTTTGTAAAAACTAATTGTAAACTCAATCATCACAAATTAATTTCTACATTTGAAACTTCAAAATAATTCTGATTCCTTAGTAACTGTTGATTATGTTACAGACTTTGTTATAATTAAATTTGAAAGTAAAAATTAAGATAATTAAATAATAATTTAAGAACAAGGTATAATTTATATATATTAATGATTAGAGTATGCAAATATACCTTTTTCATAATTCCATGAGAAATTAGATGAGCTAAAAAACAGCAGGTTGAGAAAGTTAGAATAATAGCAACAAAAGATTAATAATGAAGAATTAGAGATTCCATATTCAAAGGAATAAACACAGTAACCTGAAAATTAAAAAAAAATTGAATACATTGAACAAAACAATGATGAAGATGATTAACCTGAGCTAAAAGTGGAAAGTTAATAAACTCTGCTAAATAATTTTTAATAGAGAAAAAACATTCAATTTCTAAGATTCCATGATATTATGCCAGAAATATTTGAGATAGATTGATTATATCTGTGAATATGTTTTATTTAATTTAATAATTAGACATATCAATAATGAATGGATGTATTGGAATTATTTAGATTAATTAGAAATCATAAAATCATCATTGATTTAGTTAAGAAAACAATAATTGGTTTTATTTAAATATCATAAATTAATTCATTTTTTTTTATTATGGGCAAACATCGCAAGAAAAAAGGTAGAAAAAACAAGCATCAGCAACCTTTACCACCTTTGGGGGAAGAGTTTAAGTAAGATTTATATTTGGAAGGTATCAAAATTTAATAATTAAAAAAGCTTTGGAAGGCATCAATAAATTAAAACTTTCAAAAGATCTTTTCCTTTAGAAATAAGTAAAGGAAGCTTATTTGTTATCAAAAACATGGTTGGATACTTGGAAAATGCATGTTGGGTTTGATGCTGTTTTGAAAGGTGAAAAACCAGGAGGAAAGAAATATGGAAGATAATCAATTGGAGAGATTAATAAAGATATAATAGCAAATGAAGATGAATTTCATGCGGCTCCAGAATTACATTTTTACTTTAATCCTCCTTTGAATGATGTCAAACCTGAAAAAGATTACATTCTTGTTACGTAAGATGTTTGGGAATTCTTTTATGAAAAATACAAAGGACAAGTTGTAAGAAGATTAGCAAATGAGGAAGGAGAGTTTAATTTAAAGATTATAAGTGTAATTTTTAGTTTATATTCAAGCCTCATGTAATATTTATGACTCAAGAGAAAATAAATGAAATTATTTCACTGAATTAAAATTAATTAATCAATTCTCTAGATTCATTAAGAATGAAGAAAGTTTAATTGTTTAGCGATTGGAAATTTGTAGACTTGGAAACCTATTGTTAATAAGTTATGAAAGTTATTGATATATAAATTTGGTTAATGAATCCTATTTATGAACACAATCAGATTAAATTACAACTAATAAAGGCAATCAATCAAAAGAAAAATACTTTATTAGGTGAATAATTATTAGAAGCAGAATTTTAATAGTTTTAATTATCACAGTTTTTAAAAAACCATTTTATGTTGGTTATTTTTTAAGATAATATTGAATTATCATAATTAGATGTTAAATTTGAATTAAATCAAAATGGTTGTTGTTTTACTTGTGGATAGAAAGCTTTGTTAAACTATTCCTGTTCTTGCAAGAAAGTATTTTATTGTAGTGATACTTGCAGATATAAGGATTAAGAATTTCATTCAAAAAACTGTTTAAAAGCTTATGATTCACAAGATGATGAAGATTTTGATGCAATAACTTATGAAACTATTATTGCTAAATAAGGAGTAGGTTTAGTAAATTTAGGCAATACTTGTTATATGAATTCATCTCTATAAAGTCTATTTAGTTCAACCCATTTTTAAGAATTTCTCTCAAATAAATTATATTGGACATAAAATACAATCAAACGAAATGTGCAACTTAATTATAAGTTAGAAAAGCTATTAAAAAATCTATTGACTTAAAATAAAGCATTTTCTCCTTATAGTTTTAGATTATAATTGGCTAGAAAATATCCTTTTGTAAACAATTTCATCTATCAATTAGTTTGGAAATAACTTTTAACAAGATGCTGCAGAATTTATTCTATATCTATTGGATGCTTTGAATGAAGAATTGATCTATAAAGAGGATCAATAGAAATCTCAATTAGAATTATAATTATAAAATTTAGAAGATGTTGAATAGACAGAACCTGAATAATTAAATAGTGATAGTGAAGATGAAAGTAGTGAAGAATAGGAAAATCCAGAAACTTAACAAATATAATAGCAATAAATATAATTCCATAAAAAAGTTTAATAAAATGTATTTTAATTATTATAAATATTAGTAAATCAATAATGATAACTATGAATAAGCTTTGGAATAAATACATAAATTAAATAGTTCAATTATCATTAAAAATTATTTAGGAATTACTAGATCAGAAATTGAATGTCCAATTTGTGAGTAAAAAACATAAAGTTATGAACAATTTTTGATTTTGCCACTATCTTTAAATGCTATATCCTAATCTAAAAATTTAGTTGATGTATTTGTTATATCAAATGATTGGTATTCACCTTACTAAAAAATTGTTTATGAATTTCAATCCAATCAAACATTGTTATAAGATGTAAAAAGAGATATTGGAGAAAAATTGGGAATTGATGCAACATATTTATTAGGAGCCATGTGTTCAAATAGCATAATAGATATGTATCTATTTCATGATGAGGATCAGCTATCAAAAATACTTAATGATAATTAAAATAGCTATTTCTGTTTATTTTAATTAGATCAAAGCATTTATTCAATAACTGATGAGGATCAATATTTTGATGTGATGATATACTCATTTGAAAAAAGGAATGCATTCTCCTATTAATGTGAAAATATTTGTGCAGCCATTCCTAAAATTTTAATAGTGAAGAAACAATTTACTGCAATTCAGATTTATCAATAAGTTTGGAATAAACTTGGAGAATATTCAAAATCAGATAAATTAATGAATATTTAAATAGATGAACCTTAATAGGAAAACTTATTAAATTCATAATAGCTTAATGAAATCTTAAATTACTAAATAATGATTCAAACAAAATTACCATCTAAAACATTTTGTCCATTTACATGTGGTAAATAATTCAAAAAAGATTAAAAAAATCATTAATGTGAATTACCTTTTAATAATTCTACTTCTTTGTCTTAATACTTGTAAAAAATCAATTATAATAATGCCCATACTTCATTATCAATAGAGTTTGGTGAAAAAGCAATTCCAAATCCTTTAAGAATAGAATTTGAACCAAAAACAAATTATTAAAAGCATGATAAATGTAAAAATTTAAAAATGTTTGTTAGCATTAAATCTATAAGATTTAATTAAAAATTTTTAGTCTAATGAACCTTTATTGGATGAAAATGCTTATCATTGTACAAAATGCAACGATTTAACTTTTGCAATAAAAACAATGAGCCTGTAAAAACTTCCAGATTAATTGATAATTTAACTAAAGAGATTTTAATATGATGAACTTAAGGGATATTAGAAAAATAATATTTTAGTTACTTATCCTGAAAACTTAACTATAAATTAAATTAATTATGAATTATATGGAGTAGTGTAGCATATTGGAGGATTAGACAATGGTCACTATATATCTTATGGTAAAAGATAAAAAAAATGGATTGAATTTAATGATGAATCTACAAAAGAAGTATAAAAAAACGATGTAATAAATGATAAGAATGCCTATATTCTATTTTATTAATAGAAGTGATTTATATCTGATGTATTTTAAAATTAATCATTTTTATTTGATGAGAGGTAAATCTTCTTTATAAAAAGCCTAATCTATCGTAGGATTAGTTGCTTCTTAAGAAAAAAAGGATAGAGGCATTATAACACCTCCATTTTCAATGTATTGCGACCATTCTAATAATTCTTTTCCTCTCCATCCTGGACCATTTTTAGAGTAAGATGGTAAATCTTTATAGTCTACCCATCTAGCTTATTATGTTTCTAATGCAAGTAGAAAGATAGATTACCCTTATCTGGTTTTTATTTTGGAATCTAACTTTCATTTACAGGCTCTGCATAATAAACAACACGAACTCTAAGATGATTCTATTCTGCTTTCAAAGAATTTTCTACTCTCAAAATACCTTTGAGAACAACATCTATTGATGCTTCTTCTTTAGTTTCTCTAATAGCTGCATTTTCAAATGTTTCTGGAGGATCAACTAAACCTCCTGGTAACCACCATCCTTGATTACCATTTTCTAAAATAGTGAGATATTGCCCTTTAGAATTTCTACATACAACAAGAGAGATTCCAAGAAGAGTGGATTGATGAGACTTAAACATCTATTTAATTATATTATTATTATTTAAATGTAAAATGTATAATATGTTTAATATGTATATTATAAATAATACGCAACATAATTTTTTGATTATTTATTTTGAGGGTATTTAAATCTTTTTTGAAAATATGCAGATAAATTATATATTTTATTCAATAAAAATTCAAACACTTTTTTAAATCAACAAAGAGTCGAAGTTTATGTCCTTATCCTTGAAGTGCATCTAGAGATTTTGTTCTTATCCTTTACCAAGGAAGATCGGTATTTTAGGCTATGGTGCTATTGGAAGTGCATTTGTTGAAGTTCTTTTGAAAAACCACCCAAGTATGAAAGTATTCTTTATTCCTAGAGGCTAAAATAGTCGCTCTTGATAAATATGATGCTTTCAAAGCAAAAGAGAATCGTTTCTAATGTATAATTGAAGAAAGAACCAAATAAAATATAGGTGACACACTTTCAAGGATGGGGTAAAGAATTCATTAATATTTAGATTGGAAAATGGAGATATTTTAGTAGATTTGTCAACAAACATTGAATTCTTATCGATATGGCCATTATGTGTAGAGAAAAAGATCAGATATATGAATACAGCCTTAGAGTAATGGGAAGACAGCGAAGATGCAAATTCATGTCCTAAAAATAAAGATGAAGCATATAAACTAACATTAGGATATATTAAGGATAAGGCAAAGGCATCACAGTCTTGGAATCCAAAAAGTGGAGCTACAAGCATTCTAGAAATGGGATTTAATCCTGGAGTTATTTCACATTGTGTAAAAAGAGGATTGGAAGATTGTGCTAAGTATTACTTAAAACATGAAGATCAGTTCAAAGATGTGAACAAATAATTGTTGAAGAAATATTTGGAAGCTAGAAATCATTCTAAACTAGCCCAGGTGTTGGGTGTTCACACAATACATTGTTCAGAATATGATAATTAAATGATGAAGGATATTCCAAATGATAGTAATACCAAATTCTACAATACATGGTCTTGTAGAGGATTCTTAACTGAAGGACTTGTACCAATCTAAGTGGCTAGGGGCAGTCATGAAGATTCTGAAATTAAATCCATGTTTACTATTAGGGATGGAAAAACTATTGTATCCACTAAGCCATCAGTATAGACATTTGCTAAGAGTTGGCTTCCTAATTAAGATATTACTGGGGTTTTGATACCTCATGGTGAAGCTTATAGTATCTAAGACTATTTAGCTGATCCTGAAACTGGATATGCCCCATCATAATATTATGTTTACGATTACAATCCTTTGGCCAAAAAATTTATATCAGGTCTTCCAAAGAATGCTGACATCAACAATACTCATCCTAAAATGGAAGTCATCCACCCTATTAATCATCCTTCTCTAAGAGGGGTTGATAAAGTAGGCGCCATGATTATAATGAATAATAATAGAGGCTGGTGGACTGGCAGTATTATGGATGAAGTCGATAGTTGGATGTAATTTAATGGAAGATTTGGACCCACTGTTTTATAAGTTGTGGGAGGAGTTTATGCAGGATTTTTATGGAGTTGTATCAATCCAAATATTGGATCACATTTCCCAGAAAGTATAGATACTGATTTTCTTTTGAATATTGTAATTTTTTAATTTTATCATTAGGGATAACCAATGATGGGCAGATTTGTTTCAGTTAATGTGGACTTGACCAAGACATCCATTAAAGATTGTTATAAGTTGCAGAGCTTCATTTGTGACAAGCAGTGATTATTTAATAAATATTATTCAATTATAAATTTATTCAAAATACATTCTCATATTCTATAATTAGTATAATCACTAGTTTATGATTATTTTTTATATAAATAAAAATTCAAAAGATACTATCTTCAATTTTAGATTATATGTGTATTGACTATTTCTTAAGTTATTGTTCAAGGTTCATGCCAAAAGATTCCACTCGTTTTTATTTTTCTGTTTTATAATTTATTATGCAATATACTATAAAACTACTGCTTATAAATAAGGGCAAAATAATTAAAAATACAAACAATAACCATTCCGTTGTTATGTAATGGTGATATCCAGTGTTTGAAATTGTGATATCCATACATAATCCTTAAATTTAGTTTAAATTACTTGGACATAATTATACTTCTAGCACACTTTTTGGAGTGCTGTTTTAATCAGCCTAATTTAATACAATAAATAAAATTACAATTAATGTAAATTAATCATTCAAATAGAACCATCTCAATTAAAAATCTTATTAATTATTATCCTATTCTAATATTAACATTCGAACATTTTCATTTAAATAGCCTTTTTGTATGTCTAATAACCTTAAATTCCCTTATATCTCTGCTGCTTAAATAACTGACTTCACAGAATTATTTAACTATTATTGTCCCCTCAAAAACAATTTTACAAATTGTGTTTATTCAGAATAGTTCCGAGATGCATTTCTACAACTAATAGCAAAATATTCATCATATGATGCTTTCAATGATCCAGGAGGACTCTAACATTAAGTATATTATCTAAATTAGTTTAATTTTTACTTAAAAATCTATTCAATTTCAATTCGACCTTAAATTTAAACTAAATCAAAACTAAGGGAGTCTGTTGTAACATTAATAGTATAAATGGATTCATTTATGTATTATACCTCTGTATCAATATAAGTGAATTCGATTTAATTCTACACAAAATTACCCACTTAACAAATAAAATATATTGTTACTTAATTCTTTGATATTTAGTATTTCTACATTTATTAATTTATATAAGGGTTATTTTTTCATTGTGTAAATAAAACTTATCTTAAGTTTATATAAATTAAATGAATATTGATCATTAAATATTAATTCTATAATTGTATCTATCTATATATTGTTTGCATCTTGAATAGTGCAACCTTTAATACAATACATCTAAAAATTATTGATTATTAAAGTATTTTTATTAAAATTAGATGCTCCAATCACATCCAAAAGGGATCCATTTAAAAGTGAACTTTAATTCTAATCTAAGTATCCATAAAATATACAAATCAAATTGTCCCTTCCAATTTCATCTGTTTCATATCTTTTATTTCTTTTGACCATAGCAGTTACAGTAATAAATTTATATTTTGGTTTAAATTGAATTGGGAAATTGATCATCTTTACATCTTCTAAAATAAAAGAACTTTAATTTTAATATAAGAAATCTTTGAAATTAATGTTAAGAAAAAAGAAATTTTCCAAAAACTATTTTTCAATTGGTAGATTGTCAGATAATATTGTAAAGCTTAATTGATTGATTTAATTATTAACATCAACTCTTACCATCATTGATTAGCAAAAGAGTGCTATAATATTTATAGCTGATAATTCTGCAATTGATAATGGATTAATGAATGATTTGGTACAATTATTAACAGTTGGTTAATCTTAATCAAAAAACACATTTTTAATCTCCTCATAATCTATAGTGCTTTAAACAACTTATTTATGATCTATATTATGAATATATATTTATACATTAAGTTTAAGGAATGCTTATGATGCCTACATTTTCATCTCCCAAAATTATTAAATATTCTTTAGATACACTAGTTCCTAGGATTGTTTAATCAATTTTAAATCTAACTAAATTATCCTCTTATTCCAAAATAAATGGTAACATTTTAATATTAAAATCTTTAGCATTTTATAAATTATAATTGAAAATTGGACCTGAGTAAAAATCAATTATTTTCAATTCAGTAGTAAAATTAGTCTTATAGATTTCAATTTCAGATAACCTTTTTGCACTCATCTCTATCATAGTATCTTAATATCTAAAACTTCCATTGATTGTAAGGGTTTCTATATATTGGCTTAATATGTATACTTTATACACTATAACTTAATGCAGATTACGCATTTATTGCAACAGAAAATTAATTATCGATATTTGTTGGATCAGAAGCTATCAATTCAAATTCAAGGATTTTATTCAAATAACAATTTATGTCAGCATTTGCAAATTATAAACAATAAAGAAAAGTTTGCATTTTAGGATAACATATAATTATTGGTTCAGATGAAACTGTATATTTATGAATTGCATGTAATCTTTCTGATCCAGTCTTTGATAGATCATACACATATAATTCATTTGGTTTATTAGTTGGAACTATTAACATATGATAGTTTATTTAAGTTTCATTAGCATTGATAATACTATTGAATTATGGTAATAAAGAATCAAATTTAATATCTTATAGATTCTCTATTGTATATAGTGTTATTCTATCATCTACAATTACCAATGTAAGTATTGGCTTTTTAAGTTATAAAACAAAGAATTTAAAATTATGAGTCATTTAACCTATTTCTATCTCTGTTATCATTGTTTTAAAATGATTTGTTTAATAAGGATTTGTTAATTAAATCTAGTATAATTTATTTTGATAACTTCCCAGAATAATATTGTTTTTTAAAAATTAAAAATTTAGATGTCTAAATTTTAGATCAATTTATATGCTTATTACATTTTAAAAATAAACATCTGTGTAATAGATAGTGCTGTTTGTACTGAAAAACAAATTGATGAAATCTAAATCTATAAAGACATCGTACTGTTAATCATAAAGTGGATACTCTACATTTTTGCATTCATATTCTAATATATCCTCATCTAACTTTTTTATTTTCAAAACAGTGTAATAGGTTGTTTTTTAATAGAATATTATATAATATGGTGAAATACTGACAATATTTTTTACAAGATTTACTGATGAACAATCTAAAGAATGAATTTTCTATGTAAAATATTTAGTATTTGTTATTTCCTATTATATTATCATTTTCACTTGATCTATTTATAAAAATATAGTTCTAAATCCCTTATCTAAGAATGATTTAATTGGGATACGAGAATGCTAAATAAAATTTTCATATAAATCTTCCCACATTTCATATCCAAAGCCTTAGAGGCTGATAACTTCAACATCTAATCTAATATATAAATAAGTCATACTTTTTTTATCACTTTTGGGCTAAAGCACAGGAGCAGGTCCTCGTATTAAGGTAGAATAAAGGACTGTAGAGTCTGTATTGGGAAAGTTATAATTTTATAGATGGTCTATTATAAAAACATCTGTGTTTTCAAATTCTTAATTATAAATCATAATTGTAACATTTTATTTGTTATTGTTTTTATATACTATTGAGCATAGGAATTCTTAATTAGAAGTGGAGACAATAGTTAATCTTTCAATTTCATTTCTAATTAAAGTTAAAACAGCTTTTGTTTCATCCATTTATTAAGCAATTAGAATATTAGTTTGACCTGTAATGGTGGAAAAAGAAACAGGATAAGTTAATAGAATAGGATTTTAATATTTGTTTTAAAGTATTAATTTTTCGGTGTAAGATTAATGTCTATTAATCCTATAACATTCAGTAGAATTCTAGATATAAGTAAAGCAAACATAATAGAATTATTCATCATATTAAATTTAACCTTTTTTAATTTCTTTGCTATTGAGGATATTTTTAATATTAATTTTATCATTAATAGAGAGTTAAGTGAAGAAGAAATCCTTAGATTATTAAGGTAAAGCTAACTCATAGATGAAATGATCACTCAAAATAACAATGCTGTACTGAATATCATTTTCAATAATTCCTAAAGGTGGAAATTTGATGGCATATTGTTCATGAGAATAACTAAGCGCATAAAATAGTTCATTAGGCAAAAAGAGTTACCATAATAATTATTCATAGATAATGTCACCATCATCTGTAAATGTAAATCTATAAACATGTAAACCTGATCTATGATCTAATATCATGATAGTATTGTCATCAAAAAAAGAGACTTTTTCAATTTCATTGATAGGATTTAAAAATTTAGTTATTTTAAATGAATTCTCTTGATTGTTAAATTTGCCAATTAATATTTACCTAGTAATTTGAAAATTCTCTTAGGAAGAACAATAAATACTAAAATACTCAGGATCTTTGACTCTCCAAGAACTTTCAGTGATAATATTTAGATTATCACAATTATTAAGTTGGTCAGTATCTGAGAACAATTATGATGAACAACCAGATAAATATTTATTCTCTTCAGCAATGCATAAAATTTTAGATATATAGATATCATTATCTGACTTACATACAGCCATGAAAATATCAAGAGAATATTGAGTCATGTCACTACATGTAAAATCAGGTAGGTTATTAGTATTTAAATCAATTGATCCCAATTCTTTAAAGGGAGAATTGTATTATTAATTTTCTTTAAAAAGTATAGTAATTTTACCTGTTTTTTCTAAAATAAGAATGGTATTTTAATCATTTGGATAATATAGAATCTATAGAATAAATGAAGAATATACTTATTCGATTTATTATTTTTCTAGCAATTAAACTTACTCATCAACTTAGTGTTCCTAAATTTAAATGTGCTTTTCATCACAATCAGTAGAAAATTCATGCTTATTAATATCAAAAATCTCATGGTAATGATCTCCCTTAGTTAGCAATATTAATTCACCAAAAATTGAATTAATTATGAAAGAGGTGATTATAAAAAGATAATTCATATATTTTAATAATATTTATGTATTTTATGCAAAAATAATCAATCGAATAATTTCTCCAAGAACGATTTCTCTTTATTTGATTTTTATGCAGTACCTGTTTATTGAGGTTATGATGGTTATTGAGGCAACTGACCTTATTGATATGGCCTAGTTCTTCCCATATCCTAAGGAATTGATTATTATTATTATTATTATTATTATTATTATTAGGGGGCAGATTAAGCAAACTAAATTTTAATAAACAATAAATACTTAAGATGGTGCTACAGTCTATTACAATTAAGGATTATATTATGTTGTTTAGGTTAAAGTCTATTAGGGTTTAGTTTGCTGAGGACCAAGAGATTATTATCCATATAAAGAATATTAGGGAGCTTGAGCAGAAGTCATAGGAATAGAATAACCTTGAGAAATAGAATTAACTGTTTATTAAGGAGGATTTACAGTAGCTTATTATTAAGGAGTTTAAACAGTTTAAATTGATTGTGCATAATTCAAGGGAACAGTCTAAATAAAATTATTATAGTACTTAAGCAATTTATAATTATGGCTGAGCTGTTTGAATAGTTTGATATTATTATGATGGTAAATATTGTGTGGTAGGAATTGTGGGTTGTAATGCTACTTATTATTAGACTTATGGTTAGGTAATGATTTCTCTTTATTAGACATATGATTATTGAACAACTGGTTATTGAATAACTTCTCTTGTTTAATATTACTATTAAATTTAGAGTGGTTATTAATATGCAACAGTTTATTAAGGTTGAACATATTGTGTATATTGTTAAGTTAATTACTAAGTTTATACTGGTGTATAGGCAGTAGATGTTTAGACTTATGATGATTAATATCCAATAGGCTAAGGTAAATATAAATAATTAATACTTATTATATTATGTTTTATCTTTCAACAGTGTAATATTCAGTTCTTTCAGCAAACCTTTCAACTGGTACATATTCAATCTGTTTTTCTTAAACAACTTATGGAATGTATTCTATGTCATATTGGACTGCATAATAATCAGTGACTTGTTTAGTGATTGGAACTTGAACTTATCTTCTCACTTCTTCATACTCAGTTACTGTTCTCTCATATGGAATATATTCAATTCTTGATTATCCCTTTACTACTTGACCCTATTAAGTTTCAACTGTTTATTATTAAAGTTGTTAAATTTATGATTATCCAAATAAAGGTTGCTGAATTGCTTATTATTATCCAACCAATCCTATTTGAGGCTATCCAACCATTCCTAATTATGGTTGTCCTATCAATCCTGTTTGTGGTTATCCGATTAACCCTTATTATGGTAGTCCATATAATTATTATGTTTATACATTTTAAGGTTGACCAACTGCTTACTAAGGCAAGTATTGTAATCCTTTCTCTCCAGATGGTTAACCTTAATAATTACCCTAAGGAACTTATTATTATCCTAATGTAGGTTATTAGTAAGTTGATTGATCTCGATTATATGAAGGTAAATTTGATGGTGTTGAATATTATTACTAGGGTATGTTAGCCATAAAAAGATTTTTAATTATTAAATTTTATTTTTTTATTCATATATAAATCCAAAGTATATTCAAATTAATAAATAACAACTCATATTTATTAATTGCTACTTATAGTATTCCTAATTATATATTGATTAAACTTTTATCAATAATTTTTGCAATTCCTATTAACATAACTAATTCTATTCTTCTTAATAATTAAAAATTTTTACATCTCCCCCATTATTTTATTATCAAATTAATATATGTGTTTTGTTTTATCTAGTTTATAATTTTACATCGTAGTACATAATTAATTAAATAAATGTCCTTTCGCAATCGAGAGAAACCAAAACATACTTCTGGAATGATGAAAGATGATTTTGATTTAAAAGATATTAATGAACCTGAAGAACTAAATTTAGATCAAAAGATGGATTCATTACTTAGCAAATAAAGATATCATTTTAAACGTGAGATTTCATATAAAAGAAAACATATTCTTAATCTTATTACTGAATAACAAACATAATCTACTAAACCTAATTAACCATCCTAATAATAAACTTTAATTTCAAATAATACCTCTTCATTATAAGATGCCATCCCACAAATATTATTTGATGAAGGAGATATTATAAAAGAACATTAACAAACCTAATCTTAATTCTCTTAATTAAATAAAGAAGCTCTCTCCCCTTCTGTACCTCACAGATTCACCTCAAAAATAAGATCATAATTTTCTTATTATTCTAATGATTCTTACAATTCTAATTTGGAGTTACANCTTCATACTCAGTTACTGTTCTCTCATATGGAATATATTCAATTCTTGATTATCCCTTTACTACTTGACCCTATTAAGTTTCAACTGTTTATTATTAAAGTTGTTAAATTTATGATTATCCAAATAAAGGTTGCTGAATTGCTTATTATTATCCAACCAATCCTATTTGAGGCTATCCAACCATTCCTAATTATGGTTGTCCTATCAATCCTGTTTGTGGTTATCCGATTAACCCTTATTATGGTAGTCCATATAATTATTATGTTTATACATTTTAAGGTTGACCAACTGCTTACTAAGGCAAGTATTGTAATCCTTTCTCTCCAGATGGTTAACCTTAATAATTACCCTAAGGAACTTATTATTATCCTAATGTAGGTTATTAGTAAGTTGATTGATCTCGATTATATGAAGGTAAATTTGATGGTGTTGAATATTATTACTAGGGTATGTTAGCCATAAAAAGATTTTTAATTATTAAATTTTATTTTTTTATTCATATATAAATCCAAAGTATATTCAAATTAATAAATAACAACTCATATTTATTAATTGCTACTTATAGTATTCCTAATTATATATTGATTAAACTTTTATCAATAATTTTTGCAATTCCTATTAACATAACTAATTCTATTCTTCTTAATAATTAAAAATTTTTACATCTCCCCCATTATTTTATTATCAAATTAATATATGTGTTTTGTTTTATCTAGTTTATAATTTTACATCGTAGTACATAATTAATTAAATAAATGTCCTTTCGCAATCGAGAGAAACCAAAACATACTTCTGGAATGATGAAAGATGATTTTGATTTAAAAGATATTAATGAACCTGAAGAACTAAATTTAGATCAAAAGATGGATTCATTACTTAGCAAATAAAGATATCATTTTAAACGTGAGATTTCATATAAAAGAAAACATATTCTTAATCTTATTACTGAATAACAAACATAATCTACTAAACCTAATTAACCATCCTAATAATAAACTTTAATTTCAAATAATACCTCTTCATTATAAGATGCCATCCCACAAATATTATTTGATGAAGGAGATATTATAAAAGAACATTAACAAACCTAATCTTAATTCTCTTAATTAAATAAAGAAGCTCTCTCCCCTTCTGTACCTCACAGATTCACCTCAAAAATAAGATCATAATTTTCTTATTATTCTAATGATTCTTACAATTCTAATTTGGAGTTACATCTTGGACAAAAATAAGACTCTCATAATCAACTTTCAGAAACAAGAAAAGATAGATCTAAATTAGTGAGTAACACTGTAAATCAATATAATCAACAATACTTATTAAGATAATCTAGAAACAAAATCAATAAAATTAAAAAAAATAATCCTTAATCATCTTTGCTACAATTAAATTTATCTGATAAATCAAGATCATAAAGTTCCAATACTACTCCCAAAAGCATTTTAAAAAATCCATCATCTCTAAATTCGAGTAAATAGAGTTTTTGCAGTTTATAACTTGGTAGTTAATTAAATTCAATATCACCCTCGAAATCTCGTAAAGTTAAATTTTGTTTAACCAAATAATAAGCAAGAAGAGAGAATATTGCATGCTGAAATACTAATTATGTATAATTATACTCAAATTCATTATTTCAATTTTTAGCTTATCTACTTTGTTTTATTAAAAATACTAATCATTTTCTAATGTTTCTTTATCAATTAAGAACAATAAAGTGTAATTATCTCTTTCTTATCAATCACTGTAAATGGACTTGAATCAATATCACTCCATAATTCTAACTCAACATTACTTAATATATTCTTAGTCTCTTTTATTGTTGATATCAAAATATTATATATATAATGATTCTACATCTCCTCCTTACAAATTTATTTCCAATTATTCTCCATATCCTATTTTGATATATCCACTGACTTTTGTTTCTATAACATAGCCAATTTTGTTATTGATTTCAATGATATCTATTTATTTATCTATTATTATTAATTATTTCCTGCTTAAGATTGCAACATTGAACCAAAATCTTCTTTCATTACACTACGATTCATTGCTGTTGTCTATTTCATTTTCTATGTCAAATACATTTAATACTAATGATTATTACTCAAATCTAGCTAATTCATCAACTCCTTCTCTTAAAATATTAAATCTTTACGAATTTCTAATTACTCTTTTATTAAGGCTACCATTATATTGTGAACTGCAAATAAGAACAACAAAATATATGTAACTATGTAAATCAATGATAATTCTAAACTTACACCTCTTGAACTATCACGAGCTACATCTGAAATTGAATCTCCATAAATTAATGAAAATAATGCATTTATTGAAGAAGACAAACTTACAAATTAATGAGAATCTGAAAATAAACACATTCCCAATAATGCATATCCTAAAAAAACTGGTAAAAAATTTAATATTGCCATACAGACTGGAATTATAGATGATTCTAATACTGATGCTATTAAGTGCAATTCTTCATAATAATCCAAATATTTAACTATTGAAAACCAAGCAAAAAAACAACCAAGTCCAGCCATTAACTCATCATATTATGATAAACCATCTACTCTTATAAATGTTTCTGATATTAATATACCAGCAGATATTAGTTGAATGATATTTCCTAAAATTCTTATAGGTAAAAATAAATCAAAAAATAATAATTTCTCTTTAATTGTTAATTACTCCCAAGGCTTTTATTCAGTTAATATAATTTTTAAAGTTGTAAGGTTTTGATTTTTATATAATTTATATTCTGGAACTTTTAGTTTTCGTTATTTTTTCAATTTAGAAATATTATTGGTATACATTTCAATAACTTCATAAATATATTTAACTCCTAAACAAATGTCAATAAATGCCAAGAGAATAATACTCAATTATAAGAGTAAATTATCTATTCTCACAGCAGTACTATTAAAAGCAGATCCATGTCCTTCATCTTCTCTATTCTCTTAACAAATTCCACCAATAGATGTAATAGTGGCATCAATATATCCATAGTTTATAAATTAATAAATAATATATATATCCCAACAAGCAGATCGTTATTATGATTCAACTTTTACTTAATTAATTGTTAGTGTTAATTCATAAGCATTTGTCCAAAAATCACGAATTTAATCATCATCTTCTAAATTGAATGGATCAAGTAATGGTTCGCCTAAAGTAAGATTTCTCACAAAATTATAATCATACCTGTAGGCTTCATAAGGATAGTTAAAATTAATTTAAAAGAATGTATTACCTAATATAGTAGTTTTCTAAACTGTGATATCATCAATATTAGCCAAATTATTAAGTGTATTGTTCAAGGATTCTTAAAAGTCATCGATAGTAAGTAAAGTTTTCTTATTATTCATAGGTTCATCTGCATTTAATAATAATGCCACTATTAATCAATAAAGATTGAATTCAATACCGAATTAGGTTATTTGTCCAGAATTATTATATGTGTAATGCTCTGAGATCAAAATTACTTATAAAGTGGAAAGGAAAACTAACGCACAAGAGATAAGAAACTTAAAAGGAAATCTGCCGTATTTATTATATTTTTCAAAAGGAGAAAGAGTAAACTTATCCTTTAAAGTCTCTGTATATATGCCTTCTGACATAATATTCTATATTGTAATTATTATTTTTATAATTTTATTTCATGGGAAATACTTCTTGATAAAATTGTCAACTGTTTCAAACTTTGGCATTGATGGCATAGCTCCATGTTTAGTAATGCATAAAAATGCTGATGCACTTCCAAAATGCATAGCTTTATAGAACAATTTTTTTTATGTTTCAATATCAATTTTTTTCAAAGCTAAAGTTTTTTAACAAAATCATACTAGAAATTCTGGCTGGACCATATTCTATTAAAGATCTATAAAATGATACTGTAAAAGCAGAAGTAAAACAATCTCCAGCCCCAACAGTATCAACAATCTTATATTCTTCCAAAATATTTGGATCTATTATTTAATTTATAATAAATACTTAATTGTGTTACTGTTTGACATCTAACACTAAATTATTTAGTAACAAGCATACTTCCATTTGAACCTAATTTTAATAAAACTATTAAATCTGGAAAACGAGTGAATACTTTTTCATGAATAATTTTAGAAAGAAACCTTAACAATATAAAATAATTCTTACTCTTCTGCATTCTGATTTGCATCTATATTTAGATCTTCTCCTAAAATACGTTCCAATTCTGTTTCATTTGGACTTACAATTGTCAAATTTTCAAGAAAATCACTTTTTAATTTCTCTGCTTTTCCTCCGCAATCTAATACTGTAACCTTGTCATTTTATGCCATCTATGAATTATTTTAAATTTCTAACATATTTTGAAGCCAAAATATTTATCGCCTGTGGTACCTCCATTTGTAATTATAATAAATCTGATTATTCAATTGCTTGCTAATATTCTTAAGGTAAAACATCTAATGTGTCATAATAACAATTTGCTCCTGCTACTATAATTATTAGATTTTCTCCTTTTTTATTTAAAAGAATTATAGCTTATCCTGTTTATTCATCTACTTTTCTTAATGCATTTAAATCTACTCCTGCTAAAGTCATTTCTTTTACTAACAGTTAACCTAGTTCATCTTTTCCAATTTAGCCAGCAAAAATTATCTTTGAATTAAGCAAGGCTGATGCAACTGCTTGATTGGCTCCCTTACCTCCATTTTTTAAATAGGATTTCTAAAAATAATTACAGATTGTCTTATACCTTAGAAGCTATAGTTTCTCCTTCTTTAGGAAAGTCTTCAACTTCAAGAAAATGATCAGAATTCGCACTTCCTAACACACAAATCTAGTATTGAGATTATTGCATATATAAAATAAATCACTTTAATTATCTTAATTACGCACTTTCATCATGCTAATTACATACTTTTTATTATTTTTTTATTTGTTCTAATGGCTCTAAATTCTTAATTGGTTAATTCGTTATCTATTTCACTTTTTGTCCATATTGCAGTGAGCTTAATGATTCGTCTAAGTTTATAAATGAAGGTGATATATTTATAATCATTATTGTTTTTGACTAAAATCATAAAATAATTATACATTGCCTCCTAACGAATCCCTCATTAAATATGTGAGTTTGCTGTTTCTGTAAGGAATGAAATTACTTTTTGTTGAGAGTGCAATCATAACATCATTGAGAGCTGAAAGACTTTTATTTATATATTTAGCCTCATCTAATTGATTTTGCTTAAGTCTTGATTTATTACATCTTTCTGAGCCAGCTAAATCAATCAAATTCACATGACTGATGAATTTCTTATAATAAGTGCGTATATATACTTATTATGTAATTTTATTAAAAGTTTCAATAGTGAGTTGAGTGCACATATGAGATCTTGAGCTAGAATCGTTCATTTCAGTTAAACTTTATTTTCTTTTAGAAGATGCAAACTCAATTAAATCCATTAATTCATGCATATTTTGAACTTTTATATTTGTTAGATTTTAAACAAAAACTTATCCATTCGAATTCTCCTTAAGTTCCAAAGTTTAAGTATTTTATTAGTCATTTAGTAAATCAATAATATTCTCTTTATAAATTTCAAGAGAATTGACTATGATTGTACATTCTAGATTAGTTTTTCTAATATATGCATATATATCTTCTATTAAATTGGGAATTACTCCAGGTTATTATTTTGTTCCAAACATAGTATATGTTTTACCACTACCAGTCTAGCCATAAGCAAAAATACATAAATTAAAACCATGAAAAATGGCTTAAAGTGATTACTATATTTCTTCATACATATCTTTTTAAGTAGATTATTAATTAAAACAAATGTCGAAATTGAAAATTTTTTATTTTAGAGACATGTGCTACTCATCTATAAATTAAACTTCGCAATCTATTTTTACTTTAAATAAATACCTTTTATTTTATCTAGATTATTTGAAGGTCTTACTCTGCAGTAAACTTTTACTTTACCTTTAATATCTTCTAACTAAAAACTTAATCTCTTAACTTCATTAGTTTTTTATTTTAATTGATCTTGTAATGAAGATATTTATGATATTTCTATCAAATGGCATTAAACACCAATATTTTTGCAATCTGTACTATCTTAAATGATAGTACTGCGATCATTCAATTATTTCTTCAATATTGTATATTGATAAAACTTTGTACTGATCGATTGCTTATCATTAACAGAAGGTGGTCTACCTTCCTTTTTCAAGAATTCATCTTACCATAAAGTAATTTCACGCTTAATTAAATCCTTCTATTTTTTTAAGTTACTTATTGGATCTTACATAATTTTTAACATCATTCTTTATCCTTTATTCTTATTAGACATTATACTTTATTCCCCTTCAGTTTATCCTACACTCTCTAATGTATGACTATCCTAAATATATTCAATTATTAATACCTTGAATAAACTATCTTATCTCTAATTAAATGATGTTTATAAAAATGAAGTAGCTACAGTAGTTGAATAACCTTATTGAGTACTTTTCAATTTATCACTTAAATCCACAATCTCTTATTTCTATTGACTTAATTCAATTTAGAAAACCATTTAACTTAACTTCATCTCTATTTCTAACTGATTAACTTTTTCCTCATAATTCGACCTGCATGACTCTAACTACAATAACCTATAAAAATGCTACCTATAGTTCACACTCTTAGATAATTAATTCCTATTATTGTAATTAATCGCACTTTCTTTATAATTGACTTTGTAGTTCTTAAATCAAAAATTTATACTCTTCTTTCTCTCGAATCAGCTATTTGATTTACGAAATAAATTATTTGTTCATCATTTTAATTTGCTTCATGAATTCTAACACTTCTTCCTAATCTAAAAGTATTTAAACATCATCGATATTCTCTTTATTCGAAAAACTCATCACTTAATTTAAAAAACAAAAAATGTTATAGTTAATTAATTATTTATGTTAAAAGCATTCTCTACATTCTATCTACATCAACAGACCCCAATTGCCTAATTTGCTAAGTAAATCACATTTGAAAAATGGAATGTTATCAAAGGAGATAAAGTTGTTGTTGTCTCTGGAAAGGATTCTGGAAAAACAGGAACAATTTTAAGAGTTTATCGTTTATCAAATGAAGTACTTGTCCAAGGAATCAATTAAAAATTTAAAAGAAAATCTTTATTAGATGATCCATCTGGATCTGGTATTCAATAAATCACAAGACCTATCCATCTTAGTAAAATAGCATTAATTGATCCTGAAAAAGGAAAACCAACAAAAGTAAAAATCAACTATAAAATTTTCAAAATAGGTTTAAAGAGGTTTTTTAGAGGACGGTACACCAGTGAGAGTATCAAAATTAAGCGGATCTATTATTCCAAAAGTTGTAGATCCAGCTAAATCACCTGCACATAGACATAAGAATAAGGTGGATGGAATCAAAGATACATCTCCTGCTCTTGCATTATAAGTCACTTATAAAGGAGAGGATTTTTCTGCAATTAAAGCTGAGTTTGAATAATTCATTGCTGAGAAAGAGAAAAAGGAGGAATTGTTATGGTTTGATAAGTGAATATTAAATATATAATGAATAATGATAAAAAAAATGATAAAAAACCTGCAAAATAAGTTGAAAAGAGTTCTACAACTAACAATCAACAAATTTAGAGTAAACTCTTGGGAACAAATGTTAATGAAATAAATATTGAAAAACTTCGTGATCTCAAATAAACTTAAAATTTCAATTTATAAGGCAAGCTCAATCCATGTATAACATTGTTTATTAATTTAGAAATCATAAAAACTATATCCAATAAATTTGGTCTTGATATAGTGTTCGTTTTAGATCTAAGTAATTAAAAAATTGGTAATATTGATTGTTTAACAGAATGTATTCATTTAGTTTAATTGAACTTGTAGAACAATTAAATTAGGTATTATTTTATATAAATCTCAAGTGATATTTCTCCCCTGAAAGTTATGAAAGATCTAGCATTTTTGAATATTTCTAATAATCAAATTACTTAATTAGATCTAGGTGAGCTATATTGTCTTTAAAACTTATAAGCTAAAGGGAATTTTATTAAAAGTGTAAAGGCAATAGAGTATTTAGATCGTATTAGAGTACTTAGAACACTCTATTTATAATGTGCATCAGGTGATTAGAAAAATCCTATTTGTGATCTCAATAACTATAGAAATGTGATATTTAATACAATAAAGGCGCTTTAAAGACTTGATGGTTATACTCGAGAATAAGAATACAATACTGGATAAGAATTATAAAAAGAGTAAGTTTAAGTTAAAATTGAAATTCCTAATACTGGTCCCTGGTATGTTTAATAATTCCCAAAAGTTGATAATATTTCGTCTATCCAATTAGATGATAAAGGAGTTAAATAATCAATAGATGAAACAAAAAAGTTGATCAGCAATATTGAAATGAAATTGGCTTTATTAAATTGAATTAATTAATATTTTATATATAATGTGGCTAAGATTATCATATTTGTCATTCAGGTCATGCTTTAATAAGAAAATGGTGAATGGAAAATTCTTTGGTCCAGATATTTCAGGAAGATATAAGGGTGTTTTGAGAAAATAATTTTATTTTCATGGGCTCCCATGGATTTATGATTAACCCAAAAACAGAGAATTGAGTCCTTATCATAGAAAGCCTAAAGGTCACAAACGTGAGAGAACAAGAGAATAGAGGTATCATAATTCAATTAACTTAGAATTGAAAAAATAAAAAAGAATTTAATGAATTATGCTGAAGAAGAATTTAAATTTAGATAAGAAAGATTAAATAAAAGACCTTCAGGTGGTTTGGATATGTAATGGATATTGTTTACAATAGGATTGTATAGAAAATGATTCCATCTTGGATTCATCCTAAAACAGCTGCCTAATTGTAGAGTACTAAACAATTGTTATTAATGAAAAGAGGTAGGTAACCTAAATAAGAGGAAGAATATAAAACTGATCAAAATGATTTTTGATATTTATGAACAATAATAAATATAATAAATAATAATTATGGATATCTATGTAATTAAACAAAAATTTTATAAAAGTGTCAGTTTTACTTAGGAATAATTATTATTAGAAGTATTCATTTAATACATTATTTGAAAGCTGTTTTAAATAGGGTTATTGAATTATGCAGACTTAAATAAAATTAAGAATTTCAAGAATGTGTAAGAGAGTAGAGAAAAATCTAAAATGATTTTAAAAACAAATTAAATACTTATTTTAAAAGTTAAAAATAGGTTAAGATATTTGATAAAATTATTAGAAATTGAAAGAAAAAATGAAATAGTAATGCATGAACAAAGATGATGAAGAATTGATTCAATGCTTCATGGACTTCAAAATTGAACAATTAACAATTAATAAAAAATTGTTTTAATTCAAATTAGAGAGAAGATAAATAATTAAAAATTTAACCTGATATTTTTTAATATGTCATAAACAACTTAATGCCAATGTATAATTTTTATCTACATAAATATCGACAAATGGACTTGAACCATTTGCTATAAGAATATTACTATTCTAATAACAAATTGTGCTAAATTGTAATATCACATCAGATGATGTTTAAAGAGTTATTTTTGAATTCATTTATTCAATTTATCTATTTCCTTTAGTTAAATAGATCTAAAATAAAATGAGAAAATTACATTGTTTTGGAATAGACACATTTTGTAATAATCAGAAATTGGTCTAATTTCATCATCATTTCTTAAAATAGAATTCCAAATAACTAAATGATTCTTATGCAAGCTAATAATTTGTTGTTAATCTTCCAAATATAAAATCTAATAAAATTAAGCAAAAATAAAAGTACATCGTTAACATATGATAATTCTTAATTTGGTGCTTTAAAACTGAGCACAGATTGAAATGAATATGTTGATGTAGCTTAAATTAAATAAGTAATATATCATACACCAAATTCCTATAATTCCAACATCTGATCCAATTGCTAAAAAATTCTACCCTATAACAGCCAAACAAGTTATTTTGACTTCTTTGATTGGTACTAAAGTATAAATATTATCATTAATCGATTGGGTTATATCAATCTCTCTTTTTTTTATAAAATCTTAAATACTCAATAATATTGTTTTCGTGCTGTAAATCAATAAAATATAATCTAGAACCAACGGCAACTATTAGATTATCACTATTGTATTTGATGAATTCAATATCTTCTTAAAAAGATTACTTTAGATTAAATATGTAAGAATTTACAATTAAAACAGAAGTATTTAGATCTGTGTCTATAATTTGATTAGGAGATATCAATGTTTAAATTTGAACTTGATACAACTTATTGGCAACTGCACAATAAAGACTTTCCTGAATAAGTATTATTTATTATATTGAGTCTTTAAATAGTGGAAATTTATAAGAGGCTTTGTATATTAAAGTATTTTGTCTAATTATTTATTTATTATGATAATACGTCTTTTCTTATGTTCGGCTGCTATTTTCAATGAGAATGGTTTCAAAATCCCAAATGTAAAGTACTCCTGTATTAGTTGCACCTATAACATATTTTTGATCATTGGTAATTGCAGTCGAATTAATAATAAACATTTTTATTTATATAAACTTTAGTCATATAGTAATTATTATATTTTAATATATCAAAATCGTGAAAGTATGTCATAGTAATTAAGCTATTTAACTCTTTAATTTTTATTTTGACTTTGATGATGTTTTGATATCTGATTATAATGTATTATTACACACATTTTTAAATCTTGGTACTTGAAGGGGGGAAATTTAAAAAGAAAAAAAGCATTTTTAATTATAGATATGGACTTTCATTAGTAGGACAGCGATTTATTAACATCAAAACCAACCAATCAAATGGCATAAGAATTGGTTTCTTAAGGTTTAGGTGCACAAGAACAAAGTGATTGTAGCTACTCTTCATAGCATTCTTGTTCTGTAATTAATGCAAACTTAATTTTGATAGAGTGAACACAATAGTAACAGGAACATCAATTTAAATAAGAGTTCATTTAAGAAAGTTAGTAAAAGCACTTTGGATCTATAGAACTTAACAAGCAAACATTCATATATTTGTGCGTAGTATAATTTCCTCGGTAAATGCTATTAAGAACACTGCAAGTATTCTTTTTAAAAAATAACTTTTAGGAAAAGACATGTTTTGATTTCAGAAAAAGACGGATTAAGTGAACTCATATCAGATAACATTGATCTCATAGATAGACTCACTAATAGTGGAAAGAAACTCAAATTATCTCAATCTACATATAGAACCCAACTATCTAAATATAGGAAATGCAAATCTAATAATAAGGAAATTTCTGAAAAATTAGAATTGAAATTTGCAGATTAAGAATAAATCACATTTGGGGATTTTCCTTTAGGAAAATTGTGGAATTTGAATGATTTGTAATTCTAAGCAAATCAAATTCAATCTTAACCAGATCTCAATACTAATTCACAAATAACATCTATCAATAGTTTGATTAAACCAAAACCATTGGTGGATTATAAATAAGCATCAGATATATTAGAGAATTCTACATCTCCTTTAAATGTTTCTTGTGAAATCAAAAAAAACCTCATGTCTAAACTCAAATCAGACATTGACAAAATGCAACAAAAAATTAAAATTATCACAATGTTAAAAAAATGGATAAATAATCAATAGGTTGATTTCAATGAATACATAGCTTTGCATTCCTCCCTCTCATAAATACAATAAATACATTATTCTAATTTCCTAAGAATTACTAATATGACTATTCCAAGTAAAATTACTTTTTAAATTTTAGATTAAATGAATATGCATCAATAATTTCAAAATATCTAAAGTGTTTAATAATGAGAGTATTCATTATTATGAGTTATGTGAATATATTATAATTACCAATTGAATAATTCTACAATTCTTACTTCAAATATAATTATATTTTTTTCTCTGTATAATTATTGAACAGATTAAGCTGATCTGATTAAGAATTATACTATTTTAAAAATTTTAGGCTTCTTAAAGATATTTTGCTTTATTTAATCTCATAATATTATTAATGAGGTTTGGTTAAAATATTATAATTAAAATAATTTTGATAACTTAAAAAAGATTATCTATTTTTATAATTGGATTAATATTTTTAAATGATCATATTTTCTCTTAAAATGTACTATCTGATTTAGTTACTTTTTTATAGTCTGCCTACTGGTAAATATTATATGATGTTCCTTTGGGATACCAATTTTCATCTAAAATTTAATAAAATGTCATTTACCTTCCATTTCTAATTATTCCTAAATATCATCCTGAGATTTCCATAATTCTTTTCTGCAATTTGGATTTCTAGGAGATGGAAAGACTCTATCACTTTCAGGTATATTGAATTAATCTTCAATTCCAACCATTTCACCTCCCCCTTAAGAATATGTAAAAAATATAGTTACATTCGCATTCATATTCAAACCAAGTGTTAGGAACACCAAGATCCAAATCACCAGTTGGTTTGATCATTGGATCTGACCACAGGAAAATTTCCCAATGATAATCAATTAATTCTCTCACAGGAGCAAAACCAACTGGTAATTTGGCTAAATCTTCAAGAACTTAGACATTCCATAAGATTTCAACTTTTTCTCCTTTTGAATTAGTAACAACTTATCTAGCAACATAAACACTGTTTGGAACATAATCGACATCAAAACCACAGTTATAAACCAAATATGCAAAATCCACCTATTCTTATGGTGTTAATCCCATATTTAATATCTTTTCAACTTCTCTTCTAGTAATTCCTATAAAATAAATGAAGGATTGACACCTGGGACTCTTCTCATAATTTCATCAGGATCCATCTAGCAACTCCAAGTTCCTTATCTTCCAATAGAAGTATTCTACCAAACAGCTCTTACATCTTCCATTCTAAATTAAAACATTAAGGATAAAATTACGTATAAGGTCCATCATAAGGAGGAAGAGGACCAGATTATCTAACTGGGTTGACATGTCTTACATTACGAACTGAAGAAATAATTAATAGAAAATACCAGGTAGAGGGACTTGTTGTGATTTAGCAATATCTGTGATTTCTTTATTGGATTAGAAAAAGTTTGGGTTCAAATAATGTCTGTATCTGTTTGGATTATAAGGGCCATCTAAGAAGTTTAAGTTAAGTTACTTACTTCTTGAAGAGAATGTATATTATGGCAATGCTTTACGAAATCCTATGTTAATGGCACGATTAAGCATATCTATATATAAATTATTTATAAAATATGTATATATTAAAAATGAATTATATATCTGAATATATATATAGAATCCTAGTTTGAGCCCTTACAACGCCAATAGTGAAATCTTACTTTTTCTAGCCCAAATTTATCAAATTGAAATTATATAATATTAATTTTAATGAATTAGATGAACAATAATTGGCATTTTACTTCAAGAGATAACCATCAAACAATTCCAACTACTCGTAAAGGAATTTCAAGTTTTCTTTTAAAAACTTATTCAATGGTTATGGTATGTAAAACAACACACATTCTTGTAATCCAGACCTTTAATTTGTGAATCAAATATAATGATTTGAGAATTAAATTCTGGAAAATTAAAATATGAACCAATATATTAATAAATTTAATTAAAACATAATAATTAGAATCCGGAATTTGAAGATATTATTTCATTTAATAGTGCTGGCAATGCCTTTATAGTGAAGGATTAAACTGGATTAAGTGATTTTGTGCTACCTAAATAGTTCAAACATCAAAACTTCAGTTCCTTTATAAGATAATTGAATATGTATGGTTTTAAAAAGATAAGAAATGTTAATAATCAGAATCAATTCAGTCATCATTATTTTTTAAAAGGAAGAGAGTACTAAATTTGATTAGAATAGAGATCTACTTAACAAAATCATAAGAAAAAATGGTGTTATTTAGAGATGCCATTATCTCAAATAATAAAATATTGCTAAGAAAGAAGTTACTCAATTATGTTCCAACTATTCAGAATTGAAGACAGACATAGAATAAATTTAAAAAGAACTTATATATTTTTATTAACAATTTGATTAAGTTAAAATTGTTAATATAATTTCTTAGTTTTAAGGTACTCTCTCAACTTTGATTGACTCCTCTAGACAATAAATTAGAGAGTTAAGCATTATTAAGAATTAGAACTCTATTTGTAATGACTTACTTTTTTAAGTATTGGCTAATGTATCTAAATCATAACCAGAAGAAAAATATCATTGTAGTTACTCTATTAATTACTTTTAGTCCAATATCCATTTACTAACTCTACCTAATAAACTTAAACTACTAAAAGCAATGGAAGCGATAAAGATGAATTGAATAATGATAATGAAAATAATAATAACTCAAGCAAAGAGGGTAAAATTTATATTATTGTTATTTTTTTAAGAGACCAATCACAGTTTTTAAAGTAACTCTTTTAGGGAACCCTAATAATAAATAAAATCAGATTGAACCGAAATTTGCAAAAATATATATATCAATATGAAGCTAAATTATTTATTTAATAATTATTCTTCTTAAATTTAATTATTATCTTTGTTGAATTATTTTTACTCTAAAAATTAGATTTAATTTAAAAATAACTTATTAATTTAAAACAAAATACACTCTAACAATTTTAGTAATAAATAATATTGTATTTAATTAAAGATAGTGCTTTGACAAACAATGAAGAGACTTAGTATATAATTTCTTGAAATTGAATATATTGCATTTATAGTTGAATAAATTGATACTTGTGAGAGTTCTACGCAGAATTATTACAAAAAAATAGAAAATATTTATGCATTATCAATTAAAAAATAGAAAAAAGATAAAATATCAATCCAAAATATCTGAAGGTAAGATTTTAGTATAAGCATTAAATGATGGTTAATATTTATTAAAAGTAGTGTCTACATATGATTTCTGATGAGTAAAATTATCAAATTTCCAGTAGGTAACATTTGAATATTCGCCTAAAACATTTTTTGCAGATGATAATAAAGGTTTTGGCCTAGCAGGTTCTATTTTATATGGAGTGTTTCTTAAAAAAGTGTTCTTATAATCAAAACTCATATTATAATTATTAATAATGTAAAACACTTTATATGACTTTAAATAAGATGAACAGAATATTAAAAAAATTATAGATAAGGAGATTAATGCTAAAAATTAATTAGTATTTGATATTGATAAATATAATTCCCAATTTCAAATTTTAGCTCAAGATTGTTTGTAATAATGTGAAAGAATTACTCCTCTAAAAGGAGCCAAAGAATTAGTTGAATGTATAATTTATTATATCACTTGAGTTAAAGCATAAGTAATTAGTCATGAAAAAGTAATTGAAGCTGTTAGATCAGCAAATTTTGTAGAAATTCAAAATGTAAATTAAAGGTTCAAAAGACTTTTTAAAGAAGTTTTAAATCAAATCTCTGAGCAATTAGGTAATGTTTATAAATAAGAATATTTGAAAATATGGATGGATTGTAAGAACTCTAAGGTCCTTTTACAAGAAAAAGAATTAAAATTAAAAAGTTCTGAGACAACTATTTAAATTCAAGAATAAGAATTAATTAAATTAAGAACCCAATTTTCATCATAAATTACATTTTTATAATTAAACAAAAGACTAGAATAAACTATCATAAATTTAGAAAAGGATAATAATGAATTAAAAGAGAGTCTACAAAATCAGACTAAAATTTATAATGATCTAAAAAGTAATTTTGAAGAACTCAATAAGAAGCATAATAAACTTCAATAGTAATATGATGAAGTAAAATCAAATTTTGAAAAGGAAATAAATCAATTAAAGTCATAAGAATAAAATTTGATTAAAGCAAATAAAGATTTGATTGAATTAACTAACTAGTTGTCAAATTAAGTGGATAAGTATAAGGATTTATATGAAATATAAAATTAAAAAAATCTAGATCTTAATGATTAGATAAAATATTGGAAATCAACTCATTTCTAAAGATTAGTTGATTTATAGTAATCAGAATAAAGAATAGGATCATAAAAAGGATATCTCTTTAAATATAGAAGGGAAGTATAAGACTTAAAAAGATTCAAGCTTTAAAATGAAGAGGCATAAAAAGAGTTATCAAATGCTCGGTAAACAGTTCATATTTTAAATCAATAAAGTGAATAATTAAGAATAAATTATGAAAATGTGAAAACATAAAATCTTAATATATAAATTGAAAAAACAGATAACTTAAATCAAATTCAAATTAAAAATTCTTTATCTACTAAAAAAACAAATAATGAATCAAATTCATTTAATGATACACCTAAAAAAGGTAAATTTGATTTTGGTCAAATGAAGAAATCTGTTTAATAATAGACTCCAAAAGAAGAATTAACATAATTAATAATAAACAATTTTAAACTTCCAGTTCAATTAAAATAAAAAAATAGAAGCGCTAGTGCTTAAAAGAATATTTAGTTAGATACTGATTCCTCTAAAAATAATATAGTTTTAACTGAGTATGATCAAATGACCCCATTTTTAGATAATAATTTATAATAATTTACATTTAGCCATGCTCAAAGATTTCCTACCAATATGAAAAAGAGAATAAGAAGAATAAACACTGAAAGTTGAATTTAACAAGTTAAATATATTTATATTAAGTTTATTTTACAAAATACTATACTTTAAGAATATTTATTTTTTATCAACTATAGTTTTGAATCAAAAGATTATTTTGAATTTTGTAATTTAAAAAGTGATGATTAAAAGAATTATAATGTTAAAAAAAATTACATAATCAATTATAAACACAAGAGATAATCATAAATATAATTTTTCTTATTTATATGCAACACCTTCACCAATATAATAATCTAACCAAGCTTTGAGCTCAGAAATAATTAGATTTGAACTTTTCAAATATTCTTTAGGAGCTTTTTTATCTGCGGCTAAATATAACATTAATTTAGGAACTGAATCTACAGTAATTTTAGGATGTTCATTATTTGCAAGATCAATATGTCCAATTTTAATTTTATCTTTATTTTAAATTAATGAAAACTCATTAAGTAGATTAAAATAATCGTTAAATAAATCTTTATTTTTTGAATCCCAAAATAATAATAAAAAATTCTTTCCTTTATTAAGTACTTCTTATGAAAATGATTTTCCTACAATTTTGTATAAATCTTAATTTTCAGAATATTCAGGAACAGGTTCAGATTTATAAAACTCAGTTAGATTTTTATCTCTAAAGTCATCAATAAATTTCTAAATGGTTTCTTGATTTAATGTTTCAGATTGACAAATATATTTTTATAATTAATATTTTCTAAAGTTTGTTTCTGTAATCACAAGCTTAGGAGTATTTGTAGATTGATCAAAATCAAATAAAGACCATAAACTTGGATTTTCTTAAAATGTTGAATAAGTAAAAATTAATCGATGATATTTCAAATCATTCATTTTATTATTTTATGCAACCCAATAATAGGAATTAAATAAATCTTGACTTAAAATACCTTTAATTAAAAGATGAACTTGAGTTTAAACAGGTCCTCCAAAAACTCTTGCATAATTATCTTCATCTAATCGATTTACTAAATCTAAGCTTTCTAAATAAAAGAAATCTAAAATTTAATCAGTATAAGTCAAATTATATTCATATTGTTCAAATTTATTATTCCCTTTGTGCAATAGCAATGTTGGGGCAGTAAAATTTAAATAATTAGAATTAAAACCTTTCAATTCATCAATTCTAGCTTCTTTTAGATCTCCGTTTCTCATAAGTTATTCTAGATCTTAAATAATTTAATCTTTAAAAGTATAATTATCAGGCAAAAGTACCAAAGAGTTTAATTTGTTTTAGCTGAAATATTTATTCACATCTTCTTCTGTTTCTAAAAATTCTAATTTAGGACTTATTATATCTAGAATTGAATTTAATATGATTACTGAATATCTAAGATTAAAGATTGTCAAAATTTCGAATCCAAATCATATTATCAAAATTTTTGACTACAATGCCCTTTTCTGATTCAATTAATCCAACAGGACTTTTAATGAAAATTACATCAATTTTAGTAAAATTAACATTCTGAATAATTGAGCTAAGTAGTTTGATTTGAGTTTCTTCTTCATTTCTATAAGATAGAATTCAATTATTATACGTATCAAATATAAGATGCACAACATTCTTAAATGAATTTTTCATTTAATCATATGCTTCTTTATCAACTTCATATAATTTATCATATATTTTATTTTGTTTGATATCAGTTGATTAGATTTCAATATTTTATTGCAAATTTAAATCAATTTTGACTTCTTCTTCAGTTTTTATTGGCTTGAATATAATTGAATATTTACAGCGAGTTATCCATATGCAAAGAAAACTAAGTAGAAGATAAATATAAATTGTTATGGTTTCATTTAAATTAATTATTGATATATAAGTAAAGACATGACTTATTAGTTAATGAAAATTGACACGATTGATAAAATTTATTATTTAAAAAGTTTTCTAGAATATTTCTATTTTTATTAAATAATTTAATAATAATAATATAATAATGAAACCAATTATATATAATCAGCTTGTAATGATTTTTTCAGCATTTGTTTTTCTATTAGTCGAGCTTGAACTGTTGACTTCTACATAAGAATCATAGGAACATTATGATTATTGACTAATTTAATCATCGACGACTTTTCTTAGATTATATTATTAGGATGGATCAAACTTAATGAATCTCATGCAATTACTAATAAGGACTACAATTATGGAAGAGAGGGACATAGCAGTTGATGATATCATAGGAGATATAGTGAAACCTTATCCATAAAAGACTCCTGCTGCAATAGCTAAAAGAATATCATAATAATAAATTACGAGCCATAAATATATTATAAGCGAATGCCCATAACAGATTGATATAAACAACTTTAAGAGCAATATTCATTAAATTAAATAATGATGCCACTTTCCATAAATTTTCATTTAATAATATTACATCAGAAGCCATTAAATTTAATTCAGATTTTGCATTAATCGCTACACCTACACATGCTTATTATAAAGATAGAATATCATTTAAACCATCTCCAATCATCATGACTTCTTAATTATTTTCTTTAAGTTCTTTAAGAATTTTTTATTTTCCTTCTGCATCAATTTCTGCAAATTAATTTATAGAAGGAATTCCTAAATATTTACCAACTGAAGCTACTGTTTTTTTGGAATCTCCAGATAATATATAAACTTATTTCTTTAACTTTTATCTTAAATATTAAATAACAGATTTAGCTTCTGGTCTTAGATTAGTTTTATTATCTAAACAAACAACTACTTCTGGTACATTATCAATTGCCATTATTATAACTGTTTTTCCTCTTCCTTCTAAAAATCTACATTTATTTAATAAATAATCTTCTAAAATTGCATTATTATTTTCTAAATGTTTTAAATTTCCAATTAAACATTTAAATTATGTTTTATCAGTAGTTCTTGTAACATTTCCAATTATTCCATTTTTTTCTAATTTTGGTTAATCAGTTAATACAAAAGTACTTTATCTTCCAATTTATCTAGATATAGATTCTTTAAATAATAATGTTGCAATAGGATGAGTAAATTCTTTTTCTAAGATACTAATAATAGCCCAAAGATCTTAGACAGATAAAGTTTAATTGTATTTTAATTTTGATTACAAAGTTCCTTCACAATATTATTATTCTCTTTTAGTTTCAATAGGATCTGACATTACTAAAGATCTTTAAAATTATTTAACTTTCATAATAGTTTTATCTTAATTTTTAGCACAAACTTCTGTTTGATTTTTCGATAATAAAGTGAATGAATCAATATGATCAACTTTAGTAAATAAAGTTCCAGTTTTATCAAAAATAACACATTTTACTTTACTAATTTACTCAAATATAGTATTCTTATAAATAAATAATAATATATTACTTTTTTAACTAAGATACCACATTTCAAAGCTAAATTAAGAGTAATAATAACAACAGATGGTACAGCTAATCCTAAAGCACAAGGACAAGATGCCACAAGTATAGATATTGCTCTTTCAAATGGAAAACACCATACACAATATTCATCTATTTGGACTAAATTAAAAGCTATTAATAAAATCCAAATAAATAAAACTAAAAGAGATACACAAATAACTCCTAAAACGAATTTCTATGATAATGATTACAACATTGCTGAAATTCCAAATGTTTTATCTTCTCTTTCAGATTATGCTAAATTTAATTATTCTGCTATTTAAAATAACATTGAACCCTCTATCACCTATTCCACTTAAAATATACAAGATCCATCTAATATATCAGCACCTGATTTCAATCTCATTCCTATTGAAGCTTCAAATTTATCATCCCAACCATAACATATTGAATCTACTACTGTCACTGAACCTTTTACTATCACTCCATCTACTAATAATTTCATATTCTTCTATAAAATTATTAAATCTCCTTTTTCTAATAATGACACTTCACATTCATGTTATGTATCTATATCGTAATCCTAATTCTTCACTTATACTCTTTTTACTATGGGAGTCTTTAATAATTATTCTTATGGAAATATTTAATTCTACATATCCATTATTGTCTACTTTGCTTTTCCTTCAAAATATTTTCCTATTGTTATCACTGTTAATATCAATCCAGCTGATTCCAAATCATGTATTACATTCATCACTCTCTCTAATTAATCATACTTATCTCCTTAGCCTTATTCACTCTCTATTGTATACACTATTAACATGAAAATACTCATTATATATGCTGCTAATGAACCTAATGTTAATAAGGTATCCATATTAAACATCCTAATTTTTATTACATTTAATACTTGTATTTTATAAATAATTAATATGCATTCTTATATGTTTATGTACCAAATTTTAATAATGTCAATGTTGTCATTATGAATATCAATATTAAATATATGCTAAAAATTGAATTCTCGTTTGGATATGTCAAAACAGGATTATAAAATTCAAATTGAGGCATTATTGAACATAATAATAAAAATAAACCACTTACCACTATTGCCAAAATTAATTTATTTTATGTCACACTCTCTATATGTCTTTCTTTTTTTCTAAATTTTTCCAATAATTAATTATAAATTATAAGACTCAAATCTGCATCTAAATTCTCTTTCTCATCATTCTTTACTATCTTATCTTTCACAAATGACTCAATATATTGTTTTAACTAATGTCCTGATATTGAAAGTGGTTAATAATTAATTGATATTAATTATCCACACTATAATTAATTTGTAATCTTAAATATACCTATTTTCTGTATTTAAATTATTGTTCCTGTATCCCTACTAATCCTCCTTAATATTCTTTACTAAGATTATTTCGAATATCAACTAGCTCCTCAAGATCATATTCACTATTTGGAAAAAAGAATTAACATGTTCTTTGTTAATCACAATCATTCTAAATTAATCTTGGCTGACCAACTATAAAGAAATTATTCTTCTCAAATATTTCTTTTATTTAATTCATTGTGCTACATATTTAAATTATCTATATTTACATTATGTTTTAATCAAATGAAATAATCACTCTTTCTGCCATCACATTTACTTATACATATTGGATTCCTAAGACTTATTATAATTCTTACCTGGTTGTCCTTCGAAACTTGACTTAATTTTGTTTGCACACATAGTACACCAAATCTTAGAAACAGTGAGATCGTATACAACTATGTTAGATTCCATAAATAAATTAAAAATATAATAAAATATGCTTTAAATTTACAATAATGTGATTCGTTTAAATTTCACTCTTGCCTATGAAATATCTTTAACAAATTATAGAAGCAAAAAAAATTTTCATTGTCTTATAATAATTGTATATTTACAAAAGAAGAAATTAACATTGTTTTTCTTATAATTGATCAATTAAAATTTAAATCATTCATTTTATAGTATCTAAAATTTTCAAGCTGTTGGATGTATTCTGAAACTAAAACATGAATAAAAAAGAATTTATTTTTCAACTATTTTAGAGATGAAAGAACTTAATTCAAAAAATATATGAACTGATTTGCTTATAATTATACTCAAAAATAATAAAAATATTTATTTATATTGCATCTAAAGAATCAAAAATAATAAAATTATATATCTATTTTAATAATCTTAATAAATGATATCAAACTATTATGAATATTAATTTATTTTAGCTCATTTTTCAGATTGTATATTAATTCCTTAAACTATTTATAAAGGGGAAATTTAAAATGGTTATTTAATCCTTATTCTTTGCAATCTTTTTTTTGTATTTTAAAAAATGAACATTTCATTTTTTCTGTCATTCTGTAACTTTTTTCGACAATCCATGTATTCATTAATTCCAATATAAATATTATACTTTGAATTTAGATATTGAATAAGAATAGAAAAATAATGAAAAATATAAAACTACTCTGACATAAAAAGATTTTGTAAATTTAATAAAAAATAACTAAAATTTATTAAAATAATGATACAATAATTCAACATTTGCTACACATGGGAGTTTCAATAGGTTTCAACTGTGTATTTTATGATTATGATTATGATTATTATTGTTATGTAATTAATAAATTTTTTCTTATATACATTTCTAATATAAAATTTAATTTTAGAATTACCTTCAATTAGTTTTTCAAAACATGATGCAATATTGGTTCCTCTGTATGCAGAAGTCTCTTCAAAAAATAATTAATTTTTAGTAGCAAATAATTAACCCTCTTCTTTAGTGACTTTCCTAGAATTGGTTTGTCTTTCAACCAAATCAGTTTTATTACCAACCAAAAACATAACAACATCTTTATTAGCAGCAGTTTTTAGTTCTTCCATCCATCTAGTTAAATTTTCAAATGTTTTTTCTTTAGTAATATCGTAAACTAATAAAGCACCACTTGCTCCTCTAAAATGATTAGTTGTAATAGCTCTATATCTCTCTTATCCAGCTGTATCCCAAATAGAAACCTATATCTTTCCTCCATCTTATAATGTCACAGTTTTTGTTGCAAATTCAATTCCTACCTTATTTTAATATAATCTGTTACCAATAGTAGGTAAATTGTTTTTTGGTTACTAGCCTCTTACATACTAATTCAAAATATAAGTTTTTCCCACTCCTGCATCTCCCAATAACACAACTTATATTCACATATAGCACTTACTTTTATAATTAATGTCTTCCATTTTTTGAAATTTGTTATAAATAGTAATATATATAAAACAACAGTCATAATTTTTTCATTAGCTAATCCAAACGTTTTTATACTTTTTCATCTATTTCTAAATTTTAAACTTGTCTCTTCTTTTTTCTCTTTTCATTAACGTCTTCTTCATCATCAGTTGTCAAATCTAAATCATCATTTAATTAATTTTAAGTAAAAACAAGTACTTATTATTATGTTCTTTAAAGCCAAGGAGCTTCTGGTTTATTTTCTATAAGATTTGGCTATATTTTAATAGATTAATATTTACCTTAATCATAAACAAAAATTCTTTCTTAAATTCTGGACATATATTTGGAGGTTAGATATCTGGGAAATTAAGAGATAATTTGCATTCAAATATTCCTTATCCATTTACTGCTATTTTTATTGTTGGAAATCCATTAAAGATGCTTTTTTCATTCATTAAAAAAGTTAAGATTGATTTACTAAAAACTTATGTAGATTTTTTATCTATTTAATTTTAAATCAAAAGCTTTAAGTAATCCAATTCATCTGAAACTACATTACCAACTTATTCTCTTATATCTTCTACTTTCATTTTAGCATTAGTATATTATTATAACTATACAATTAATAATAATTCTATACCAATAAATAGATTATTGCCATATTATATTTTATACCTATTATATGTTATACAATTCTTTCTGATTTCAATACCATTTCATTTGAAACATTCTCACTCTTCTCTGAATCAGCATCTTGATGACTTGAAATACTATTCAATCGATCTTTTTAAGAATTCATCCAATAAGTTTCAAGTTATGAAAGAATCAATAATGCATCATTGTATTTTTGTTAATAAATCAGACTTGATGCCTTGAATTAAAGTACATCTTAAGATTAAAATATTAAACCCATTTCATTTTAATCTATCTAAGGAAATATCACAGAGTCACAAGCCTTCTTATTTTATAGTAAATCTAATATTTATTTGATGTATGTCAACATTAAAAAATCAATTCTGTATTTTGCTTCTTTACTATTTTATTGTATTATCTAATTTGAAATCATACAGGCTTTGTCTATTTGTTATAATTTAATTTCACACTTCAATTTCAAAATTAATATTTAATTAGTTTATTTAGCATCATTAAATGCTTTAAGGGCTTCTTCATAAGCATTGTTATGGAACAATAAGCTTCCACTCCAATAATGAATCTCATCTGAATTATTATACTTCACATATTTATTCATATCTCCAAAACTCTGTGCAGTACTAAAAATGATATTTTATATTACTCTCCTTTTATTTAGTAACATTTAGCTCTTTCTAAATAAGATTCTGAATGCTCTTTATTAAAATGAATAGCTGTTGTAAAATCTTTTATGGCTTCTTTCAATCTCATACTTTAAGCATGTAAGATTCCTCGAATGTAAAAATGGTCACTTATACTATCTTCACTTTTATCAATTGCTTTTTCTAAATCTTTTATAGCTGAGGTATATCTTCTTTTATATGATTTCATCAAAGCTCTAGCAAAAAACAAATTTGGTTATTTTCCTTATTTAGTAAATGCTAATTCTAGCAGTTATTCACATTCCTATGCTCCATCATATAATTTATCAAGCAAACAAATTGTACCTTTTAGATAATAAGGTTCAAGTTTATTTGGAAAAATCTCTATAGCTTGTTCAAGCAATCTAATCGATTTTTCATACTAACCTGATTATTTTCATATAATTTACATTTTTATATTAGAATTAAAGCTTCAGCTTAATATCTATTATAGAGTTATCCCCTTTCTATTGGACTTATCAACTCATATGATTTAAGAGCTGAAATATAATCAGATGTACAAAATTATGCATAAGCTAAAAATTTATAATAAATAGGCTATAAGAATTTGCTTATTGGTTTTAAATCTTTAATTAATTAAAGTCCCTATACAAATTATCTTTTCATCAACTTGACAGTTCCATTAACAAAAGGTTTTAATTTGGAAATACATTTAAAACTTTTTTTAAGTTATTCTGCTCTTGTTAGATGTAATTAAGCTTCATAAAAGTCCATTAGACTTATTTTAGATTTGATAATATAGGATATAGCTTTAGCACTTAATTAATGGGATGTTGACATTTAAATAGCTTATTCAATATAAATCTAAGACTCCATAAAGTTTTCTAATAAATTTTTGTTAATAATTACTTTTTTTAAAGTAAATTATTCCTTTTAGTAACAAAGCTTCGGCATTTTCACTGTCTTATTATAAAATAGTTTCAATTTTAATAAGTGCTTGATCAAAATAATTACATTTAATTAATGTTAGACAATGACGTGATCTTCCCAGAAAATCTGTATTGTTTAATTTTTCATAAATTTCTAAGGCTTTTAAATGTTATTTTAAAGCAGAATGACATCTAGCTTTATATTATAATGCTTATTTATCATTGGGACTATGAAGTAATGCTTGTTCAATGAATTTTAGAGATTCATGATATTTTTAGGCTTTAAATTCTAAAACTGCAGATTAAATATAGCCATCCAAATAATTAGGATATTCAGACAAACATTTATTGAACTTTTTGATAAGATAAATAAATACCCAACTTCTTGCTTTATCAAATTAATTCAATTATTTATATGCAATACCTAAAATTAAATATGTTTTTTTTGTAAAAGGACCTTATTCCAACTTTGTAATAACTTGTATTGAATTTCCAACTTAAATCTCTTTTATCATAGTTTGAAATTAATCAATAGGAAGTGCTCTATTTTAGATTGGATCTTTAAAAAAGCTCCTTTGAGTTTCTCTTGAGATAGATAATGATAATCCTCTAGGTTCAACTGTATTTTGAGTTTGTTTTCTTCTATTAAATTGTATCAAATTCATACTATTTAATTGTTAGAGATCGAGACATAGGAGAGGGTTTTTGAATCTTATCTTAAGATAATGGCATTTATAATCTATTTCTTTAGTGTTGATTATTGAATATGAATTTCTAAAACACTGGAGACTATATATATATTTTCATCAATAAATATTAATTATATTTTTATGAGTAGTTAAGATCTTGAATTTGTCTAAGAGAATTTGTAAACTCTTATCAAAACCGTTTAAGAGCTTTAAAATTTATTGTAGGGAAAGGGTATTGATTGATTTACATTTTTAGAAAACCAAGATCAAATTTAAATAGTAAATATTCATGCATAAACAAAATATAGAATAAATAAAAATGCTCAAAGTTAATTGATGCATTAACTATCAAATTTAAATAAGGTAAATTCAATAAATCTGAAAACATGACCATTTAAATGCTCAAAAAAGAATTTACTAAGGTACATTAAATTTTTAAATCAGCAATAAAATACATTTATTGAAATCACAAAATCAATAAGAAATCCTAAATAGATAAATTCAAATGATGGCAAAGAAGTTGAAATGTAAAATGCAAGTAACAATATTTCTTTTAATTAAGAGAAACTTAATGGAAAATCAACATATGTTTATGATGAAGAAACCAATTACGAAGAAGAAGATTCAGGAGAAAAAGGCCCAAATTTAGATTAACTATCAGAAATGGAAGTACATCCAGATATTTAACATAAAGCAATGTTAATTTAAGAACAATAAGAAGAAATAGATTGTATAATTGTTGATTCAATATTAAAGAAATCTAAAAAGATGCCTTAGAAGTTCTTAAGATCTAAACTGAAGTAGCATAAGTAGTTGTAGATTAAGGTAAAATGTTAGATGTTGCTGAAAATAATATCAATAAATCAAATACTAATGTTAAAGAGGCTGTTGTTGAACTAGAAGGAGTAATATTATCTAATCTATTTTTATTTAGGCTAAAGTTGAACATAAAAAATATATGAAAAAACTTGCAGGAGCTGTATGCATCATTCTAATTGTTGTAGCTGTTATTGTAGTTTGTGTAAAGTTGATTTGAATAAGTTATTATTACAAATAAATTATTAAGCTTATTTAATATGCTATTCATACATATATAACTATTTTATTAATGCTATTAAATTTATATATCTCAAAATTCTTCTTATTATTATTTAGTAAATTGTTTTTAATCATCAATAATCTTAAATTCAATAATTTATAAAATAATTATAAAACTTTAATTTTTATAAAAAATAAAAATTTTTAATTAATAGTAATTTTTATACTTATGAAATATTCACACCTATTATTATTTTTTATCATTTATTCTTGCTTATCATACTCAATTAAGGATAAATTTTGTGGAGACGATAATTGTTATTAACTATTATTTTTAAAGAAAGGAGCTTAATAAAGTGAAATCAGAAAATAATTTAGAGAATTGTCAAGAACATTTCATCCAGATAAAAATGATGGAAATTAAACTTAATATGTTAAGATAGTTTAAGCTTATGAGGTTTTAAGTAATGAAGAAACAAAAACAGCGTATGATGAATATCTTGAAAATCCAAATAGAAGTGAATTTTACCATCATTATAGATATTATCAACATGTGTATCATCCACAAACTAATCCTTATATTGTAGTTTCTGTTGCAACATTATTATTATCAATTATTTAATATGTGGCTAGAATTGGAATGTACAAAAATGCAATAGGAAGAGTAATGGAAACTACACATTTCAAAAAGATTGTTAATGATAGATAAAGAGAATCTAATTTGAGTAAAGATTAAGTGATTTAAGAAACATTAAAAGAAGTTAAGATTACTGGAGCTTGGTCTTATCCTAAATTTGAAGAAATATGGATAATTGCTATATTACATTTTATTTTTTCTATTTTTTTTAGATTATACTTTATTATCAAATGGAAATATTATTATAAGAATGGAAAATGTGATAGATAAATAAGTGAGAAGGATTAAGAATACAAAACATAATTATTATTAGGTATTAGTAAGAGTAGATGGGAAACTGTTGATAAAGAATAATTAATAGGTCGTTAATTATGGATACCTGAAAACATGAAGGAATTCAATGAAGAACAACGTCTTAGATAAGAAGAATATATTTAGTAACATAGTAATAAATACAAACAGTATAAGAGATTTCAAAAAAAGATGTAATGACTTGTTTAATTTTATTAAAATATCTCAAAATGTTAATTAATTTATTTTTTGTATATAATATTCAACCATCGATATTCATGCTATTATCCTTTGCTAAATTTGTGTTTACATTTACTCTTGCTGTATTTGAGAATGGACTAGGCATATATGGAGAATTAATAATCTATATCATTTAAGGTGTATTAAACTCTACAGCAACAGCTAATCCAGAAGTTTTCTTGCTTTTAATTTAAGTTATTTCTGTCTCTAATTTTTCTATTTCTTTATTTTTAGAAATAAACCAAAAACAAATTCCCATCAGCAAAATTGATAAACCTATTGGAATTCCCAAATACATTACCACTTTAGAATATGATGCTTGATCATCATCAAGAACAAAAACAGTAATATTTGTCAATCTCTATAACACAACATTATTTTGAAGATTACTTTAAATATAGATAGTTTCATTCTGAATTATTTAATAATTTTATTAAGTATTTTTTTAATCTGGTTAAGGATAGCAAATAATATAAGGTTCCTAATATTTAAATTTAGTAAAAAACAATCCAGATTTGGAAGAACCAAAAAAGAAGTTTTCCATTGAAAAATTGTTTTAATCTGTTAAATGACTCATAGTAAGATCAATGTTTGTCAAATAAAAGAAATCTATATCTATAGCTCCTAATAATGTATATTAAGGAGTATGCATAATTTAAAGTCCATCAAATTTAGTTACAAACATAATGTGATGTTTATTTTAACCTTATAATATTGCAAATTCTTCTGTAGTATCAACATCTTTGATCTTACTAAATGATTCAAACGAATTTAATTCAAGTAATTCTTTTTCTGTAAATAAATATTCTACACAAATATATTTATGATGATATTTATAAACAACGAATATGTTATTTTAATAATTATCAATTGCAATAAATTCTAGTTTAATTTCATCAAATTTTTATTAAAATTTGAGTGATATTCTAATCTTAATCACATCCATCTAATAGATAGAAATGCTTGATTCTTTTTAATCTAAAAGTATAAGATATATGATATTTTAAACTTTAATTATAGCTAAATCTTTAAATCTGGTATTTGATATTGATTCAATAAAATGTAATTCATTTCCAATTATTTTATAAATATCTAAACCATCCTAACCAACACATGAAAAGATGTAATTTTCATATTCTTTAGTGACTCCTCTTTCTTTCCTATATTTTATTTCAGTTAAATCTCTAATTTAAAGTTTTTATGCCTTTTATTCCATTTATTAAACACTAAATAAGATTGCTCCTCTTGTTTAAAATAATATCCCTATATTACTAGTACTACAATATAATAATTAAGGCATTTCAGTTAGAGAATCTAAGCCAAGTTCTTTGAAATCTGCCTTCCATTATACTTTAGCAAACTCTCCACTAAAATTCTAATAATTGAATTTCATCAAATATAATAAATAATCTGAAGTTATAAGGATAACACCATCTCTAATATGTACCATTGTTACTATATTCTCAAAATGTTATCTTTTTGTTTCAAAAATTAGATTAATTTCTTTCAATTAACAAAATGGTAATGTTTCATTTGTTATTAGCTTTGAATCTCTCCCTTAAAAGAGAGAAAGTATTTATGTTTCTTCTTCTATTGGAATCTGAAATTCAAGGGATTCATTTTGTATTTATCTGATTCTATAAGATTAAACATTAATGATTAAGAAAATAAAAATAAACATTTATCATTAAATTCAAACTTTAAAGCTCGCCATAATTTTTAAGATATGAAATATTTTAATTAAAAAGCATTTTATAAAATAAAAGTCACTATTGCTATTCGATATTATTAATAATTAATTATTTATTTGTGGGTGAAAAGGGTCTTGAACTTTATTATGTATTCGTTCTTCCACTTGTTGGAATTGATATACTATATCCCTTAATGCTTTTTGTCATTTTTTTTTCTTCTTTTCTCAAATTAAAATACCATTTGAAGATCAATATAACTAATATTAAAATATAAATACTTATTAATGTAAAAATACATAGCAATAATGAAATTAAAACAATTACTAAATAAGATTAATTTCTGTATAAATAAGTTGATACTAAATTAACTTAAAATTTGAGATGATGTCTCTCTATTGTTGTACCATTATGAGAAACATTATAAATTAAAGAAAATTACTAAGAAGTATCTTAGTAAATTAAACAATCAACTTTTAATGGTATCAATTATAAATGACTACGATAGAGCTAAGTCACTGTGATACCAATTAATTCATTATTTCTTAATTCAAAATCTCGCAACTTTTATTTGATTATATTATTTGATAATGAAGTTCCAAAATTAAATGCAACCATATGTCTGCTGTTACCTTAAATAATTGCATACTCATTATTAACATCAACATCTTTTATTTTATTTGTATAAATTAGATTTTATATTCTCCAATCTGTATCATCTACAACATATTCAACTATTGCATATCTAAGTCTCCATTTATAACCTACAAAAATATTTATTCCATTTTTAGTATCAATTGCTATTCCACCTTCCTAAACATCTATTTTTCTAACTTTGAAATCAATTACATTTTCATAACTATCCATTTTAACAATAATCAAACCATGATAACAATCTAAAATATATAGAGTAGAATTAAATATTGAAAAATCTTTCACACATAATTAATTTTATCCAATATCTTCGTGATTTATGGTTCTATAATAAGTCAGATTAGATAAATAATATATATCTATACCATTTAAACCGACTGCTGTATATATGAAATCACCATATATATTAGTAAGCCAACGCTCTTATCTAGAAATCCATTCTGAAAACTCAACTATACTGATTGGCAATAAATATAAAACATAGGCATTTTTATCTGTTATTACTAATACTATATTGTTATTCAGAATAATTTAATGAATATCATCAATCTCATATTTTGATAGATCATAATATGTTTTCTATGAGAGATTGTTTTTATGAATGATTATTAATCTATTATTTGATGTTATAATAGCAATACGTTAGTCATCTTGACTAACAAGCATTAATTCTTCCATAATATCCTCAGAAAATTCTATAATTTGATATTAACTAATGCTTTCCTATATTTATTTTTATTTCAATTCACATCCTGTTCCATTCAATTATCCATCCCATGCATGTGGTAATTAGAGTATTGTACTACTTACTCCTACATGAACATTAAATTAAGCATTATTATCATTGATTTCTACTATTACTTATCCAAAAATGCCATATATTAATAACCAAAACATTTTATATGCTTAAAAAATTTACGAGTGCATTTTCAAAAAAAAAGAAATCTCATACTTAATCCTTTTAATCTGAATAAGTAGTACCTCCTCCTATTCAAAAAGCTTAAACTTAAGAGTTTAAGGTTATAAATGAAAAGATTGACAACAATATTGAAGAAACATCTGATCAAAAATTAAGAAGTTAATCTTTTGAAGAATCATAAAAATATTAAGAAGAATTAATGGATTATGTAGTTTAAGAAGATGATTCATTTTTTGGAATAGCTTTAAAGTTTAGTGTTAATGATGGCTATTTGATGAGAATTAATAATCTATCTAGCGATATGATTTTTAAAGGATAGATACTAAAAGTACCAATAACAAATTAACCTCGTTTCTCAATTATTAAGATTCCTGAATAAAATAAATAAAATGAGAATATTTGGGAAAAAAACGAACTTAGCTCGAAATGTAATAATTTTTATTATATCCATTAATTAGTTGAAGTTATTTATTGCAATAATAAATAAAATTGTATTGGAATATTGACCTTAACTAGTGACATAGTGCTATTTGATCCAAATTCATATGAACAAATATAAGATAAGTAAAATAAAGTTAGAATGAATGCATGCATTTCAATGATAGATATTAATGAAGCAGTAACATATTGCTTATAAAATTAAAATGGATGTTTAGATTATATTGTTTAAATATTATTATCAGGAATTGGCAAACCTAATTTTGAAAAAAAGTATTCAAAATAGTTAAAAAAATATAAGTTATAAAAAAAGAGTATTGCCACTGTATTTTTTAGAGTATTATAATTTGTTTAATTTATAGCATGCAGAAAGAAATACTGATGGAAAATTGTACTCAGAAGAAATTAAAAAATCTAATTGTGCATTTATTGTTAAATTTATTAATGATGCTTGTACAGGGTATACTGAACAATCCAAATTAACAAAATTACCATATATAGATTTAATAGAAGATTTTAAATAGAAAAAATAGTTAGAAATTGATGAAATTTAAGATGTAATTGGAGAAAGAATGGGAAGTAAATAAAATTAAAATTCTAATAGAACTTTGGGCCTGTTTAGAATATGTACCTGTTTTAAAAGAACCTTCTAATTGTTTTACTAATACTACTTACAAATAAATTATTGAATAAATTCCAGCCGTATTTCGTTTAGCAGATTGGATTAAATATTATAATCTTGATTAAGATGGATCTAGTTATTTAAATATGTTATAAGAAATCAAAAATAAATCTCCAATTATTATAATTATTAAAGATTTTGATAATTTAATATTTGGAACATATATTTCAACTGAGGTTCATCAATTTAGTTTTGGATTCAAAGGAAACGGGGAAACTTTTTTATTTAATTAGGATTAAGAAGTATAATAATTTTTATTGTAATTTTAGAAAAATGAAATTAGACCTTATTTTTGGACAGAAAAAAATAGAGATTTTGTATATTGTGATGAAACAGGTATAGGAATTGGTTGTGGAGATAAATTTGGTTTGTTTATTGACTCAAGTTTATCTTTTGGATATTCAAATCCTTGTGAAACTTTTGAAAACATTAGATTTACTAATTAAGAAAAGTTCAAAATTATGCATCTAGAGGTTTGGGCTATTTTAAATTAATGAATATAAAATCTCTTTTCATTTATATATATAGTTTTCTTTCTTACCAGTAAATTTTAGATGTTGTATTTTAATTACTTTTATAATTAATTATCATTTACAAAATAGATTCCCAACAGCTAGATTCAAACAATTATTATAGGTTGATTTCAGATTAAACATTTTATCAATAACCGAATTATAGAGATGTATAACTAAAATATATTTTATTAAATTAACTAAAAAATATATATAATCTAGATAATCAACTATTCATGTTTATGAAATTTACAATTCCTAATGCTAATTCAGTAAGTGAGATAAATTTAATTCATTCAAAATGGATTTTTCTGGATTTTGAGAGAAGTACTTTAAAATAAGTTGAAGAAATAATCCATTAAGGAATTATCTAATGATTTCTAATTGAGATTAGACAAAAATGCAAAAATACCAGAAAGAGAATCATTTAATATAAGATGTTCATATAGGTTTAAAAAATTTGATTTTTAAATCTCATAAGTTAACTTAATCAGAAAAAACCTATGAATTTTATTTTTATAAACAGAAAAGAAAATCTAAAAAGATTACCTTTATCAATTCATAAAAATCTCAGATTTTAGAAAAATTTTGTTGCTATAGAAATAGATTTAGGAATAAAGAAAAGAGAAATTATATTGAGAAAGAATTGAAATTAAGAAATGGATATTATTTCAATTCAAATCAGATTATATTAGAAATATATTTTGAATTCATTAAAATTTCATTTTTTCTTAATCAATCCTTCTCCAATCTTCAGATTTACTGAGGAGTTTTTATTATTTCTGGATAATTGAGCAATTTTTATTTAAGCAGTATCATATAATTTATTAATTATGTTCTAATCTTTTAAAATAACGAGAAAACTTTAAATAAACATAGATTCACCAAAATCCAATCCAATTTTTCATTCAGAAAGGAATATACTTATATCGACACCTTCTTTGATATAGAAACTTAAATTAAAACCTATTTAAGAATTCTAAATTATTACATAAGCAAATAACCATATTTAAACGAAATCATCAATTAAGAATAACACTATCATTTAGTTAAATGATAAACCAGATTAGATGAAATAAGTATGTTAGAGACAGAATTAAAAAAAAGTGAGTTTTAGTGAAAAAGTCCTTATTATTGAACCTTAAAAAGGTGTAATAAAAAGAGAAAGAATATAAACCAAAGATGAAGAGTATAATATAACAAGAACAAGTAAAAGAAAAAATTGCATATTAATTCATCCTTAAAATAAAATCTTAAAGACATGCTAGTCTACTTTCATTGATTAGCTTTGAGTTTATTAAAAATTGAATAAAAAATTGGTTTATAATTATATAAATTGAAATAATGTATGAAGATCTTTTGGAATTAAGAATCTGGTACTTTTATACAGAGTAGAGACATTAATAATACTTCTAATTGAATATAAATAGAGAGTATTTTTTTTGATTAATTACATTTGAATTCATTTTATAATTCTGTATAGAAGTAATGAGAATAGTTGAAAATTATAATAGTGAGAAATTATAATTGAAAGTAATGAATGAATAATTTGGTCATATTTGGAGAGCATAGAAAATTCATAGATGGATATAATATTAAAATGTTTTTAAAACAAATATTCTTAAACAAAGTGAACAAAGAGCTTTTCCATAATAAGATATTTCAAGTTCTCTATTTAAAAATGGAAGGAATAGAATTGTAAAATGATATACCACATATAATAATTATCATATAGCATAAAAACTTATTATGCCACAATCATGAGCAGCTATGATTTAATCATTCTTGTATCTAATACCACTTATTCCTCCTGGTTTGTCATTCATGGTTTATATATGTTTCTAAGAGTAGATTTGATTAATATCCCAAACTCGTATTGTTCTATCTGTAGAGCAACTTATAAAAGACTGAATAATCTACAATTTTCATACTTTCTCATTTATTTTACTGAAATCCATAACACCATATTTATGTCCTCTAAATTGTTGAATTATTTCACATTTTTCTAAATCTATTAGTTTTATTAATCCATCATCAGATCCTGTTAATATTTTATTATTATCTATAAACAATAATGCTTTTATTGGTTTAGAATGAGGTTTGATTATTTTCTTTTATGAAGTTTAATCAATTAAATATAAAGCCCCTCCTTCATTACCAACTGCTAATAATTAATCATTAATCTAGAGGGAACAATTATAATAAATTGGATCTGTTTCTATTTTTTATATTTTCTCTTTTGTATCTATATGATAAAAATTTATGATTCCCATCTCTCCAGAAGTGACAACAGTTGATGAATCAACAAATCTCACTTTCCAATTAGCAAATGCATCACATTATATTTCAGAAATCAACTTCTTATCATCGATATCCCAAATTCTTAGATAATTATCTAAGGAAGAGACTACAACTGATATTATTATTATCGTAATTAAGTACTTTAGGTTTCATCAGCATTGATGGATAAATCTATTACTCCTAAAAGATGATTTTGTAATATGGTTTCATTTGATTTCGATTGAAATGGTTGAGAGTAGAGATATACATTTTCATCCAATGTCCCAATAGCCAAAAACTCTTTTGTTATATCCATACAACTAGGACTCTCTTAAATCTAAAAATTTGTTATCTCTTAGATCATAATAATTATATAAATAGTTTATTAATTTATCATGAATATACACTATTTTATTTTTATTTCTTTTCATAACAAATTATTATTTTAGCTTACTAACTCTTATAATTGATTATTTTTATTTTATTCTTAATTGCAGATCTATTCTAGGGATTTTTATATTATTTTTAATAATGAAGTGGATGTTAAATTTTAGATTAAAAGTAAAAATCTACCGATTAATTATATTTTAATTTTATTCAATATATTATTCAATTACTCTCTACTTCCTCATTCTATCTCTAAACAAATATCTGTATTTGATACTTTATTTGTCTTATTAAATGGTCCCATAAACATCTTCTTCTCTACTTTACCTACTTTTAACTTGCCCAAACTATATAATGATATTATACACCATCTTAACTCTTAATCTTATTAACTTATATATATTCCCAATTAACTATTCTTTGGGACATCTCCCTTATTTAAATTATAATTAAAACTTAAATCTCTTATATAACCATTCACGATATTCATATTCTATTTTATTTAACACAGTTTTAATAATTTATCCTATATCACTCTACCATCATTTATCAATTAAATCACTATTTAATTATCTCCATTACTAGGTAAATTAGATATAGAATGAATATGAATATCTAATCCAGTCTTTTATTTCTAATTCAATTTCCTTATATCTGTTCGTACATCTCCTTAATGTATCTATAATTCTATCTTCTCTTTTAATTTCTTTATCAACTTATGATCTAAAGGTGTTGACAATCTCGGACTTCGATACAATTCAGTATATAATTTTGTTGTATATAACTTTTTATTAAATACCATATTCATTCCAAACCAACCTATCAAAACATCATCATATACTTCTATCATCACAAAATATCCTTCCTTGCATTTCAACATATCTTCCATATCAATATAAAAAACAGCTGAATTCGGAACTATCATTTCCTATATACAATCATCATCATTCTACTATTTCACTATCTCATTATTCTTCAAAATCTTCAAAACTACTTTTCTATTCTTTAATTCCACCTCCTAAATCTATATTGTTATTGGTAGAAATCTAGATATATTTTATTACTATTTCTAATCTTTCTCTCTTATTTCTTCATCCTCCTCTTATTAAGTATATCCACCCTTAGATTTACTCATTCGATAACTTGGAGTCCTCTCATAAATATCTAGCTGTAATGCTACCTCTTTTATTAATAATTTTATCTCAAAATTTAACTTCTTATTGTTTATAGTATATAAATTTAAACGAAATTCACCACTCTAAATCAAAAACTTCTTAAAAACATTCAATTAAGCCATTCCCAAAAATTAATTATTCTAATGTATTATTATAACATAATTCAATAAATTATATTTAGAATATGTATCTTATAAATATTTCTTTCCAACTCTAAATGTTGTATAATAATGAGAATTATAAATATTTTTTGAATCACTTGAAAATATGTCCAAATCATCCTTAACCTAACATTATCTTTAAAGAACATCATCAATAATCTTTTATTCAAATTAAATAGAAATACTGATCTATAATTCCTCTTTAGAAACAAAATTATATGCTTATAGCAATTAAATCATAATTTATGTATTCCACTCTGGATTCTCTACGGTTTTAACTTTAGCCTCTTCCTAAATCTCATATTTATTAATAGTTGGTAAATTCTTAAGTTATTCATTTTTGCTCATCAATACAAAATCTAATTAAATATTGCTCTTAATCATATCTTTATAATCAAATGGTGCTTATTAACCAGGTGGTTTGATTAAATTTACTTAAAACAATCCTGATTCAATTTATAATTTTTGTGAATCTTCTGTATCTTTCAACAATTAGGCCACATACCATCCCAATAAAGCATTGTTCTAATATACAGCAATATAAACATAGGCATCTTTAGTACTAAATCCTTCCTATTCTAATATGGATAATATATTAGCATAATCTAAGGAGAATTCAGCATGTAAATTGTATCTTAAAGATTTATCAGTAATCTCATTGGGTATTAAATTTTATGTCATCACACAATCTGTTTCATTTTCATCTTTCAATATTATGTCATTAATGAAGAATCCAATTTTCAATTTTAGTTCATTATATTTTTTTGTATCTAAATTATTCAATTTTAAAATATCAATTACTACAATGCCTGCCCCACTTATAACAACCTTATTTTTTGTACTACCTAAATCTACTTCTTATGGAATTTCAATATTTTTTGAAGATCGTATTGTTTAATCTCCTCCTTAAAATCCTTAAATTGCTTTTAATTTACGCTTCAATTTATTAAAGTTCTTAACATTTGTCATTTGATTAGAAACACCCTCTTATTATTATAATTATATAAGATGTCTATTTGTTTAACCTCCTGCTCTATTAGTTCTATCTCCTCTTACAGTTTTATCACCTCCTCTAATTGTATTATCTCCATTAACTCTTCTTGTTTACTCTTTTACTTCTATATTTCTTTTACTTTCAACTTAATCTTCTTGAATTAATTAAATTCTAATGTTTTTATTGGATCCCCTTTATGATAAATTATCTTAAGGTTTTAGAGATCCCAGTCTAATTATAGCATCACTAGATTATTAACTATTTTTCTCTTAAGTTGGTAAATGTTCCATATTATCTATTTTCCTACTGAATCGACTTTTCACTTAATGTTTTTATTAAATACTTGTAGTTGGTGATTCCTTTTACTTTTCATCACCAAAATATTCCTCATCTGTTATTTAAAAATTAGGTTTAATTGTACTTTTCTTTTTATTAGGTGATAATGGTGGATCTCCAAATAATTAAGGTTCTCTCTCTCTTAAAGGTTTATCATAAGCAAATACTTGAGCTAAATCTTTTGGTAATTTAGCCTTATCATTCACTTCTGATCTTATAATTTTAGATTCTCTATGAATATGATAATATGGAATATGATAATCACTTTCAACAAAAATTATTTCATCTATATGTTAAGGTTACTACATTATTCTAAAGTATAAACATAAATTTCCATAATAAGGATATTGTTTATTTTATTCCAAAAGATCACGTGGTTTATGTTATTGTTAATAAAATGGCAATTTAAATTTACCTATATATAATGATCCAATTCTATCAAATAATTTAAAAATACTCCAACCTAACATTGATAAAGTACCATCACTTTCAAATACCCATAATTCAATATAAAGTATTGTTTTATCATCTGCTTAAATATCTCTCATTTATTCTATTTAATTGAATATACACTTATTTGTTCTAAAAGTTTCTGCTTAAGTAAAGCAATCACTTGTTAATTTATAAGCATGATATTCTTCTGATTATTTAAATATTCCAAAAGATATTCTGGCTTTAATGTATTAAATTGGTAATTTTGAAATGATATCCCATTTAATAGAGAGTCCTTCTAACTAACTATAAGGAACAGCAACATCTTCAGATTATTCAAATCCTCTTTATCTTTTCATTGTCATTTCTTAAGCCATTTTATTAATTCGTTCCTTTACAACTTCATTTTCAATAGAAGTTTTAATCATTTAAATATTAGATAATCTATCCATAGATAATTGTCTAACTGCTTCATTCTCTTCATTTCTCATATAACTTAACATCTATTCATTTATACTTCCTGAAAAATCTGTCTTTTATCTATTGTGTTACAATATGGGTAATGAATTCTATTAATTCAATTCTTTCTTAAAACTTGCAGGTAAGTAATCATAAATTGGATGATTCTTATAAGAGGAATTATAACTTTATTGAATAGGTGCACGTACATAATATCCTATTGGTTGTGATTATTTCAGAAAATCATGTCTTAATTTTTGAAGGCTGTTTAAATAAATTGGATCTCTCATACCTGAATTCAAATAATCATTATGTAATCTATCAATTTCATTTAAAGTAGTTTAGGTAGGATCTAAATGAATAGGTTGATTTTTGTATTTGAAATCCATCTCTTCAATTACTTGTTCAAAAGGCTTTTTTCGATTACCTTCATTATAATATTCCAGTTTCTCTCTAATTCGTTTTAGTTCTTGCACTTATTAACCTTACTGAAGGCTTTTTACTGGAGAGATTAAATGAAGTGGTTGAGACTCAAATCTTTTATGCTAACTTAACTATCCAGGTTATTGATACTTCTCCTGATATTAGTACAACTAACTTAATTATAACATTAAAATTAGTTAATGATAATAAAATATATAAGGTTATTTCTATCTTTATTGATTTCATTTATATATTTATAACAAATTAATAAATGTGAATCATTTCTTAATTGGATCCAATTTCTTTTTGTTTTTATTTTCTTCCTTGTTTTTTTTTTATATTGGGATTCTTTTATTATAAGAATCTCTTAATCCTTCTTCCCACTATCCTTATGACATTCTAACATCTGTGCCAAATAAATGTTTAACACTTCCACAATTTCCTTACTTAAATTTCATAGTGTATGGTGGCAATTCTTACATTCCCTCAAAACCAGAATATGCAAATTTCATTGTATTAAACTTCCCAGTACTGAAAGATTTTTTTAGTTCCATCTATTCTTTTAAAGGTTTAGGGAATTCTGGAAAATCATGACGATCTTTCTTTGCTATATACCACCATCCTTTCTCTCTCTTATTAAGATTTTCATCACTTTCTTGATATCTTCTTAATCCAGTTTCAAAATCTGCCAAACTTCCAGATGCACTTAATCCTAAACGATGATTAAGTAAGTGCATAAAACTAGCAACATTGTCTTTGTTTTTTACATCTTAGACATCATGTTTCTTCTCTGAAAATATTGTTTTTTTGTCAGCAAGTGAATATGGCTAATTTGGTATTTTACTAAGAAGTTCTTTCATTTTATTCTAATTGTTTTATATTAAATAGATATACAGCATCCCAATGTCTTAATTATAACACCCATTCAATATCATTTTCTGTTATTTCTGGATGCTATAAGAAATGCAAATAAAAGTTCACATTTCTAGGTATTCTTACTTTATCTAAAGGTTAAAGAGTTTTATGCGATTTTTCGAACTTCTCTTGTTTTTCTTGTTTATCACCTACTTTTTCGAGACTTTTCTCTTTTTTTTGATCTTTTTGAGGTGGAGATTTTTTCATATATATAATTATTTCAATATTAAATATCAGATAAATTATTTTTGATAAAATTTCTAATGGAGTATATTTTGAGTATTAATCTCAACGGTATCATGGTTAATAATAATCTTGTGTTTGATATCTACTTATTCAATTTCAATAAGAAAGGATACATAATTAAAAATTACAGTATAAAGAGCACAACATTAAATATAATGAAAACAGCTAATTTTTATGCAACATGATCCCTTAAATCCTAACTGAATCCATCTATCATATGATCAGTTAAATATTGGAAGGATGCTTAATTAATAATAATAATATATACGTGTTAAATAATTTGATTAATAAGTTCTTGCCTCTTTTGTTTGATTAAAATTATTTAAATTCAATATATTGTTTTTTTCAGGATCATCAACTATCTAAGATGCCACTGCATCACCTCTAGCAACAGTTGTGAAATTGGGTTTAGATCCTAATCCATAGAATTTATCATAAATAGTAATAATATATCTTAAATTTTCAATATATCTTGCAACTCCTATAGAATTGCCTTAAGCTAAAGCTCCTCTAGCAAATTCTTTACAAGTATTTTAATCTGGAGATCCATATGAAGGTAATACATCACATGGATCAGACATCATAATATGATCATAGACACTTCTATAATCGGAATTTTACACATCGATATTCAATGCATGCTATTACTGCATTGATGTATCATAAGCATACATATCCTTCACATTTTATTTTATAACATCATATGGTTATTAATTAAGTAATTTAATCTCTTAATTATAAAAAAGTTATCTCTCTGAATTATCACAAAACCTATAGAAACTTTCACATTTTGTTGTAATATTGAATTCAGGTATTTACTAATTTAAATTATTTAATTCATTCTAAGTTACAAAATAAGCAAATATAAAATATCCTTATAAAATCATAACTGAAAAAACAAAAAGCAGAATATGATCTTTATGATTTTAATTAGAATTTATAAACTTCTTCTTCTTCTTTCGTGATTTTAAAGTTTTATTTAACTCTGCTTATTCTTCTAAATCTTCTTAGAATGAAACATTTTCATCTTCATCTCCTACTTATAGATTACTAATATAGTTTTCACATTTGCTATAAAAATATTTAACTGTTTTTTCTGGTATATCTAGAAATAATTATAAAATTGATAATCTCATCTAAGCTAATAGAATAATTGCTATGGAATAAATAATTAATGACATAAATAACATAACAGCTGAAAGTGTAATAATTATAACTTCAACTTTTTCTTACCTAGTAGTTCTATCATCTAATGCTAAAACAAATTAATTTGAAACTTCTGACAATGCAATCCAATATTCATTTAAAAGATTGTATTCTACAAAAAACACACTTGTTTAATTCTCTGAAATGTCTTATAATGGTAAATTGGAAATCTCAATACCTTTACTAATAATTTATTAAGTTGCTTCCATAAAATCATACTATTAACTTGAACTAGTACTAAAATATATTTTAATTGCATCTTAAATCTTCAACTCTTAATAAATATCTGTTAATTTTAAGTCACTCATCAAAACCTACTTATTTAAATCTTGAACATTATTTAATTATTTAATAAGGGCTTCCTTTTAACTTGTTTCATATGTTGATTTATTTATATTCTACCATACTCCTAAATTTAACATTTTCAGATTTTAAATGTTAGTTAAAATAGTTTATAATCCAGCATGCATTTAATTTTCTTTACCTATCAGATTAATATTTTCTTCAATTTCATTGTATTATTAATTCAAATAAAAAAATTCAAAAAATGCGAGAGCCGTCATTATCAAATATAAAATATTTGTAAACCAAATCATTTTTTATATGATTGAAATTCTACCTTAATTTTTAATTTGTTCTTATAAAGAGGCTCTTGATTTAAAAATATTATTATTAATACTGCTTTCATTTTCTTATTATTATTCAATATTATTTTAAAATACACTTTATTAATGTTCTTCATCAAATTCTTCCATAATTTCTTCTTTATCAATTTCTTGAATACGATTTTAAAATAGTTATAAAGTTTTAATTCCTTCACCATAATCAAATTTCTAATCTTCTGATGATTTTACTTATGTAATTGATTAATTCTTAACAGACATAGCACTAACATCAACAGTTTAATCATGTAATGATGATAATTCATGAATAGCGGATACTTAATCTGTAGAGAATTCTCCCAAATAAATTTTTTTAGCTACATTATATTTAAATTAGAAACTAGATTTTTATTTCTTTAATGGCATTAAATGATTTTCACTTTCTTTTTATTCTAATTTCATCATATATCCTAATTATTAATTATTTAATGTAACTGAATTCAAAGTACAAATAAATTCTTAAGAGAACTTAGTTTTTTCATCAATATACTCATTAGATTAAATTTAACCACTCACAATATCTTCTGGAATCTTATACTAAATAAGACCTCCACCTTTAATTAAAAATTCACTTTTATCTTATAATTAAGGAAAGATTTCACTTACCAATAATTTCTTATTTTAAATCAATCTTAAATCTAAACCAAGCAAACTTATACAATTAAATGAAATTGAATCTATAATATCATCACTATCAAATAATATATAACAGGTTTGTTTATATGGTTTGAATAATTTAAATTATGCTATTATCATTACTGATTAATCTAACGATGTTAGAGATTTCATTTCTATTATACAAGGTATCAAATAATTTTATTTATTTTTAACATATATTGATCTCTCCTTACTTAATTTTTAATCAAATCCTAATTTCATCAATTAATCATGAGCTTTTTAAAATATATTAGGAATTAAGACATTCAATTTTCTATTAATTAATTCATTCTTCATATAACCAAAAACATGACAAGCAGTATTCAAATTTATTATCTAACCAAACTTATCAGAAGCTAATGAAATTATCATAGTTGGTAAACTTTCCATACTTATTTCTTCCTTACTTGCCATCTGTATACCTTTCCTTACATAAGAAGCATCCATTACTCTTGATTTCTCATATAATAATTCTCCATATTCCTAATCTTATACAACATCAATCATAAATTTACTATACATTTTTAAACTCTTCTAAGTATTCTATTTTGTCTTCTATAATCTATTCCAAATCATTTCAATCTCATTCATTAAATTATGAATATTTAAACCTATCTAATTTAATTTACCTAAATCAGGATAATCTTCTTATAATTAAGACCAAAAATCCATATTTATTAAAGTAACTCTTTCTATTTTACTTTAAAAATTCTTAATTATATTTAAATACATCGCTTCATTATGAGTATCTATCTATTCAACATTCTAATCATTCATCTCATCCTCAATAATCTTTTTGTATCTAAAAAGTACAAATTCATAATCCATTGTTGGATTTAGATTTTAAGCCTAATTGAATTCCTATAAAGCATATTATCTTTATCCTATATGAAGTAAGAAAAATCCGTATCTAATTTTTAATTAATAATCATATGGGAATCTCTTACTAGCATCTAAATAATTCTACTATATGATCTTAACTAACTCTTTTCCACAATCAGGTCTTATACAAGTTTAAATATGAGTTTTTAAATAACCATCCAAGATGATGTTAAATAATTGACTGTTCCAACTATGTAATCTTAATAGATGATGCTACTATAATAAAATCTAACTTATTGTTCCTTTCATATTATCTAATAACAATAAGTCTATTCTTTCCTCTGGGTTTTATATTACAATTATTATTAATAAAGGTATTCCCAAAAGCCATGCATAGATGGTTCCTCTAAATATAACATCTTCTAAAATTTTACTAAAAGCTAACATAATACAAGTCCAATTATTTATAGCAATTATCATTTACCATAATTTGTATATAATTAAGTTATTATGTGTATTGTAATGATAATTATATATATAGAGTGTTATATTTCCAAATGCTATTAAAATTACTTAAACATATTATGATTCAATAAAGGAGTAATTTAGGACTTATATCAAAATATAAGTTTTTAATATAAAATCATCAAATCCACTCTATTTTGATAAAGAATTAGTATAAATGAATCTAGCTTCATAATAAAGAAATGAGTGAACAGCACTCAAACTATAAAATATTATCAAAAATATAATTGCTACAATTGAATGAACAGTATGACTACCTGCCCAACATTCATAATTTGTAAATGAATAATGATAAGAATCTTAGCATGTCCATACTGATATAAATAAATCAATAATTGGCATATATAAAATGGAAAGCATCAAATTAATTATTGATTTTAGCATTGTCATAGGTAATGTCTTGCTTAACTTTTCTGTTCTATTACTTAATACCAAATATAGTAGAATTTCTAATGCAATAATACCAACAAACAAATAAGTTAATATCACCATTGCTGAATATGACATTTTATCATATTGAGGTGACAATAAAACATAGCCAGTGATTTAGCTAACCTATTCTGCTATTTCATCATGCTTCCAAGCTTTATAAAGATTTCTATTAAAATATATATGAGTCATTTAAAATAGCTGGATCAATAGTGATGCAATAGTTAACAACAATGATGGATCGTCATCAATAAGCATTTATCTTGTTACTGAAAATAAAACATTCTTTATTTCAACAACAACTTTACCCAAAGAACTTTATCCTTCTTTTGATAAACCATATTCAGATTTAGTTTCCATTATATTTATAATAAATTCACTTTATATTGTTTGATCTAAAATAAGCTTTATGTTTTAAAATCATTTTCTTCATCTAATAAAAATTATATCTTTATTAAGCCAATTTTTGTAATTAATAACTTAATGTGATTCAAAATTATTCAGAAGTGGTTAATAATCTCAAATTAATATTATATATCTATATTTCAAAATTTTAGATGATGTAATATAATCAAATATCATCATTTGCTATATTGTCAATGATAAATAGGTTTTTTGATTCTTTTGTTGTGTTTTCCTCAAAAAAACGAGATTTCGGACTTAATTTAAATATACTATTTGTCTTTTAATTTTATGCGTATGATTAGGTCAGATTATCACTAAGTTTCCTTGTTTATTATCTTCGTAATTTTAAAGATTTAGCTGAACCATTTATACTATCTTTTCTATAGGTTTGATTAATATAATCATAAATCATTACATCTTCTTAAAAATCAACTTTCTTTGTTACTTAAATACCTATATTTTTTTCAGAATTAGTGAATTCATATTCTTCTCTCGATACTTAATGTGAATGTGAATATTATTTTGGTTTATTCATCATATCTAACTTAAAATTCTTTTTGATAAAGAATTTTTCATCAATCTCAGGCAATTTTATACATTCCAATTATTTTTTATAAATATGAGCACCGGGATTTCTTTCTTCTGATTATTCAGTTAGACAATTCTGAATTTAAATTTAAGGTAGAACTAATTTCCTTTCCTATTAATGGTGTTTTCTTGAAATTTGATTCTAATTAGTATGTAAAACAAATTTTCGATCAGAATTTAAGTTTTATAAATCAAATCTATTAGAGAAATCTATTTCTTATGATTCTTCAGTTTTTATGTTTAACATCGTTTTAATTATTAATAATGATTTTTATGAAACGAAATAGTTGAGCTAAAAACAATCTGATAAAAAAAATAACATTTTAAATTCCTTACTAAATTTATTCAAGATTTAGATAATTTTTTATAAGATACAAATGTTCTTATAGAGTAAGTATTTATTATTAATAATGAATTTATTAAAAAAGTTTCCTTAATTAAGTTTTTCATTAAAAAAATTACTTAAAGTTATGTTATTTAAATTTTAGGAAGATAAACAATAAATTTATAAATCATGATTGATATTTTAATAATAAGTCATTTGTAGATTCTCTATAACATTTGATTTCTTCTTCACTACTACTGTCACATTCTAAATTTTGATTGCCTACACCCCAAGCTTCTATATATGTGATAGTAGGAGTTTAAATTGAAGGATCAATTAAATCACCTATGTAATATTTATTAATTTTGAATACCTTTTATATATGGTTCTCCTTACTTTGCTGCATAACTAGATTATTGCATATTTTAAGCTGAGATCCACAATCTAAATTATTTCATATCTCCACCAAAGCCTAATCCTTTTTTATTATCTATATTATTTAAATAACAATAATTTTATGAACCAGGTCTTTTTGATTTAAAAACATCAGTAGCAACATTAAAAGGAGTATAAGTTGGATATAATTGAAATAATACAGCTTAACTAGTTCCCTAATAGGAATTAGTCTCTATCCATTAAGTTGAATTTAATGCTGCTACAATACAATTTTTATTGTTTCTATTTTTTATTTTTTTTTATTTAGTATTTTCTTCTTCATCACTATCATTTTCAGTACTATCATCAAATTTAATTAATATAAGTGTTGCTCCCTTAAATCCTATTAAAGCAGCATAGAGCTAATCAAAATTCCATCCTCTAACACTTGTCCATAATAATTCAAATGAATCTGCTTCTTAAATAACAGAACTACTTATTGCCATATATCCAAAAGTTGAATTATTAACTAAATAAGAAGGTTTTTAAAATTTAGATAATTAATTATAATTTCTTTATGAAATAAATAACTAATTGAAATATTTAGTTAATAATATCGATAAACAAGGAAAGTTTTGTTCTAAAAATATTGTAAGATCATAAAACATAATAGATCCTGCAGAAGATGTAAATAATCTACTGAGAATAGACCTGGTAGTATATTCATCTTAAATTTAATAATCTGTAACAAAATATCCTTATTCCCAAATAAAGTATTCAATCTCACTTAATAAATCAAATGCATCTAGATATGATATTTTTTCCTAATCATAATCAATTTTTGCCATGTTTATTTTCTGTATCGATATAATTGAATATTATTCTGTTCTAGTCATTCTATTTAGAGTTTCTGGTTTAGTCAATTTGCCAACTATGAATAATTACATTAATTCTTAACCTAAATCTTCAAAAGCTACAAAGGATGGCTTTTAATCACAATGATGAAAAACCATATATCTATATAATTTTAAAGCAATTGTTGGTCTATTTTTCAGGAGATATTGAAAGCATTCTTCATTCAGAAAATTATTCTTGTAAGTTCAATAATCAAATTAATAACATACTCATCATGTCTAGATATTAGCTTCTTATACAGTCTTCTTACTTATTCTCTTTCATCATCATTTAAAATTGTCCGTTTTGGTTATCTTTCGGATAGGCAAAATTCATTTCCCATTATAATTAATTTTGGGAAATATAATATAATATTAATCATAAACGAAACATGATTATTGTATTATTTATGAAACTCATAAAAATTTCATTTTAAAGCTTCTTTTTCTTCTTAATATAATTATTTTCTAGAATTTACTCAATTAAATTAGTTGTCTGATATTTTTTAATTCAAACATAGAATAAAGAGCTAAAATAGATTTTAGAATAATTACTATGAAATCAATTGCTAATCAAAAGAGATAAATTACATAGAATATTTACAATAGAAACTTTTATCTTTTCAAATTAAATTGCAATTAAAATAATTAAATTTTATTAATGATGCAGCAACGAGATTTCTATGGGAATGATTACATCTACAAACATGTCAAATAAGTAAGTTTATAAGAGTTTACGGATTAATTATTCAATCCAGTAAGGCATTAGAAATAAATGGTTTTATTTACACAGAATGAGTAAAAAGAATAATAAGAGCTTTATAAATATTATGTCTACATGGGTGGAGGAATATTTGCAGCTTCTGCTTTATCTGTTATTTTCTACAAAAAAATTCCCTTCCTTAATAGAATTGAGAAAAGATGGGCTAGAATATTAACAAAAGCATTATTACTTTTTGGACCACTCCAAGTAATTTTAATATCAATATTATATAGGTATAATCAATCTTTGGTCAAAGAGCATAATATGAATTATTAGATAGATAGTTTATACAATATCATAGATAATTATAAGATTATATGTTCTCAGGTGACATAAGAAAACTTAAATAGGATATTCAAATAAGTCCTGTATGATATAAATTTATATTAAGAAGGTTTTTTAATATTTATATAACTGTCTTCATTAAATTATTGCATTTTCATCAATATCATCTTCCTAATGTCCAACATGTAATAATCTCTATAATTCTAACTTTAATATTCGATGAGCTATCAATATAGGTTTTATAGATGATTATTATTTCTCTTAACTCATGATTCTTTATTCTAATGTTTTCAAAATAGTATTCCATTCTAAAAAGATTTCTGGAGTAACATAAGGTTATAATTCTTTTAAAGTGATTTCAATGTCTTTTTTATAGTTTTACCATTCCTATCTTACTAATTAGAATTACTTTTCTAAATCATCATTTGTCTTAACATTAATAAAATGATTTAATGCTTAAAAAGTAAAAATTTATTGACTTACACATAACGAAGTAAATCTATTAAATGATAAACTTCGTTCTTCACCCTATATAATATCAGCTTATTCATAAAATAGATTCATAGCTTCTTTAAAATTGAATTTTTAATTTTCTATATGTCTAAATAATGTAATAAATTCGTTGTTATTAATTTTTTTATTTCCATCTAAATCAGCAGCTTAAAATGCATGAATTACAAACTCTTTAGTTCTAGTAGTTATTATTCTATATTTAATCATTACTTTAATAAGAAAATTATCAACATCTATTAATCCTTATTTATTTAAATTTTTAGGATCAGGTTCTTTTAAGTTTTCTAAATCATTTTTCAAATCTCTAAGTTCATCTTCCATCATTTTATTTTCTAAATAAACTTTCATATAATCTAATGCTCTTAAATAGGGAACATGAAATTTTTATTCACTTTCACTTTAAACAACATTAACACCTAAAGATGATTCTGAACACATAAAATCATAGCCTTATAAAAAGAAAGATGATTCTTCTATTGAAAAATTTAAATTTTCATCTTATAATATGGCTATCATTCTTGCAAATACATTCACTCTAAATATAGATGAGAAATGAATAACGGAAAGTAAAAATTACAAGTATTTTTTTTCAGCAACATTCTTAAATCCATATCTATTAAGAAAATTATTAAAAACAAATATTTGCATCTCTAAATCTTTTTATGTTTCATTATCTTTACTACTTCTAATTTTTTCATCATATAATTATGTAATTGTTCTTAATACATTTTTTAAAGGCCAGTAATTTACAACTTTTTTAAACAAATATGATTATTCTTTAGCTTTAACTGCTAATATTACTCCTGGATGCATTAATCTATCAATTACATTTACTTTATTTTGTTTCTATTAAAAATTGAATTGTAATGCTTTAGTAATTCTATTTTTCTTTTTTTTAAAAAGTATTTATTTTTTTTTTTCTTTTTCTTCTTCTTCATCAAATTCAGTAATAAGATATTCTTCTTCTTATATCTCTGCATCTAATTCTACAGGCATTCTTTTTCTTAAAGAATCAAATTCAACCAAAAATTATTCAGCTATTTATTTATGAGATTATTATTATGTTCTTAATATATGTATCATCAATTTACGAGTAAATGAAAATAACTAATTTAACAATCCAGCAAAATCATTCATAGATCTTGTTAAATTTTATTGTTTTTAAATTTATAAATTATATAACATAATTAACATAGCTACTTGAGTTTTTAATTAAATTAATTCTTATTTGTTTAATCCAAATTTATTTGCTATTTAATTACCTTATAAATTTTAACTACTTTAAATTGTAGATGAATTTGTATTAATTTGATTTAGATTCATATTTGAATTAGTAAATAATTATGTTTATGTTAATTCATTAGTTTAAAATTCTTTAACAGTTGGTAATGCTAATTTATCAGAACTAAACATTTTTTCAAGTTATCTTTTAGTAGATTTCTAATTTAATTTTGAAGAATTTGTATTATTTTTTACTTGTTGAACTTCTATTTTTTCAAATGATAATTTTTTCAAACTAAAATTAATTCTTTTTTAATTATTAGGCATAGGAGAGGCTTCATCCATTTCAGCAACTTCTGCAATTAATCTAATATTATTTTTAGAATCCTTATTAGTAGATCTTTTTTCATCACTATTAACTTCTGGAGGTTCTACAAACATAGATTATTCTGAATCACTTTAAACTTATTTTTCTTAAGGTTCTTCTTTATCAAATAATTCTCTCATAGTTTTCATATTATTAACAAATAAATCAAACATATCTTCTTTTTTCATATTTCTAATATGATCTATACTACCTGGTAATCCATCTAATATTCTTAATAAACTTGCTCTCTATTCTTTTACTTATTATAATTATGGACAAAATTAACAACCTTTATTATTTGTATTTTATTATTGTTGATCATCTTATAAAAAAAAACCCATTTATTCTTTGAGTTAGAATTCTTTAAAATGTTAATCTAATTCTTATTAATTAATAATTTTATCATATTACTAACTAATTAAATTTAAATCAGTTTAAGTTTCAATAGTATGTACACAAATTTCAGTTTAACAATTTACAGAAAATGTTATTTTTGGTGGTTCATCAACTATATCTTTAACAACAATATCAGGATTCTATTCAACCTATGTTTTTTATTCAACTTCTTTCAATACTTGAGATAATGACAAATCTTATTCATCTTCTTCATCTTCTATTTTAATAATCTAATTAGCACTTTATTTTATATATTAAATTTTTTGTATTTTATTTCTAAGTTCTTTAATTTCTCTATTTAAATTTTAAATTAAAGTAGCAGCACCCTTTTTCATAGTTTTATCTAATTCATTTTATTTAGTGAGTTTCTAAACTATTGTTATTAAATTTTATTCATCTTCTTTTTAGGCTTTCAATTAACTCTCTAATCTCTTTATTGTTTATTTAAGATCTAATATCTTTTCATTTAATTCATCTTATTGTTATTCAAATTCTACTTATTATTCTAATTAATTTTTATAACCCATTATTTATATTTATTACTTGTCTGATTCTTACATATTGATAGTCTTTCTAAATACTGTTATATAACCTTTAAATATTGCTAACATTAATTATCCTCTCTCAGTACATTAATAAGAAACCTATCTAATCAACTCATTCAAACATATAAATAATACATCACTTGCTTATTACAATTTACATTTATGATCTATACTTGAATTTTAAGATATATTCTCAACTTAATTTTAAAGCCATTTCTTTAAATTTATAGCATCATTTCTTCCAGAAGGTTCATTAGAAAAGAAATGTGTACTTGTATGTTTCATCTCCTTAACTATCCAAAAATATTATACATATTTATACTTATTTTTTTCTTTATTGATAACTTTCTTTCAGTAGTCTAATTACTTGAAAAATCTTCAAAATAACCTTTCTCTAAACCATTTACTATTGTTGATTTTAAATTTAACATTACATTTTTCCTATTTCCATTTACTTCTTGTAAGTCCTATGCCACCCAATTCAAATTAAAATCTGAATATTTATCTAAAATTTAAATCACATCATCGAATGTGTTATCGAGATTTTAAGTTTTATAGTGATATCTCTAATTTTACATCATATACTCTTGATTCTATTTTCTCTCTTTTTGCTTCAGAATGTATTCATTTAATCGCATTTCAGCTATTTACTGTTTTTCCTTTATTTGTTATTAAAAGGTTTTATGTCTGAATGAATCAGCAAGATGAGAAATGTCTCTTTAAAAACTTGAAATTGATTATTTTTTGCTGGATCCATTTGAATTGAGATTAGCTTTATAATCTAATAAATTTTTTAAGAAACCAGATGTAGTCCCTTTCGATTAATTTAATACTGGAGAACAACTGTTCATTATTTATATATGTTATTAATAAAAACTATAGAAAATAAAACTTTTTGATAAACTTTCTATTTACTAACTAAAATAGGAAACTATCAATTATATTCAACTTTAGAAACACTTAAAGATTAATTTTAATTAAAATTGTTATTGCTATTTTTTTATTTAAACACTCATAAATAAATTATTTTTATTTTAAATTATTATTGACATTTCTATCTTTTTATCCAAGCACAAATAAATCAATAATTTTTATTTTACTTCATTCTTTAGGAAATAATTACATAATAAACAGTTTTCTGATTATACAATTCTTTGCTAATATAACTTTATTATTAAATTCTAGAACAAATATTTTAAGAAAACATAAATTATAATGTTCAAATCAGATTCAATATTATTTTTATAAAATATTCATAATTTTAAACTCATAGTTTTTTAAGCAAAGATTACAGATATAATCTCTTTTAGATAATACATCATTTAAAATAAAATAAAATTCGCATTCATAATTATTACATATCTAGATATTCTGTGTCTTTTTTTTCATCAAATTATCTTTTAATTCAACAATTTAATTTTTATGTAGTAAATAAAACAAAATTTTTAACACATTAGCGTATACAGGATTAAATTTCCTTTAAAAATTCAATTTGCAAATATTCTTAAATTTACAAGTAGCAGAGGATTCTAATAATCTGATTTGAACTCCTTTATTTAGAGAAAGATGAGGAAAAAACTAATTTTATAGGAGAACCATTTAAGTGAATTGTTAAGAAAATAAACTCTATCCAAGATTTTTATTTCTTTAAAATAATAAAATAAACTTTCACTTTCAAAAAAGATCTCCGCTATCAATTGTTATGAAGTATCTCTGATTAAGTAGTATAGACTAATTTTTTGTAATCTCTTAATTTTATA